GGCCTTGAGACTCGCTTCCAGAAGGTTCTGGAACAACCTGCTTCCACTGGTCGCTTTCTCAAAGAGGGAGCTAGTGACCCTTCCTACTGTTTTCAGGGCCCCACTCCTGAAGCTGATGCCCACAGCCCTTCAGGGGCACACGGGGGCTGTGAGCTTCCCTGTGGAGGCAGGGGTGAGGGGGGCAGCCCCCATCTGTGGGGGGTGATGGGGGCGAACCCTGTTGGAGTAGGGGTGAGGGGGCGGGCCTCATCTGGGGGCAGGGGTGAGGGGAGGCGGGCCTCGTCTGAGAGCAGGGGTGAGGGGGATGGACCCTGTCAAGAGTAGGGGTGAGGGGAGGCGGGCCTCGCCTGAGAGCAGGGGTGAGGGGGATGGACCCTGTCAGAGTAGGGGTGAGGGGAGGCGGGCCTTGCCTGAGAGCAGGGGTGAGGGAGTGGACCCTGTCAGAGTAGGGATGAGAGGGAAGGGCCTCATCTGGGGGCAGGGGTGAGGGGGTGCCCCCCACCCACTCCCCTGTCTAGGAGCGAAGGGGAGGGGGGGAAGGCCATGTGGGAGCAGGGTGAGGGCGTGGCCCCAGGCTCTCCCTCCAGGCTTTCCTCTGGGTCTCGGCACAGACCTCAAATTTCATGCAAAATCCAAGACTTTTTTAGAGTTTGGGCAAAAATCTTGTCCTTTTTCCTTCTTCAAATCGTTGGGCTTGGCACGGGCCGGGCTGTGCCTTGCCAGGGTCTCCTCCCTCCTGTAATTCGCCAGGAGAAAGCGGGGCCCCAAACCACCATGCATTTCTCAGGAGCCAGCAGCCCCTCATGTGGAGACCCTCGTCTGTGTGCCCACTCACAGGCACTGTCCCCAGCTGCCCCTGCCTCTGCCACCTCTGCCCTCTAACCCCAGCGCTTCCTGTGGGTCTCCTGTGGCCGTGGCAGAGGGTGGGCACGGGGCAGCCCCGGGAACGCCCTGCAGGTGCCAAACCCCACACCTGGGGGCCCTCCTTGCCTCCTTTTCCTGAGCAGGAGGCTGCGGAGCCCACCGGGAGACGCCACCCCCCCCAATTCCAGCTCTCCCTGGAGATGTCATGCCCCTAGCTCTGCCCAGCGGGACGTGGGGGTGAGTGTTCCCCTGGCACAGAGCACGGGATGGGGGCCCCACAGACAAGGCCGGGGCGGGACACACCCCAGGTGGGGACAGGGTCCTCCCAGACACTGGCAGGTGACCACAGCGGGGGTGGGGCCCGTGCTCCTGCAGGACACCATCCTCCAGAGGGTGAGAGGGCGGGGAGACCTGCCCCTCCCCCCCATCTGCAGGTCCTGCACGGAAGGCTGGAAGCCCCACGCAGAGCAACCGGAAGCAGGCACCCCAGGGGGCGAGAGCTCCCGCACAGACCCACGTCTTGTGGAAACGTCAGCAGCTGCAGCACCTTCCCCAAAACAGACCCACCGCCGGGGCCCTCCCGGGAGGGAATCCCGGCCCGTGCAGGGCCGACCAACAGCGGGTGCGTCAGCCTCGCTCCTCACACCGCGGCCCACTGGAGTAAATGCGGAAAATAAAAATGTTTGGTGTGGGGGTCCTCCTGGCGGTGCTCAGGGTTGACTCCTGGCTCTGTGCTCAGGCCTCACTCCTGGCGCTGGGGTTGTGGGGGGAGGGGGGAGAGAACTGAGGTGGCCTTGGCCCTGGTACTATCTCTGTGGCCCTTTAAAATAAAGTTGAAAATAATCTGTGGTTTATTATTAGCAAATGTGTCTCGGGCACAGGGCGATGGTGACGGGGCCAGTCCAGAGCCCAAGTGGAAGCCGGTGGGGTGGCCAAGGTCCCCGCGGAGGGAGGACGGGCGACAGGTGCAGGGAGTGGGCATGGCCACTCGTTCCACACACCCAAAAGGAGAGGGGGCGGTGAGAGGAAGACCCCGAGACCCCCGCAGCTGGGCCCAGGGAGGCCCTCTGGCCGTCCCCAGGAGGCGGGGCCTCTTAACAGCTCACGCGTGCCTCTGCCCATGGGGGCACAAAGCCGGCTCGGGGGCTGCTCCATCTGGACTCACAGGTGGTGCCAGAGCTCAGGGCGGCAGCTGTCACCTTCACAGTCACCTCTGCACTCCCCTCTGCGCTCACCTCTGTGCTCACCGCTGTGGTCACCTCCACCCTCCCCTCTGCACTCACCTCCATGGTCACCTCCACACTCACCTCGTCACTTCCGAGCGCATCTCCTAGCTCATGTCCACGTTCATATCCGCGTGCCGCCCCAAGCTCACCTCTGCACACAGCTCTGAGCTCACCTCCAGCCAGGCTCACCTTCCTCTGAATCGGGGCTTTGCCAGCAGCCTGACAGTTCCCTGGCTGCCTCGCTGGTCTCCTGAGTGCCCACTCCTCCAGGGGTCCACCGGCTCCTTCTCTGAGGGGCAGGAGGGGGTGCTGGCTCAAGTGGGCCGTGCCAGGACACGTCCAACCCGCTGTGTTCAGTGCGAATCCCCACTCCCTCGAGCCCTGCCAGGACGCCCCTGGGCGGGGCACCAGTCTCAGCACCGGTCTCGCCTGCTTGGGGGTCGGAGCGAGGTCCCCGAGTCTGGGGCTGTCCCCTGGTGCAGCCCCAGATCAGTCTCTCAGGGGCACCGGGAAGGCAGCACGGCTGTGGGGCGTCTTGGGGGCCGGCCCAGACTCAGCCCAGACTCAGGCAGGAAGGAATGGACAGAGGGGCCCTGGAGCGGCCTGCTTGGGGACCCCAGGTCAGGTCTATTCCTCCACTGAAGTCTCCCTGGTTACCCCTGGAGGAAGAGGAAGGGCTTCCGACGGCATCTGGGCATTGGCCAGCCTTCCGAGGGCATTGGCCAGCCAGCATCTAGGAAGTGGTGGGGCAGAGGGTGGAACACAGGATGGGGACCTGAGGACTGGGGGGTCTGTCCCAGGCCGGCAGAGCACTCCTGGGGCTCTGCGGCCAGCGTCTCCCGTGGCCTGGGGACAGGACAGCCAAGAGACCGGCAGCCCCCACGGGTGGCCTCCCAACCGGGGGACCCTGAAAGGGTGGCAGCTCCAGGTACAGCCCCTCTGGCCGCAGGTGCCCCGGCCTCCCTGGGCTGCGGCCTCCTGGACCGGTGCCCTCAGCTGCTCCCACTGCCCAGGTGCCACAAGGAACCCTGAGCTCACAAGTCACACCCGGTTTCCCTCCTCCTGAAGCCCCCACCCAGCAGCTGAGCTGAGCAACCCAGGACCCCCGTATTCCTCCCACGAGGACCCGCATGGCAGGGCCCGCATCCCCGCAGACCCCATGCCAGGGGTCACCACGCCCCAGCCAGCAGAGCAGACAGATGTTCCCACCTGCAGGGAGACCAGCTGGAGGCCTGCACCATCCCTGCCTCCCCCTGCCCCCTGCCCCCTCCACTCCTGGCAGCAGTGTCCTAGCTGGGGGAGGGAACAAGCCGCCCCTGGAGGCAAGCCGTCCTGGGCGGTCCTGGGTGGTGGGACATGCTGCCTGGCTGGGCCTGGGTGCCCTCTTGGTTGCCACGCTGCCTCCACGTATGGGCGCGCCACTTAGGGCCCAGCAAGGGTCCCGGAGTCGAGGGAGTCTCCAGGGGGAGTGGACAGAGAGGCGAGCCCAGGCGCAAACACACTAGAGCTGCCGGCAGAGCCCCCTGAGGTCTGCGACTCTGCAGCCCGGAGGGCCCCAGCCACCTCCCTAAAGGTGAGGGTGCAGGAGGCTGGGGGTGGGGAACGGGGTCTGTGCACCAGGTCAAGACCCCGAGCCAGGGCCCCGGACCATCCCTCCGCCCTCTCCAGGGGAGCAGCACGCAGGGAGCCCTAACTCCAGGGGGCAGCCGGGGAGGGTCCTGCTCCAGGAGGTGGCCTGGCCGCCAGGTGGAGAGCCCAAGGCTGAACCCTGCGCGGGACCCCCGGGACAAAGGTATCTGCGGACTCGGTCGCCAACGGAGCCCCTCAGGATCTCCCAGTGCGGGGACCCTGAGGCCAAAGGTCAGTGCTGGGGCCCGCCTGCAGTATCGGAACCAGGGGCCACACACGGGAGGGGGCAGGTGGAGAAGGCGCAGAGAGTGATGCGGGGGTCGCCGGGCTGGGGCGCAGGGGAGAGGGGGCTTCCCAGCGCGGACGGGCAGGCGGGCGGGACCAGGGGCCGCTCCCGGGTGGGACTCCCGTCCCGCCGGGCGCCCCGGGGTCTCGGCACCGGCCACCCCCGGCGCCCGCTGCCCAGCGCAGGCCTCGCCCCAGCCTCGACGCGTCCCTCCCCCGCTTTGTCACGGGGCCTCCGGGTGCACGTGCGGGGGCCCACGCCGGCCGGGGGGCTCCGCGCACCCAGAGGTGCCGCGCAGGGCGGGGCGGGGGCCTCCGCGCGCAGCCGCCCCCAGCCCGGCAGGTGGGCGAGCCCCGGCCGGTGCGCGCGGGCGCGGGCCGGGGGTCGGGGGGCGCGGGGCGGGGGGCGCGCAGGGATGCCGAGCCCGGGGCGGGGCCGCCCCCGATTGGCGCGCGGCCGCCTGACGTCACGTCCGGCGGGGGAAGCCCTGCCTCGGCCGCGCTCCCGCCCCACAGGTGGTGCCGCCGCCCGGGGCGCAGGGCGTGGGGGTCCCCGCCCGCCCGCCGGGCCCCCGCACGCCGCCCGCGCGCTTCCGGACGCCCCGGCCCCGCGCCCCGCGCGCGCCCCGCGCCCTCCGCTCCGCCCCGCGCGCCCCGCGCCCCGCGCGCCTCTCCCCGCCCCCCGCGCCCCCTCCCGCGGCGGGGGAGGCGCCGGCCGGGCAGCTCCGGGCGTCCCCTGCGAGCGGCGGCCGGGCCCCTGGTCCTGGTCCCGCTCCCGGTCCGGCTCCCGCTCCCGCTCCCGCTCCCGATCCCGCTCCCGCTCCCGCGCTCTGCCCCGGCCCGGCGGCCCGACCCTGCGCCCCGCGTCCCGGTCCCGGCCCCGACCTGCGCCCCGGCCCCGCTCCCGGTCCCGCGCCCCGCGCCCCGCCGCCTTTTGTTCCGCCGCCGCCGCGCGCCGCGGGCCGGGGCCGCCCGGGACCGCCCGGTGCCGCCGGGCCGGGCCGGGCCGGGCCGGGCCATGGGGCTGGGCGCGCCGGCCCGCTGGCTGCTGTGCGCCTGGGCGCTGGCCGCCTGTGCGCGCGGGGACCCGGCGGGCAGGGCCCGCAGCTGCGCCGAGGTCCGGCACGTCTACGGCGCCAAGGGCTTCAGCCTGAGCGACGTGCCCGCCGCCGAGCTCTCGGGTGAGTGCGGGGGCGCCGGGGAGGGGGCGGCAGGGGGCTGCGTGCCGGCCCGGGACCCCCGCCCGGCCCCGCCGCGTCCTCGCGCCGCCCGCGCGCGGGAGCCACGTGGGGACCGCGCCGGGGTGGCCCGCGCGCCCCCACGCCGCCCCCGGAAAGCCCCCGGGGACCCCTCTGCTGCTGCCCGCTCTGCCCGCCCGGGCCCCTGCCCGCCGACCCTCCCCCAAACTTTCCCGCGTGCTTGGAGCCTATGGCCAGGTTAGCGGGGACCCGAGGGGCCGGTCTGGGCAGCACCGGGGCCGGACACACGAGCCGAAGGGGGCCGCCGTGCAGGGATGCGGCGGGGAGGGACAGTGGCCGGTCGCCCCGAGTGTCCAGGCGTCCCCGGCACCCGCATCCACCCCGGGGTGCTACCTCGGGGGTCCCGGGCCGCGCCCCCGCCCCCCTCCGGGGCCTTCCGAGGCCGCGCGGGGCTGTGCCAGCACCACATGGGGCAGAGCAAACGGTCACCTCCCGGGCCAGTGGCCAGCCGCGGCCCTGTCCTGCCGCCGGCTCGTGCCCCCGCGCACCGGGCGCCCCCTGGTGCCCGCGCCGGCCTCCCCCTGCCCAGCTGGTGTCGCGTGGGCGGCCTCTGCGCCTCGTGGGGGTGGGAACGGGACTCGCGTGGCTGTAGGACCCACGGGACAGGGAGGCTGAGCCGGGGGTGTTGGCAGCGGTTCGTGGACACGGGTGGTGCGGGGTGTCCGCCTGCGCCCCGTGTGTGGCCCTATGCTGTTGTGTGGACAGTGGCATCTGAGGGGCATCAGAGTGGCCAGGCCGCGCGGGGGTGATGCGTCACTGAGTCGGGCGCCGGCTGTCCCCCATCACTAGCCAGGCAGGAGGTGGGGGGCGTGGTCATGGCCTGCAGCCCTACCGACCTGCCAGGTCACCTGCACCCACAGGCGTCCAGTGGCTGTCCAGTCTGGGCCAGTCTCCCTGCCCCTGCCCTGGGTGCTGCAGGCGCTCTCTTGCAGCCGCAGAACCGGCCCAGCCCGGGAGTGTGATGCCCTTCCAGGCCTGCGTGTCCGGCCAGCGGGTGGGCAGACGTCCTGTGTGAGGGGACCTCCCGGAGGCCACTGCCCCCGCCCCTGCAGCCGCAGGACCTGGTGTTTCATCAGCCCCAATGAGGGCAGGATGTGCGGGGGTGCCCGCGGGGTGCCCAGGGGAACCAGCAGGGCAGGGCCTGATGCAACGGGCTTGCACCGGACACACCTCTGCCCGCTGCCCCGCCTCGAAGGGCACAGGGGGTAAACTGAGACCCAGGACAGCCACCGCCCTCGCTTCTGGGGACACACGGTGGCGCCGTGCATGTCTGGGACCTGCCTGGGATGCCCTGCGCAGAGGCCAGCAGGAGTGGGCATCGTGGGGCTCGGGTCAGGCCCTACAGAGCCCGGGCATGCAGAGGCTGATCGGGGCAGGGGGGCAGGCCCGGGCGGCACCCACTTGTCCTGTCAGCCCCCTCAGAGGGCCACGGGCACATTTCGGGGTCGTGGCCATAGGCCACAGTCCCTGCGGGCTCCAGCCCGCGCCTGGCCGCCGTCCCTGGCTGTGTCGGGACAGGCCCGGGCAGGGGCGCCGGCTCTCGGGCAGATTCCTGCGGAGGCAGCCGCCTCCTGCCGGTGCTGCCCCTTCCTGGCACGTGTGTTGGGGGCCCGACTGGCACCTCTGAGCCCCGGGGTGCCCGCCCCAGCCCCGCCCCCAGCGGGACCCTCTCTGGGCAGCCCCTCCCGCAAATGCAGTGACCCGTCAGCCTGAGGGGCACTGTGCCCCGGGGTGGCCAGGCCGGCCCCATGAGGCAGAGGCTCATTTGTGCTAAATGCTCCCTGGATTCCTGGCTTGGCCGGGTGACAGGGCAGCCCCACGGGGCCGTGTCCCTGCTGCTCCTGGCCCCCTGCCCTCACTTGGCCCCAGGGGCCGCCCGCGCTCTCCTGGATGGCCCTTGGATTGTGCCCTGCAGGCAGGAAGGGGCCAGCGAGGGCCTGAGGGCCCTGAGGTCACGGCCAAGCCCTGCTCTGGGTTGCCCCTTGCTGCCGGGCGGCCCCACGCCAGTGACAGCCCCATGTCCTGTGCACTGGGTTACCTGCACCCCGCACAGCTGGTCAGTGAGGGCCAGGGGTGGCCCGAGGACGGAGAGTGGGGGGCCAGGGGCAGACAGGGGTCTCCTGGGCTGCGTCTGCCACAGAGGGGGCTGTGCCCCCCCACCACGTCCAGGCCGGCCCTTTGTCTCAGCTCCTCCCCACACCTGCTCCCTTGGGCCCGGGCCCCGGGAGCCACCCCACCCGCTGTGACCGCCGGCGGGCCCTGGGGAGGGTGACGCCAGCCGCCGCCACGCTTGGCTCAGTCCCCAGTCCCCAGGTGGCTCGGAGAGACGGGACGGTGGAGTGACGTGGGGACAACTCACTGACCACCGGAGGGGCTGTGGGCAACAGGGGGTATCAGCCACGCCCCTTAGTGAGCCAGGCGCCCTCCCTGCCCCCTCTCTGCCCATACCCCCCACACACACACTGTCTCTGGTCCAACTCAGGCCTCCTGCTGACCCGACCGCAGGGCCATCTCAGTGCATTGGACACAGGGCTGGCCGTGGCTTTTGTCCTCAGCCATGGGGAGGGACGCAGAGGGTGGGCGTGAGATGGCTGGGACCATAGTCGAGGGGCCACAGCCTCTTCCCCTGCACCCAGGACATCCTGGTGCCCGTCTGTTGGGGGCCGCTGCCCTCGCCCGGGGGGGCTGTCACGGGGTTCCAGCTCCAGAGAAGCCCACATTCCCCTCCCCCAGCCCCCGCTTCCTGAGCCCACAGCGAGGGTCACCCTACTTCCGGGGCTGCTCCCCACGGCCCACGGGGGTCCCGGCAGAAGATTATTAGCTCATCACACCGAGGCTGATGCATGTGCCCGTGACACAGGGCAGTACCCAAGAGAGCCAAGGGTCGGTCCACATGTGTGTGAGCACAGACCTGTCCAAGGGTGGATGTGTGTGTGTGTGTGTGTGTGTGTGAGAGAGAGAGAGAGAGAGAGAGCACAGGCCTGTCCATGTGTGTGAGTACAGGCCAGTCAGCATGTGTGTGTGTGAGCACAGGCCTGTCCAGGTGTGTGTGTGTGTGTGTGTGTGTGTGTGTGCCAGAGAGAGTGCACAAGCCTGTCCGTGTGTGAGAGCACAGGCCTGTCGAGGTGTGTGAGTACAGGCTGGCCCTCATGTGTGTGCGTGTGTGTGACACAGGCCTGTCCAGGTGTGTGTGTGAGTGTGTGTGTGTGTGTGTGAGAGAGAGAGAGAGAGAGAGAGAGAGTAAGTGCACAGGCCTGTCCGAGTGTGAGAGTACAGGCGGTCTGTGCATGTGTGTGTGCACGTGCACAGACCCGTCCGTGTGTGTGTGTGTGTGTGAGCACAGGCTGTCCAGGCGTGAGAGCACAGGCCGGCCCTTGTGTCCCATGAGCTCCTGTGGGCTGCTCTGTGGCTTTCTCTGCAGCCAGAGCTGAACAGACGCGCCTCACCCCTGGGACTCGGGCACTGCCTGCTGTGTGGGTGCTGGCCAGCACTGGGCCGGTCCCCTCGCCCAGCAGGCCTGAGTCCAGCCTGACCCCCTTCCCGCCCCCTTCGCTGATCCACACCCTGCCACGTCCCCACCTGCGCATGTGGGCCCCTTTCCCAGATTGGTGCCCCCGCCCCTCTGCTGGGGCCACTCTGGGGCTGGCCTTGAACTGGAGCGTGGCGGGCACTTCCCCGGGGTCCAGCTGCACTTGCCTGTCTGATGCCTGCGCTCAGGCTCAGCACACCTGGGCCAGGTGCAGCTGCCTCCGGCAGCCGTGCTGAGTCAGCAGCCGCGGGGGAGGGGGGTGTACCCGCCCTGCCCCTACACGAGCGTGTCCGTTCCTGCCCAGTGCCACCCCGCAGCCCGCCTGGAATTCCCCTGGGCTGGAACCCGAAGGGGGCGGTGAGTGGCTGCCCCCGCGGTGACTGGAGCTCCCTGGTGTGAGGCTGCGGGCCTGGGCTGGCCGCTGGCGGCTGCCCCTCGAGTGCCCTCTGCTGTCTGTCCTCGGTGGCGTGCAGGTGTGCCTGGGGAGGGCAGGGCAGAGCCGCCCCCTGCTTGGGGGACAGCGGTGGATCCCGCACGGTGGTCAGAGCTTCCCGGAGGGGCGGGAGCTGCAGGCCTGGCGATGGGTCGGGGAGGGCCCCCGTGAGTCCCTGTGCGCGGTGTTGCTGGACCCGGCGCCCACGTGGCTGGACGCAGCAAGCCCCCATCGCCCCCGAGCAGTGCCGGGTGTCGTGCCTGTCTGTGGGGACCCGCGCGGCCAGGTCCCCTCTGCGGTGCTGGGACACCCTGTGCCCACCCTCGCAGGGTGGGCAGCTGGCGTGCGGACCCACCCCTCCTCCCCCGCAATGCCACTGCCTCCGCAGCTTGCAGGGAGCTGTGGACCTTCGTCCTGGTCAGCCCCGAGGCCAGGCAGGGGCAGGGGGGTCTGTCATAGGTCTCCGGATCTCGTTGGGCGTGGAGGCGGGTGCGGAAGAAGAGGGGTGGTCTTCTGGTGGCCTCAGTGTCCAGGCGGTGGCGGGGACCTGGCTGTCGTAGCTAAAGAGGGGACGCCCGGGGGTTGAGCAGCCGCCCCGTCACCTCGGGGTGCTCGGGCTCTCCCTCCGCGGGGGCGGGGCGGGGAGGCGGCGGGTGGGCGGGGCTCTGGCGGGGGCGGGGCCACGGGCGGGGGGCGGGGCCGGAGCCGCGCGGGAGCCGCCGCCCGCGCTCTGCGCGCCAGTGCGGCTGCGGGGCTCGGGCCGCGGTGGCCGCAGCGTCCTCGCGTCCAGCCGCCGCGCCGTGGGCTCCGGGGCTCCTCCCGGCCAGCCGGCCTGGCCCGTGGCCCCCAGCACCCCGAGCACCGCCGCCGGAGCCTCCGCGCGCCCGGACCCGTCCCGCCGCCGACCGTCTCGTCCCGGCGCCCGGCCGCGCCCCCCGCCCGCCGCCGCCCCGGGCCTCCCGGCCGGCCGCGCCCACTGCGGCAAGCCCCTTCCCCGCCCCCCCGCGCCCGCCGCAGCCGCCCGCCCCGCCCCCGGGGTCGCGGCGAGGGGCGCGGGGCCGCCCGGGGGGCCGGCACCTGCGGCGGGCGGGGGCGCCGCTGCCCTTTGTTCCGCCCGCGGCGCCCGGGATGCGGCGCCCCGCGGGTGGGGGTCCGCGCGCGAGCCGGGTGGGGGGTCTGCCCGTGCGCGGGGGGGTCGGTGGGTGGGCGGCGGGCGAGGGCGGGGGCCCTGGGGGAGGGGAGCCCGCCGCGGCCAGCCCCCCGGGCTCCCTGGCGCCCCGGCTCTGGCTCCGTGTCTTCACTCCCGTGAGTCGCCAGGGAGGGAGGGCCGGGGGCGGGCTGGGGCCGCCGGAACAGCGCAGGTCGCCGGGCTGGGCGCAGGGGCTGCGGGAGGGGGGTGGCGGGGGCGGGGACCCCCGTTCAGAGCCCCTGATGTGTGTCCTGTCTGCGTGGGTGACGGCGTCCAGGGGTCGCTCCCAGCCCTCTGCCTGCGGGCGCCCCCACACCCCCGGGGAGGGGCCCCACCCCGAGACCCCCGCGCCCACCCAGAAGGGCCAAAGCACGGGCACGGTTGGCCTGGGGGTGCCTGCAGGACCCGCGCGATCCCTCACGGGGTGGGTCTGCGTGGGCCAGGGGTAGCACTGAGGCGGGGTCCCAGGCGCAGGCTGCGATGGACCCCTGGGGCTTTCAGCCAGACTGGGGTGGAGGGGCTTCAGCTGTCACCCTGCCCCCGCCTCCCAGCAGCCTGAACCCACACTGGGCCTCACGCGGTCCACGCCCACCCTGAGGTTCCCGCCCCCCTGCCCCCCAGCACCTGTCCTAGCCACCGCGTCCTCCCAGGCCCACTGTCCCAGCCCTGCTCACACCCGTTCCGTCCCCACTGTGTGATCCCCCACTTCCACACGCGCCCTGTCCGTCCCCCCACACCCGGTCTCCACGCTCACCCTGTCCCGTCCCCCCGCACCCATCTCCACGCTCACCCTGTCCGCCCGCAGGGGAGCACCTGCGGATCTGCCCGCAGGGTTCCACGTGCTGCAGCGCGGCCATGGAGGAGAGACTGGCCAACCGCAGCCGCGCCGAGCTGGAGGAGGCGCTCCTGGACAGTGGCCAGGCCCTGCAGGGCATGCTGGCCACGCAGCTGCACACCTTCGATGGTGAGTGACCGTCCGTGCCCACCCTGCGGAGCCCGCGCTGTCCTGGCACCCAGGGTGGGGGTCCCCGCCACCCACCCCGCCTGCAGGAAGGAGCAGGTGCGCCCCTGTGGCAGGGCCAGGAGGGGCCCTGGGATGGCCTGAGGCTGAGGGTCCCTGCGGTGGGCCCCCAGGGAGCCACTTCTGAACTGAGTAAAGGCCTGAGGTCGGGCGGGAGAGGGGAGGCGGCACCTTGCCACCCCCCCACCCCGCCCCTGCTCACCCCGTTGGGAGCGACAGCCCGGGACGCGGTGGCCCGGGGTGCCCTGCGGGACCCCCGCTCCAGGCCTCCCCTCCCGCCCCGCAGACCACTTCCAGCGCCTGTTGAACGAGTCGGAGCGGACCCTGCGCGCCGCCGTGCCCCGCGCCCTGGCCGAGCCGGCCGCCGACCTGTTCGCCGAGCTGCGCCGCTACTGCCGCGGGGCCGCGCTGCCCCTGGAGGAGACGCTGGCCGAGTTCTGGGCGCGCCTGCTCGAGCGCCTGCTGCGCCTGCTGCGGCCGCGCCTGCTGCTGCCCGACGACTACCTGGACTGCCTGGGCAAGCAGGCCGAGGCCCTGCGGCCCTTCGGGGACGCGCCGCGGGAGCTGCGCCTGCGCGCCACGCGGGCGCTCGTGGCCGCGCGCGCCTTCCTGCAGGGCCTGGGCGTGGCCGGGGACGTGGTCCGCAAGGTGGCTCAGGTGCGCCGTGGGTCCCGCGTGGCACCCCGCGGAGGCCGGGACCCCCACCACCCTGGCATAGCAGCTGAGGTTGAGGGTCCCCAGAAGGGCGGGGCCCAGGGGTCGGGGTGCACCGTGAACTCAGCGCGTCTCGCCCTGCAGGTGCCCCTGGGCCCGGAGTGCACCAGGGCCGTCATGAGGCTGATGTACTGTGCGCCCTGCCTGGGGGTGTCCGGCGCCCACCCCTGTCCCGACTACTGCCGCAACGTGCTCAAGGGCTGCCTGGCCAACCAGGCCGACCTGGACGCGGAGTGGCGGAACCTCCTGGGTGAGCTGCGCAGCCCACGAGGGCGGAGGAATTCCCCGAGAGTGGGTGGGCGTGGCCACGGCGGCCTGGCCACGGCCCTCCTGCACCCCCTTGCCGCGCGCTGGAGCAGACCTGGTTCCCCCTCTCCCCCCAGACTCTGTGGCGCTCGTCACCGACAAGTTCTGGGGCCCCTCGGGCGCGGAGAACGTCATGGGCAACGTGCACCTGTGGCTGGCAGAGGCCGTCAACGCCCTGCAGGACAATCAGGACGCGCTCATGGCCAAGGTACGGCGGGCGGGCGGGCGCGCGCGGCGGGTGCTCCGGGGCGCTCGGGACGGGCCCCCAGGACCCTGCTGCCTCCCCTAGGTCATCCAGGGCTGCGGAAACCCCAGGGTGAACCCCCAGGGCCCTGCGCCCGAGGAGCCTTGGCGCGGAGACAAGCTGGTGCTCCCGGAGAAGCCCCCCACGGGGTCCCTGGAGAAGCTGGTGAGTGCCCCCGTCCCGGCCACGCTGGCTGCGGGGTGGGCAGCGGGCCGGACGCCCCGTGTTCTGACGGCTGCCCCGCAGGTGTCCGAGGCCAAGACCCAGCTGCGCACCGCACAGGACTTCTGGGTCGGCCTCCCGGGGACGCTGTGCAGCGAGAAGCTGGCCATGAGCGCCGCCAGTGACGAGCTCTGCTGGAACGGCATGGCCCGGGGCCGGTAGGTGCTGGCCTCAGCCAGGGAGTGGGCAGGGGCGGGCGGCGGCAGTGGAGGTGACCCGGCCCGCCCTGCCCGCACCAGGTACCTCCCGGAGGTGATGGGCGATGGCCTGGCCAACCAGATCAACAACCCGGAGGTGGAGGTGGACATCACCAAGCCGGACATGAGCATCCGTCAGCAGATCATGCAGCTGAAGATCATGACCAACCGGCTGCGTAGTGCCTACAACGGTGATGACGTGGACTTCCAGGACACCAGTGAGAACCGGGAGGCCCGGGACGGGGCCATCAGGGGCGGGGCTCCCAGTCTAGATGGAGCTTTTCGGTGAGGGGGGACTTCCGTTCTGGGCGGGGCCATCAGGGGCGGAGCTTCCCATCTAGGTGGAGCTGTCAGGCCCAGGGCGGGGCTTCCATTTAGGGGTGGGGCCATCAGGGGCGGGGCTTCCAGTCTATAGGTGAAGCTGTAAGGCCCAGGGCGGGGCCTCCATTTGGGGGCGGGGCCATCAGGGGCGGGGCTTCCAGTCTATAGGTGGAGCTGTAAGGCCCGGGGCGGGGCCTCCATTTGGGGGCGGGGCCATCAGGGGCAGGGCTTCCAGTCTATAGGTGGGGCCTTCAGGGCTGAGGCTTACGGTCTATAGGTGGAGCTGTCAGGGCTAGTGTGGGGGGGCCAGGGCGGAGCTTACATTCTATAGGTGGAGCTGTCAGGACCAGGCGGGGCTTACATTCTGGAGGCGGGGCTCTTAGGGGCGGGGCTTGCATTCTATGTAGGTGGGGCTATCAGGGCCGGGGCAGGCTTTGTCCTGGAGGTTGGGCTGCCGGGGCAGAGCTTACAGTCTAGAGGCAGGGCCATCAGGACAGGGGTGGGCTGGACCAGTCTACCCCAGGGAGCCGGCCCACACAAGGGTGGTCTCTCCCACAGTTCTAAGCGGGGTGGGGGGAGTGCTGCGGGGCCTGAACACCCCAGCCCTGTCCTGCACTGCTGAGAGATCTGGCCACGCTATCCCTCTGCCCTGGTAGATCCAGGAGCAGGCCAGTGGGGGTGCTGAGGCTGGAGGGACTGCAGGCGTCTCCTGTCCCCCAGGTGATGATGGCAGTGGCTCAGGCAGCGGTGAGGGCTGCCCAGACGACGTGTGTGGACGCAGGGGAGGCAGGAAGAGCTCCAGCTCCAGGACGCCGCTGACCCACGCCCTGCCCGGCCTGTCGGAGCAGGAAGGCCAGAAGACCTCAGGCGTGGGGCGCCCGCAGCCCCACTCAACCCTCCTGGTCCTGCTCCTTGCCCTGGTCCTCTCAGCAGCCAGGCCCCGGTGGCGGTAACTGTCCACAGCCCCAGCGACCAGCCAGAGTCTGCTCAGACAAGACTGCGTCCCCCTTGGTCCGGCGAGGCCCAGGGTGGGGTGAGGGACAGTGAGGGGCCATGGCCGGCAGTGCTGATGGCTGCCATCCTGTCCTGGCTCTTAATTTTGTATCAGGTCTTCAGGTCAGCTGGAAGTGCCCCCTAAGCCATGTAATTCAGGGAGTTTGGGGGTGCTGGGGTGCGGGGGCGCCCCAAGGAGTACCTCTGCTGGGCGCAAGACTGTGCCTTCCTCTCCTGCCACCTCCCACTGACATCAGTGCACGTGCACCGAGGGGGTGTGGGGGTTCCCAGTCTCCATCTGGACCCTCGGTCTGGTGAGGCCTCCGAGGTCATGCATGAACCTTCCGCCTCCCTGGACCCCCATGCCACCTCTGCCCCAGGCTGTAGCCTCCGGGTGGGGGCCGGCCTCAGGCTTTCTCCTCGGGGTCCTGTGGTTCCCCTGGACCGGCCAGCCCTGGAGTTGCCCTGGTGAGTGAAGACATGGGCCCCAGTGGGTTTGCTCAGAGCTTTCTAGAAGGTGCAGGTGTCAGCCCAGACACCTCTTCGCTGGGCTGTGGGGACCCCTCTGGGGCAGCTTGTCCTCGGCCAGGGCCTGGGGGTGCTGCGCCACCTAGCCTTCCCCAGTGCCACTGGCCGGCTTTGCTCTTCCTCTCAGAGGGAAGTGCGTGGTTCAGGCAGGGCCTGTGGCACCCCCGACGGCCTGCAGTGCGGTGCCCGCCGCGGCCACCACCACCGTGGTCCTTGTGCTAATAAAGAGCCGAACATCTGCAATGAGTGTGATCTGCAGTGCGGCGGGCTGGAGGCCGTGTCCCCGCCCCCTCCTTGAGCCCAGGGCCTGCCCGGCATGCTGCCCGCCTCCCGACTCACCCTCTGGGCTGCCGCGAGGTCACACTGTGGGTCCCGGCCCCCCGAGGTGTCCCCGGCGCATGGAAACCTCACGCCCAGCGAGAGCTGCCACAGGCTCCTGTATTTGGCTGCCACCAGCCTGGTCACCGTATCCTGGAGGCTGGGGGGTGCAGAGGCTCAGGGAGGGGAGCGGGAGACCTGCGTGGGCGGCCCCTGCTCATTCGTGGCTGTAGTTTGTGTAGTGCAGCTGGTTGGGGGTCTCGTGTTCCTTGTGCACAGCCACTGTCCCGTGCACCCCAGGGACTGTGGTTCTGTGGTAATGTGTCCCAGTACCTGTTGGGGGAAGACCGGGTGGGATGGGGTACTGCTGGACACTGGCCACACACACACACAACACACATGCACCCCGCGGTGGGCACTGCCCACAGAAACTGCCCCCCACACAGTGGACACTGCCCCCCATACACGCACCCTCCATGCCCGTGGGCTTTCACACGTGTCTGCAGTTACGTGAATGGAGACATGTGACCCGTCTGCTCCCCAAAGACCCCCAGTTTAGGCCCTGCAGGCCCCAGTCTAGGGAGGAGCAGCTCTGACTGCACGAGGCCTGCAGGGCACACCAGGTGTGAAGGCCACTAGTGCCCCCAGAACCCAAGGGGGTCGGAGGAAGGCTCGTAAGTGGTCCACTGCACAGTTTCAGCTGCATCGCCAAGAGTATCCGTGGGGCCGTGAAGGGTGGGGAGAACCACAGGCAGGGTGAAACAGTCTGGGGTGGAGGAAGCGGGAATTGGTGCCCATCCCCCACCCCCAGAGGCCCTGTCAGATTCTGGCCCACAGAAAGGCCCCCCAGTACCAGGGCCTTTATGTCCTCATCAGTGGGGGGTCCAGCGCTGTGACCTGCCCTGCCCTCCACGCTCCAACACTCCTGCTGGGGGACCCTTTCCCAGCCCAGCACCCTGAGGATCCCCATGGGTGTCTGAGAGGAAGCCTCGCACCCAGGCCTGGCCCAGGGGCCAGCCAACTCCCCCCGCCCCGTGCCCAGCACCCCCTGTTGGCCCTGGAGGAGGCCGAGCAGGGCAGTGGTGCAGGAAGCAGGACTGTCTCAGCTTCTCTCCTGCAGGCTCACAGCGGCCATGCTCGGCTGTCCGGCCCCTGAGGGACGCTGCAGGGACCAGGGCACCCCCAACCCCAGGCTGCCTGTCCTGCCCACAGCCGCTGGGCCACTGGCCAGCCTGCAAGGGGCGAAAGGAGCCGCGGGCACTGCCCTGTCAACGTCCCAGCATCTCGCTTCCCCGGGACGGACCTCGAGGGACCCGTTTCCCTTCACATTTGCTCCAGCAGTGAAGCCCACCTTGCTATGCAGCCTCGTGCCAAAGCTGCCCCGCCCCAGCACAGGTCCCGCCCATCCATAGCTCCCACCCTGAGGCCCCGCCCCCTCACGGTCCCACCTAGCTGAGGACACGCCCAGTCTAGGCCCCGCCCACCCCGAGGTCCCGCCCATCTTAGGTCCCATCCCGAGAGGCCCCGCCCCCCATAGGTCCCTCCTAGAAGAGGCCCAGTCCCCGCAAAGTCCCACCCAACATAGGCCCCACCCCTCACGGATTCCGCTAGGCCACATCCCCTCACAGGTTCCGCCCAAAATAGGCTCCACCCCCACAACATCCCACCCAACACAGGCTCCCCCGCATAGCATATGCCCACCCCCCCCACAAAGTCCTAACCAGCGTGAGCTCCACCCTGCACAGGGCCAGCCCACGTAGGCTCCGCCCCCTGGCAGTCCTGCCCAGCATAAGCCCCGCCTCCTCGTCGGCTCCGCCCAACATAGGCTCCGCCCCCCTCATCAGCCCCACCCAGCACTGCTCCCCACATGGTTTCCTCTAGGAACTTCCTGGTGCCCAGGCATGAGGGTTGGCAGACGCCGCTGGCCCAGGAGAGGGGAGCCCCCTGGGTGGCCCCTCAAATCAGAACCACCGCCGACTGGGAAGTGGGCCCTGACGTCCCCACCAACCCCCGGGACACACAGGTGTACACGTTTCTGGGCCCCAGGACTGCGCGGGCTCTGCACTTGACAGGGGGAAAGTGGAAGGCTGAGCGCAGGGGAAACGACTTCCAGAACCTTCCGCACATTAGTAAGGCGGGACCAGTCCGGGAGGTGGAGCACTTGCCTTGCCCAGAGTGTCGCCGGATCCCCAGCACACACGGTCCAGGGGGCACTTCGAGGGCTCACTCCTGAGCACAGGGAACACCAAGCCCCCAAGTACACTGGGTGTGGCCCCCAAAACAAGCCTAAAGTGTGGTCACATCCTCTACTGAGCTGGACCCAGAGTGCAGGAAGCACAAGACACTACTTTCCCGAGTGTCCTGGAGAAGGTCAACAGAAAGCCACCTCGGGAGTCTGCTTGTGTCCACAGTGGAGGGCAGCGGCATTGTATGCCTACGTGCGTGCTGCATGCACGCATCCTGCCTGCGTCCTGAGTGTATGTGTGCATGCGTGTCCTGCCCGCCTGCATCCCACATGTGTGCATGCCTCATGCTCAGGTGCCTTCCACGTGAGGCCGGGAAGGTTCCTACCTGGACGTTCCGTGTCCCCGCACAAGTCCCATTTACAACTGCAGTCGCAGAGCAGGCCTGTGATGTCTGGTGAGGAGTGAGTGCATGTTGTGTGGTTTGAATGGTATGTTTAATGTGGAGCGTGCAGCTTCTGAAAGTGTGTTAGAACGTGGCATGACACATATTGCACGGAGGGTGTTGTGTGCTCTGCAGCACGTGGAGCCTGTGTGCTGTGGGGGTCTGAGATGGTGGGAGTGCCTGAATACACACAGGTGAGTGGGAAAGACATGAGTGTCCGCATCGAGGGCTGGGGGTGCCTGCGGGGCTGGCCCTCGAGCCTCACCTCCCCAGGAGCCCCCCAAAACCCACCCGGTGTCATCGCCCAGGATTCCCAAAAAAAAACAAAGAAATTAGAAACTGGCCACCAGTACAAGGAGACAAAGGCGCCCTCGGGCCCGGTCCAGCCTTCCCTCCTGCCCACCGTCCAGAGCAGGCGATCGGGAGGGGACAGGGCTGCTTCTCCGGGAGCACCTCTCCGTCCTCCCTGAAGACACGCCGCTGGCCGCTGGTTCCCAGCAAGGCGCCACCCCCACCCCCGCGGACTTACCCAGCGCCTGTAACTGGTTGCACTCCTTCTTGTGGACGTCCACCCACAGGCGGCCTTTGCAGGACTTGCTGCACGTCAGCACCCCGTAGCAGCGAACGCAGGGCAGCAGCCGCACCCCCACGGAGCGTCCACACTGGTAGCAGAACTTGAAGAAGGGTATCCTGCAAGGGGGTCCGGCCGCCTCTGAGCTGGGCTCCGCGGCAGTCCCGGCCCGCCCTTGCCCCGCCACTCACTCACTGCACGGGGTCCTCCCGGGTGGACATCCTCTTGCCCAGGGCTCTCCGCTTTATCCTGTTGCAGTGGACCAGCTCCGCTGTGCCCAGACACCCATGTCAGCGCCCCTCACCTCACTCACGCTGCCCCCGGGGTGGGGCACTCAGTGGGGCGGGCGGGCGGGCGGGCAGGGGCCCCTGATGCTATGGCAGGTCCTGGGTGACTCTTTGCCCCATGCCCCCCGCAGTGCTACCTCTGCTTCCTCATCGGCCCTAGGACACAGCGACCCCCGCAAAGAAACCTGGCCGGCAGGAAGTGGGGGTCCTCTGCCCCCAGCACCGGGGCGGGGAGGGGTGCTGACAGCACATCTGGGGGCTCCTTGGGACATGAGCAGGTGCAGGGTTCAGGTCCTGGCAGGCTGCAAGGTTCTGCAGTGGGATCCAGTCGGGGGGTGGGGGACTCGGTCCCTTCCCAGGTTGGGGGCAGGCGGGGGTCCCTCCCTTTGCCAGGCAGAGAGGTCAGCCGCGCCCAGGAGTCAGCATCTCTCGTGTCCCCCGGCACCTCTGAGGCCCGGCCGCAGGGGAAAGGGCACTTGCTTGGGACAAGCCCGTGCCGGCGGTGGCCATGGTGCGTCCTGGGGTCCTGTGCGTGCTGGACATGCCGTGATGAGTGTCCATTGCAGGGGACCCAGAGAGCGGCTGTGGGTCTGACCTTGTCCCCCTCGTCCATGCTTCTCCCTAGCATCCCCCGCCAGGCCCGACCCCAGCCCCAACCCGTACAGCACCACCACCCGGAACAGGTGGCGAGACCCTCGAGGTGTGTGGGTGCCGGCAGCCCAGCTGCCCTGCTGAGACTCTTCTTCCCTCTGCAGGGGGGCAAGGCCCAGACGCCCACCAGACCCAGGTCGGTCATCGCTGCCCAGTGCTCGTGACAGGTTCTCCCTTCTCCCCTTCTCCTGAGAACAGCCTCCTTCCTGGCACAGCCGTGTCCCGACCCAGGGTGGGAGTGGGGCTGCCCCCATGTCCCTGAGCGGTCTCTGGGGTGGGTGCTGTCCAGTGCGTGGGGAAGAGACCTATCCACAGGTGGGCAGCACTGTGCTCCCCCAGCCACCTCCTGCCATTGGGCAGAGGGAGAAGCTGCTGGAAGGACAGGATTCCCCAGGAGGGACTGCCCCCGGGATCACGGCCCTAGAGTGACACCCCGGCAGCCCTCAGGAGGCTTCGAGAGGAGGCAGCCCCGCCCCTGCACGTCTCTGCCGCATTCCCCGGCCACCACCCCCCCCCCCCCGCCCCGCAAAGCCTCCTGAGGTGGGGCTGACCCAGCCAGACACTCAGGTGTTCTGCAGGAAAGCCCTGGCCTGTGTGTCGAGGTCCGTGCAGGGCTGAGTGTCCCAAGCTGGGGACAACCAGGGCAGCTGCAGAACCCGGCTGGCTGGGCGTGTGCTGTGCTGGGGGCCACTGTGCTGGGCATCCTCTGTGCTGGGCATCCTCTGTGCTGGGTGTCCACTGCGCTGGCATCCACTGAGCTGGCATCCACTGTGCTGGGTGTCCACCGTGCTGGTGTCCACTGTGCTGGGTGTGTGCTGTGCTCAGCGTCCACTGTGCTGGGCATCCACTGTGCTGAGCATCTGCTGTGCTGGGCATCCTCTGTGCTGGGTGTCCACTGTGCTGGGTGTCCACTGTGTTGGCGTCCACTCTGCTGAGTGTCCACTGTGCTGGGCATCTGCTGTGCTGGGCATCCGCCATGCTGGTGTCCACCGTGCTGGGCGTCCACTGTGCTGCTGTCCACTGTGCTGGGTGTGTGCTGTGCTCAGTGTCCACTCTACTGGGCGTCCACTGTGCTGGGCATCCGCCATGCTGGTGTCCACTGTGCTGGGTGTGTGCTGTGTTCAGCGTCCACTGTACTAGGTATCCACTGTGCTGGGCATCCGCTGTGCTGGTGTCCACCGCGCTGGGTGTCTGTCCACTGTGCTGGTGTTCACCGTGCTGAGCATCCGCTGTGCTGGCGTCCACTGTGCTGGGCGTCCGTCGTGCTGGGCGTCCGTCGTGCTGGGCGTCCGCCGTGCTAGTGTCCACCGTGCCCGCTCTCTGCTCAGGTCCCCGGCTGTGGCCCTGCCGTGGCTGTCCCTCGCCCCTCAGCTGTCAGCAGCCGCCCGCCCGCCCGCCCCCACGTACCTCGCTTGCTCAGGTGCAGGGCGCGGGGCTCCCACTGGGCCTCGCGGGCCAGGACGGCTCTGCGCAGCAGGAAGCCCATGTGCTCCAGCAGCCTCTTCCGGGCCAGCAGCACGTCGCGCTCGTGCGGCAGGAGCGTGTGGAAGGCGCTGTGCGCGATCCTGCGGTCCTGCGGACGGCGCGGCCCCGGGGCCGGCTTGCACAGGTCCACGGCCGAGGCCGGCCCCCTCCCGACCCCCCGGGACGCACCTGGAAGAACTGGAAGTACCCGTAGTCCACGGCAGTGCCCACGGCCACCTTGTCCCCCTGCGTGAGCGTCACGGGGTTCAGGATGTCGGCCCCGAAACTGATGAGCTGGTCGATCTGGGGGACAGAGGCCAAGTCACACTGGCCCTGCCCTCCAGCCCCACGGCCACCGGTCTGCTCAGTAGGGGCCGGGCCCCAGGGATGGCCACCGTCCCTGTGAAAATGGCCACTGTCCCCCATGGGAGTGGCTGCTATCCCCTGTGGGAGTGGCCGCTGTCCCCCGTGAGTGGCTGCTCTCCCCGTGAGTGTCCCCTGCACTCCCACACAGACCACCATATTCCAAGTGTGCAGTTGTGAGACAAATGGGTCCCCCAAGCCTGACCAGGCACTGGCCAGACTCCCCCGTCAGGACAGTGTGGGGACGGTGTGGGGGCTGCTTCCTCCACAGTCCTGTCAGAGGGCAGGGACAGGTGTGCGATCTCCAAGCCACCAAGCAGAGCCGGGTAGGACGCCCAACTAACTCCAGGGCCAGCTGCTGACCCCAGGAGAGAAGGAACAACCCGGGAGGGCGGGCACAGCCAGGAGGGTGGCACCTGTGAGCCCGTGTGGAGCTGCCCTGCAGTGTCCATCTCCCCGTCTGAGCCCTTTCTCAGGGCGCTGGTGAGCTGATGCCCGGGGTAGGTATGACAGTGAATGTGGGGGATGCGGGCCAGAGGGAGGCCTCGCAGGTCAGTGATGTGTGGGCACGGATGGGCCCGTGGGCAGGTGGGCATCACGGGTGAGAGTGCATGCAGGGGAGACAGGCAGGAAGCGCCCGGTGACCCACACACAGAGATGGTGGCTTTCTCGGGGTGCGGGTCATGGTGAGCGTGGGGTCCGGGGGTGAGCGTGGGGTTTGGGGGCAAGCGTGGGGTTTGGGGCGAGCGTGGGGTTTGGGGGCGAGCGTGGGGTTTGGGGGCGAGCGTGGGGTTTGGGGGCGAGCGTGGGGTTTGGGGCGAGCGTGGGGTTTGGGGCGAGCGTGGGGTTTGGGGGCGAGCGTGGGGTTTGGGGGCGAGTGTGGGGTTTGGGGCGAGCGTGGGGTTTGGGGGCGAGCGTGAGGTTTGGGACGAGCGTGGGGTTTGGGGTGAGTGTGGGCTTTGGGGGAGAGCGTGGGGCGGGTGCAGGATGGCGCCACTCCAGGCGCATCTGCCTCAGTGCATTTTCTTTCCACTCTCTGTGAGTGTGAGAATGATCACTGGGTAAGTGAAAAGGAGATTTCTGAGAAAGTGAACTGGCTCCTAGCGACATGCCCGGGCAGGGGTGGGGACGGGCCAGAGCCGGGCGAGCATGGGCGAGGGGCAGAGGGGCCGAGAGGACACACGTCGGAGCAGGGGCTGACCCAGGACACAGGGAGACACACCGCTTCCTCTGTGTGTGCCTGTTGGGGTGGGCAGCCAAGGGGGCCGAGGACAGGGCCAGCCCGGGAAGGGCAGTGTGGGGCTGCTGTCCCCGCCCGCTGGAGGGTCTCACCAGGGCGATGGAGCTCTCCAGGCTCCTGTGGTTCTCGTAGCTGATGTCACAGGCCACGCAGAGTGCGCTGCCCAGGCCTTTGGTCAGCAGCAGGTTGGGGTCAGCACCGTGGGTCAGCAGCTCCTTCACAATCTGCACAGGGGGACACGGTCCCCGACCCGCCAGGACACATCTGGCCTGGCCTGTCCTCCCCCAGCTCCCTCATGAGGTGGGGGGGGGCGGGGGCAGGGCGCCTGGGGGTCAGCTGGGCAAGAGCCGCAACAGTGTCTCATCTGCCCCTGGCTGTGACCCCTGCATCAGGCCAGGCCCACACTGGAGAACCGGCCACCTCAGCAGCCTCCCACACCCAGGCAAAGGGCCCGGCAACACCCCCAACAGCGAGGCCCCTGGCCAAGCGGCCTGTCCTCAGCTCAGATAGAGAAGGGAACACCAAGCAAAGGGTGTTTGGAGGACTCGCTCGGGATGCAAGATGCATGCTGAAAGTAGGCTATAGATAGACCGAACACGATGGCCACTCAATACCTCTATTGCAAACCACAACACCTTAAAGGAAAGAGTGAGCAAAAGGGAATGCCCTGCCACAGAGGCAGGGGGGTGGGGGATGGGGTGGGGGTGGGAGGGATACTGGGTTCATTGGTGGTGGAGAATGGGCACTGGTGGAGAGATGGGTACTTGATCATTGTATAACTGAAACCCAAGCACAAAAGTTTGTAAGTCTACAACTGTACCTCATGGTGTTTCACTAGTAAAAAAAAAATTAAAAAAAACAAGCGGCCTGTCCTCCTGACCCACCGCAAGCAGCTAGGAACCCTGTGCCAGCCCACACCCTGTCGGGAGCACAGGTACTTTGCACAGTGTGCCCCAGAAGGAACAGCTGAGAGAAGACAGTGGGCAGGGAACAGGCGGGAGGGAGGGAAGGTGGGGGAGGGCACAGTCAGAGAGTGGACGGATAGAAGAATGGGTAGATGGAGGTGTAGTGGTGGAGGGGGACACGGATGGATGGAAAACTCATGGCAGGTAGGTGACGGATGCTGCGGGGGGACACATGAATGGATGGGTACACAGATGGATGGACAGACGGACGGACGATGGACAGGTAGATTTGTTATGGATGAATGAGTGGAAGGATGGATGGAGGGACAGGGAGACAGACGAATGAATGGATGGACAGATGAGTGAATGGATGGATGGATGGACAGATGGATGGATGGACAGGATGGATGGGTGGATGAGTAGATGGATGGACTGACGGACAAATGGATGGACAGATGGATGGAGGATGGATGAATGGGTTGATGGACAGGTGAATGGATTGTCTGACAGATGGGTGGATAAATGGATGGATGGATGGTTGGACAGGTGGATGGGTGGGTTGTGGGTGGGTAGATGGGTGGGTGGGTGCGTGGGTGGGTGGATGGATGGGTGAAAGGGTAGATGGAAGCGTGGATGGACAGGAGGATGGGTGGGTAATGTGTGGGTAGGTGGACGGATGGGTGGGTGGGTGGATGGGTAACGTGTGTGTGGGTGGATGACAGTTCTGGCATCAGACCACAACCCTTAACCCAAGGTCCCCTCCCACGTCACCATCCATGGCAGATTCCAGGTGCTGACGAGCAGGAACACCAGCACCCACTCCGTGCCTGAAGCTTGCTCACCAGGTCATTCCCGCTGATAATGGCCAGGGAGAGTGGGGAGTGCCCACTCCACAGCATGTTGGGGTTCGCCTTGTGGGACAGGAGAAGCTGGACCACATCCTGGGCATGCTGGGAGAAAGGCAGGCCCGCAGGTCAGACACGCCAGACTTCTGGACACCAAGCACCCGCTGTTAACTCCAGTAACACAGGGCCGTGGAGACGCCTCACTGCACCGGCTGGGCCCATTTTCCACTACAGCACCGGCCCGAGACCCCCCAACTCGGACCAACTGGGTGAAAGGACAGATGAGCAGATGAGGGGAGGAGGGCGTGTTGGATGGGAGAAAGGCAGGGCCACAGGGGTGGGAGGGCGGGTGAGTGGATGGCCAGGGGCCTGAGGGGTGTCCTTCTCCGCACTCACACATGGGAACCCCGGGATAACCAGCCGCAGAAGGGACAGGGGACAGGGGACGCCCCGGGAGTGTGGCCACGTGCCTCACAGCTCAGAGCAGACGGAGCCAAGAGCCGGACTCATAGCTGGACTTGGCTGCCGTGTCCCTGCACAGGCTGTGGACTCACGGCCTCCTCCAGCAAGCCCCCGCGGCCCCTGTAAGCCCTTCCTTGCGACCGTGCAGACGGGACGGCCAATTGGAAGAGCCCGTCTGCCACCATGCACCCTGCACCCTGCAGTCCTGCTTCCTCTCCAGGGACCCTTAGAGCCTCACTGAAATCCCTGAGTACGTCCAGAGAGTTTCCCCACAGGGCACTGCCCCCTAACTCACTGGGCGGCAGTGCAGGGGCTGGCCTGGGTCAGGGGAGACCGCCCAGTGCTTCCCCACACCCTCTCCCAGCCGGACGCGTCGTGATGGCTGGACCTCCGCAGCCCTTCCCAAAGCAGCACCTGGCTCGGCCGACCAGCCATGGCCTGGGGGCTGAGACCACCCCACTCTGCACCGCCTGACTCCCCAGATGTGCACGGGCAGAAAGGGGGTCCTGACCGCATCCCTCAAGCCACTGTTGGGACAGACTTTGGCGCCTCTCAAGTAAGCTGGTCCTGGTGCCGGCCCAGGCCCGAGGGGCTCAGCAGGACACGGACGCAGGAAAGCGTGCAACAAGCTCTGTTGTGGCCTCGCCTGTTCCCTGTGGGCAAGATCTGGCCGAAGCCATTCAGGGAGGACGTCTGCATGCTACGGGACTGACAACATATCCCAGACTCTGGCCCCTGCGCCAGCACCGTCACTACCTGGCCCACATGGACCGACCCCTGTGGGACAGCCAGCTCACGCCCGCCACAGGCACCGACAGGGAACAGCGAACTCTCTGGGCACAGCTGGGGACACGTGTGCCCACCCACATGCATACACAGGCCAGGCATACACACACGGACACACGCAGACATGCATGGGCACATGCAGACACACGCATGGGCACAGGCAGACATGCATAGGCACACACAGACATACAAACGGACACACGCAGACATACGCAAGGGTACACACAGACACACGCATGGGCACGTGCAGACATACACACATGGGCACACAGACATGCATGGGCACATATAGACACACAAATGGGCACACTGACACACACAGGCAGGCACACACAGGTATACACACAGATACACATACGGGCACACACAAATACTGGCACACAGGGGCAGGAGCACACAGGCACACAGCAGCACACCTGGGAGCTGGTGCATGCCTACCAACACACAAGCACATGCGGCACACATGGACCACACGAACACGCGAGTGCACCACGCCCTCACAGGCACACCTGTGCTCACCCTCGTGGCTGCATCACACCCGCTCACCTTCTGGTTGTCCATGCGCTCACAGGCCACGTGCAGAGGCGTCCGGCCACCCTGGCTCCCCTCCCCGGAGGCCGGCACGGTATAGTAGATGCTGGGCGGGCCCAGCTCTCCGTTCAGCTTCATGGTAGATGGCTGGAGGTCCTGCTGTGTGCACACGGGGCGACGCCCGACTCAGCCTTGCCAGTACCCTGGGCTCACGTGCCCACTGAGTCCCACGAGACCTGCACTGTAGGCTCACCCACACTCACACACACCCACACGCTCACAGATACCCTCACACTCACATATCCACACATCTGACACTCACAGGCACTCACACCCTGTCACATATTCACACACACTCACACACCAACACACATTCACAGATACACACACTCACAAGATGCTCTCACATACACTCAGACACTGTCACATATTCACGCTCAGACACTTACACGCCAATACACACACTCAGATACTCTCACACCCTCACATATACACATATGGGCACACACGCAATCACAACACTCACACCGACACATCACTCACATATTCACACACACCAACACGCTCATACACACCCACACATTCACACAGACACAAACACCAATTCACACACACACACACACACACACACACACACACACAGAGTCAGTGGCCTCTCGCATCCAAGATACCCCCACAGGTTGGGAGAGCTCTGTGCCGCCAAGGCGCCCACTGGATCCGGGCTCAGGCTGTGCTGCCCACGTGGGGTGAGAAGCGACCTGCCTGCAGGGCCCCAGCCCCCAGCCCTGGGACAGGGCAAGGCAGCAAGCAGAGAGCTGCGGGGACCGGGGACCGGCTGCTGGGGCCATCCCCAGAGCAGCCTGCGTCAGCCCGCCCACCCGCGCGCCCCGCCCACCCGACGGACCCAGCCATCTCACATGCCCCGCCCACCCGACAGTCCTGCTCCCCGGCGTGCCCTGGCCCGTGGCCACGCCCACCGACACGCCCCGCCCACCGCCACACCCCATCGATGACCACGCCCACCGACCACGCCCCGGGCCTGGCCCCGCCCACCTTGTGGGGTTTGCACGGCTCGTCCTCGTCCGAGGCGCGGGCGTCCACGTCAGTGATGGCGTGGAGCAGCAGCTCGGTGATCTTGGTGCCCTCCTCCCCGGGCAGGGCAGCCGCGATGTGCAGGGGGGTCAGGGACCTGAGCTGCAGGAGGGGGTGAGGCGCGGACCCCACGGGGGCCACCTCCCCACCCCCCCACTGCTCACGTCTGAGGAGCCGTCCCATGCCCGACTCCCACCGCGGCCGCCCCCTTGGCTTTCCTGGCCCTGCACTTGTCCACGGCCAGGTCTGGTCCTCAGCACCTACGGATCAGTACCGAGGAGCAGGACGCGGCACAGCAGGTCCCCAGTGGGGGCCGCGCTGCTGCAGCCTCCCAGGGGCCGGAGGAGAGGACAGGGCCCTCAGCCGGGGACAGGGAAGGGGTCCCACACATGGAGGAAGACAGGGTTGGAGCAGACTGAATCCAGCCCAGGATCTGTCACCCAGCCCCCCACTGCTGCTCCCATCACCCGCATCTCAGGCCCCCCACAGATCCCATCACAACACCACAGTCCCCCACAGCTCCTGTCACCCGTCACCACAACCCCCCCCCACGGATCCTGTCACCAACACCTCAGCACCCCACAGCTCCCCCATAACCGTCACTTCAGCCCTCCCCGGCTCCTGTCACCATCACCCTAGCTCCCCCATATGGATCCTGTCACCATCACCTCAGTCCCCCCACTGCAGCTCCTGTCACTGTTGCCTCAGTCTCCCCACTGCAGCTCTGGCAACTGTCACCTCAACCCTCCCATGAGCTCCCCTCTCTGTCACCTCAGACTGCCAGCGAGGCTCCCCAGAGTCACTCCCAGCCCACCTCAGGCGGGTAGCGGATGTCGGTGCGAGCCCCGCTCTCCAGCAGCAGCCGCACCCCGTCCACGTCTCCCGCCTTCACGGCGAGGAAGAGCACCGGCATGGGCACGCGGCTCAGGTTGGGGTCGGCGCCACGGCGCAGCAGCATGCAGATGGTCGACCACCGGCTCGTTTGCCTGTGGAGAGCGGGAAGGGGGTCCCTGAGCCCCGGGGTCCCCTGCTACCAGACACGCCTCCCGGGGCAACATCACCCGACACCCCCTTGCGGGACACGGAGCCCGGGGCGGGAGACACGGAAGGTCTGAGAGCACACAAGCACACACACGGCCACATCATGCGTGTGCACACACCACGACGCACATGGCGACGCGTGTACATGATCTGCATCTGCGGGGAGGTGTGATGGTGCATGTGTGCGTGGGCTCGTGCTGTCCACGGTGAGCCTGTGTCCAGGTGTGTGTCCGCAGTGAGCCCACAGGGGAGCAGCCTCAGGTGAGTGTCCATCAGCTTGTGTCCTGGGGTGATCGGTGCCCATGGTGGTGGTGGTGTGTGTGTGTGTGTGTGTGTGCGCCCTGGGGTGAATCCACAGGTCACTGTGTCTGGGTGAGAGGTGTGGCCATGTGTGTGTGTCTAGATGCTGTGCAAGGAAGAGGACCTGCTGCCTCCCCAGGCCCCCCCTCACTGTGGCCCCCCTGCGCCGCGGCCCCCCACACTAGCCAGGCGAAGTTTCCCGTAAGACTGCTCAGAGCAGATGCCCCGGCACCCCAGCCTGACCGCCCGCCCAGCAGTGTCCGCTCACTCCACCACGGACAGCGCCATCCTCCACAGGCTGCCCCTGCCGGAGTCGCTGTGCCGGAGGGAGGGCAGCTTCTGCAGGCCGCAGGAGGCCAGCGCGCCCCGCTCCAGGAGGTCCCGCGACAGCCTGACCGAAAAGTTCCGCACGCACAGCGTGGACTCGAAGAGGCTCTGCGAGCTCAGCTTGCCCTGGTGGCCCGGCCGGGCATCCAGGTCCCACTCCAGGTCGCTGAGGCTGTCCCCGTGGGAGGAGCTCCAGTCCTGGACGCTGCTCCACAGCTCGCTGGACTCCCAGGACATCTCCAGGGCGGAGGACGTGGCCTCGAAGGAGCCTTCGAAGGGCGTTGAGGGCAGCGCCAGCCTCACCTCCTGGGGGCCCACGGTGGACACGGAGTCCTCTCTGTGGGTGGGCTGCAGCTCCACGTGCACGTTGGAGAGGGAGTGGGCAGAGTACACGGTGAGCCTCGGTGTGTCCTTCACAGGGAGCAGAGACTCAGCGAGGCCGGCGTGACGGCAGACGCCGACCCTGTCACCATGGACTCCCGGAACGAGGCCCCAGAACTGAAACAGCGTGACGAGATGGGCAGAGGCGCCCACATGTCCCTCATCGCCCCGCCTGTGTGTCCCTCAGTGGCCCCGTGCCCGTACCACCTGGACGCTGGAGCTTGAGGGCCCAACTGGGCCCCAGACCCTGTCTGGGCATCCCCAGGACACGCTGGCCTCATGGTGGGTGCCGAGGGCTGTCAGTGGGGGACGGACCTGCTGACTTGCTGGGCGGCATGACGCTGTCAGGACAGAGCCCACTCTGAATGCGCGCTGTCGGGGGGAAGAGCTGGGCAGCCCCTGTGCCCTCCGGGGTGGCATCCCCGGGACAGCCCCTACGCCCAGAGAGTGCGGGCTTCCCGGGTCTTCGCAGCTCCTGGTCCTTCCCTGGCCACTAGCGGGGTGGATGGACGTTCTCTTGTGTATGGGGATCCCTGAAGGGCCTGGACTCCCCGCTGCCAGGACAGGCCCTTCCCGCCTCCCCCGGGGCCACTGCAGGAGATGGGAGGGGGGAACGGAGAAGCCAGCTTGGAGCCTCCGCGGTAAATGCCACACGTGGGGCCAGAGAGCAAGCGCAGGCCCTGGGCACTTGTCCAGCGTGTGGTGACCAGGGTCAGTGGCTGGCCCCACATGCTTTTCTGAGCACCCGCAGGTGCCAGCGGGGGGTGGGGGGCTCCCAGCACCAATGGGGTCCAGGAATCTGCACTGCCTGGAGGTCAGACAGAGGCAGCGAGAGTCCAGGATGGGGGTGAGGGGGAGAGTGGACCCTCCTGGGACAGACGGGGATGGGGCGGGGGGGGGAATGACCCCTCCTGGAATGGACGGGGACGGGGCGGGGAGAGTGGCCCCTCCTAGGACAGACAGGGATGGGGCGGGGGGAGCGGCCCCTCCCAGCCCCATTTTCCTTCCTGTTCTACTTTGGTTTGGGCCAACCCCGGGCAGTGCTGGGCCCTACTACCGGCTCTACGCTCAGGGGTCACTCCTGAGGGCGCTTGGGGATGGGCCATGGGCCAGCGCCTGGGGCCCACCCTCTGCCTACCACGCCGGGCCTCCTCACCCGGACGATGCCGTGCCCAGGGCTGAACAGGGACGCCGTGCGCTCGGCCACGTTGCCCTTAAAGGCCCAGGCCGGGTAGTAGAGCAGGACGCACATGGCGAGTGGCGTGAGGCCCTCATCCGAGCACTTGTTCACATCGGCCCCACAGTCCAGGAGGAGCTGGATGACGTCCGTGTGGCAGTGGACCTGGGCACAGGGCGGGCTCAGTGGGCGCGGGCGGGCGGGGGTAGGTCCGCCCCAGCGCTCCCCACCGGCGGGCCCGGGCAGGGCTCACAGCAGCAGCGGCCAGCGCGCAGTAGCCCTGGGAGTCGGCCACATCGGGGCTGGCGTGCTTGCTCCGCAGGGCGCGGCGCATCCAGTCGAGGTCGCCCTCCTCGGCCTTCAGGATCATCTCCGCCGCCAGCTGCTCCCGGGGCCCCGGCTGCCCGAAGCCCGTGCGGTCCCCCGCCAGGATGGCGTCCATCCCCCACTTGCCGTGCGCCGGCTTGTGCCTGCGGGACAGTGGCTTCAGCAGGGCCTCATCCCTCTGCCATCCACACAGAGGCTGTGGACAGTCCACTCCTCACAGTGGGGCCCTCAGAGTGCCCACACCCACTCCGTCCTCAGCACACTGCCCACAGCACAGTCGCCCGTCCCCAGCACCAGTCAGCATGGGCACAGCTGCCGTGGGCGGGTAGATGGACTCGGGCAAATGGACAGATGGGTGGACCAGTGAGGGGACAGACTGATGGACAGGTGGACAGATGGGGAATCAAATGGGTTCTAGGAGGGACAAGGCAGAGGGAAGGGTGTGTGTTGGAAAGATGGACGAAAGGAGGGGAGGGTGGGACGGATGCTTGGAGGGCTGGACTGGTCAGCGGGTGGGTGAACAGAGGGCGAGGGGCGTGTGGTGGCTGGCAGGAGGGTGATCAGATGAGTGGGTGGATGGACAGGTGGGTGACGGGGGGTTGACAGGATGGATGGATGGATGGATGGGTGGGTGGGTGATGGGTGGCGGAGAGGAGGATGGATGGGTGGGTGGGTGGGTGGGTGACAGGTGGTTGACAGGTGGGGGGTGATGGGTGGTTGACAGGTGGGGGGTGATGGGTGGGTGACAGGTGGATGGATGTGGGGCATGGGAGAATGAGAGACTCAGCCCTATGTTCATGGAATGTGGATTCTCTCAGACTCTCGGGATAGCTTAAGACCAAGTTTGAGGCAGAGACTGAAACATACTAAAATTTTCTAAGTTTTGTTTCATGTTTTGGAGCAACATCTGGAGATGCGCAGGGGTCACTCCTGGCTCTGCACTCCGAAATTATTCCAGGTGGTGCTCAGAGGACCAGATGCTCAGGAACAGAAGCCAGGTTGGTCACGGGCAAGGCAAACGCCCTACCTGCTGTACTACTGCTCCAGCCCTGAATATATTAAATTTTAAACATCCATTTCCTAAGGACCCCTCAATTATTTGTTGCTGGGGAAGCCGCCTGGTCCAGCCTCCATGAAAAACAGAATTGAGACTCTTCAAAAAAAAAATAGGGGAGGCATTGTTCATCGATTTGCTCGAGCAGGCACCAGTAACGTCTCCATTGTGAGACTTGTTTACTAGCGTTTATCTATAAATGACAATTCTAGTGATGGGCCATTTTCTCTATCACTTTGTTGATAAATTCATGCACATTATGATGTTATATAATTATATTTATGAATTCAGGCTACTGAATGTAACCTGCCCACACGGCAGAGTCTGGCAAACTCCCCATGGCGGACCCAATATGCCAAATACCAGTTAACAATGATGGGTCTCATTCTTCTAACCCTGAAAGAGCCTTAAAAATGGCACTTTTTAAAACCTCAGGGCTAGGACGAAGGAGACGTTACTGGTACCTGCTAGAGGCAATTGACGAACAACAGGATGATTATGATCGTGATCGTGATGAATTCACTATTTAAAAAAAATAACTAAGGAAGGAAGAGGAGAAGAAGGAGTAGCAGCAGGAGGAGGAGGAAGAGGAGAAAAAAGCAGGGAGAGAGGAGGGGAGGGGGAGGAGGGGGAGGGAAGGACCAAGAGGAAAGGGGAGGGGAGGGGGGAGTCCCAAGGGAGAGGGCCAGATGCCCAGGGCACATGAAGGACAGCTGAGGGGGCCCCCTTGGACACTGGCTGCAGAACTGAGGCCACATGAGGGGGGCAGGAGGCAGCAAGTCTCGGGGGCCAGTGGGGGTGCAGAGCCGAGAGCGGGCAGCAGCGTACGACACACACAGCGGCGCACAAAGCTGCGTCGCTCACACGGCCAGTGACATCCACTCAGGGACCGCCTCCCTGGGTGCCAGGTGTCGCCGCGGCCCTACGTGCTCCCCTCTAGCCCACCGTGTTCCTGCCCCAGGCTGGCCAGCCCTGCCCTGCGCGACCCCGCGTGCACAGGCCAGAGGAGGCCGGCGGGCGGCGCTGAGCTCCGGGGAGGAAGCAGCCCACATAGAACTCAGCTCACAGGCCACGTCTGGCCGCCCCGCCCACGTGTCCAGCCCGGCCGCACCTGAACCTGTAGGCATGCCTCTGCATCTGGAGCAACACGGGGGTCTCGTTCTTGACAGTCCAGGGCTCCTCGTCCTCGGGCGGGGGCGTCTCGCTGAGGAAGATGCGGGCGTCTAGGTCCCGCCGCAGCGAGGCGGGCAGGGGCAGGTGGTCGCTGTCGGTGGAGTAGACGCTCACGTCCGGGGGCAGGGCCTGGCCGTCATCCCGCAGGAGCTGCTTGTAGGGGTAGGAGAAGGGGTCCGGCTCGGGGCCCGGCGCCCGCTCCTCCCCGGGCTCGTCGGAGAGCCTGGCTCGCGCCGGGACGCAGCTCAGGAAGCTGGAGAACTCGGAGTGCTCCTGCACGGAGAAGCTCGTGGGCACCGGCGTGCACAGCTGGATGAGGTGGTCCCCCAGCCACAGCCCCACGTCCTGGCTGCCGTTGGCATACGTCTCGATGCCAGGCCCGAACCGCCGGTCTGCCTTGTACAGCCCCTGCCGCGGGAAAGCAACGGGCAGTCAGCCGGCAGCACCTGCACATCCAGCCGGGAGAGGCCGAAACGGATGTGCTCCTGGAACACAGAGCTGAAGCTCCGTCACTCTGCGCCGCGAGCATGGGGCAAGGCAGACGCCCCAACTTGGACACGGGGGACCTGCTCCCCAGTGTGCCAGCCCTGGCGGTGGAGACGCCCGCGAGCAGAGGGCAGGATCTGGAGCCACAGGTGAGAGCCCCACAATGTGCCCCTGGGCACCATCTTAGCGCACCAAGAGCCCTGGTCCAGAGACTCCCAGTTGGATCCTCAAATGGATTAGTGCGCTACAGAGATGTCCCTGGAACCCGACCATTTACAATCTCGAATTCCAGAAGCACGCCGTCATGATATTAAACGTGAGCCATGGAAAATAAAGTAGCATCTGCCCCCGACAGGTAGGCTTCAATGGTGGTGGGAAAATCTGGGCAAAACAGAATGCCCAAAAGTAGAGAGAGAGAGTTGGGGAAACTGTCTGCCATGGAGGCAGGGTGAGGACTGAGATTGGGGGAGGGGCATACTGGGGACACTGGTGGTGGGGATGTGCACTGGTGGAGGGAGGGTGTTCAATCATCGTACAGCTGAATCTCAAACATGAAAGCTTTGTAACTCTATCTCATGATGATTCAAAAGGAAGGGAGGGAGGAAGGAAGGAAGCGATTAGTCTCGTTGTGTGATTTCTATCTCAAAGACACTCTGACCCATGGAAGAAAACAGAGGATCAACTGAAAGAGTGAAACACTTGGGACACCGAGCGGATTCACAGGGCACGGCGGGCACGGGACAGGGGCCGGCCCCTCGCTCAGGCCTTGAGTCCCAAGGGAGACCAGAGAGCAGATGCAGCTGAGGCGACTGGACAAAGCCAGACGGTGCCCAGGTCCCTGCCAAAGCACAGCACGGCGACAGAGCCGTGGAAAGGGAACCTGCAGGCAAAGAAGAAAGACGTTTTTTGAAAAGCAACAGTTAAGGTTCCAGATGGACTCTGAGGTGCAGGACGGGAGGCAGAGAGCAGTGGGCAGAGCTCAGGGAAGCGCCGCCAGCCTGGACACCCGCCTCTCTGTGAAAATACCTGCCAATGACTGAGGCTGAATTATGAACAGAAAATGCAACCCTGTAGATAAGGCAACAAGAAAAAGAACAAGGTTAACAGTTAATAGAAGGAAAGAACTAAGATCAGAGCAGACGGGCCAGAGCTTTGGACAGCCCGTAGGGAGGGTGCTTGCCTTGCATGCGGGTGAATTAAGCGGGGGTGATTGGGCAGGGGTGTAGTGGGCAGGGGTGAGGTGGGATGACCAGAAGATTCAAAACCTTGGGGCTGGAGTGATTGCATAGCAGGTAGAGAGATTACCTTGCTCGCAGCCGACCCGAGTTCAATTCCCATCATCCCATATGGTCCCCTGAGCACCGCCAGGAATGATTCCTGAGTGCAGAGCCAGGAGCGACCCCTGAGCATGGCCAGGTGTGATGCAAAAAGCAAATTAAAAAAAAGAAAGAAAAAGAAATATAAAGGATTTTAAGAGGTTATCTAAACAACACGCCAATAAATTCAACACAAATGAAACATGACTTTTAGATATATACAGCTTACCAAGATTATTGAAAAAGACCACATAAAGTCTGAGCGACCCATCCCAAGTATCACCGTCACTGTCACAGTCCTCCCGTTGTTCATCGATTTGCTCAAGCAGGCCCAGTAACGTCTCCATTGTGAGACTTGTTGTTACTGTGTCTGGCATATCGAATACATCACGGGTAGCTTGCCACGCTCTGCCGTGCGGGCGAGATACTCTTGGTAGCTTGCCGGGCTCTCCGAGAAGGGCGGAGGAATCGAACCCATCCCAAGTATGGGAAATTTAAACAGCAAACAATGCACTTCCCCAAAGTAATGGACCAGATGACTTTAAAGGTGAATTATACCAAAATCTTAAAGAACTTTAGCCTGTTCTCCTTGGAGGACAAGGAGGAGCTGGAGGAGAAGGGGAAGAAAGAAAAAGGAGGAGGGAGGAAAGAAGAGGAGGGGATGAAGAGGAGGGAGAGGAGGAGGAGGAGGGAGGAAGAGGGAGGGAAGAGGAGGGAGGAGGGGGAGGAGGAGAAGAGAAAGGAGGAGGAGAGGAGAAGAGGAGGGGGAGGAGGGGAGGGGGAGGGGGAAGGAGGAGGCTGGGGGAGGAGGGAGGACGAGGGGGTGGGGCCTGGAACATAGAGCAACTTGTCTTGCACATGGCCAACCCGGATTGGATCTCAGGCATCCCACAGGGTCCCCAGATCACCGAGTACAGACCCAGAAGTCACCCCTGAGCATTGTGTGTGTGCTTTCCCCCCCACACACACAAATAAAAAAGAAACAAGAGGAGAAACAGGATGAATACAAAGATAAAGACAACAGCCAATGATGACGAAATCTTTCCGAATACACCTTCAGGCCCTGTATGCCCCAATGCCAAAACCAGACAAGAAAATCACAAAAGAAAGTACATGACAAACAGAGATGCGAAAACTCTCAAGAAAATGCTGGCAAAGCAAATTTTAAAGAGACCAAAGGTACCAGAGAGAGAGCACTGAACAGGGTGGGGAACAGGACGGGCATGTTGGAGCTCCAAGTCTGGCTCCGCAGGGCGCCCGGACAATTTCCTGGAGTGACCCCTGAACACTGCTGGGTGTGCCCCCCAAACAAAACCAAAACCAAACCCTTAGAAATACAGACTTACACAGAAATGTGGCAGGTTACAAAATAAATGTGCAAACATTTGTTGCATCTCTACATGCAAGTAAGGAGCCAGAAGAGAAAGAAATCAAGAAACAATCCCATGTAGAGCGGGAGAGATAGCACAGTGGGCAGGGCACTTGCCTTGCATGTGGCTGACCCAGATTCGGTCCCAGGCATCCCCTGGGTCCCTGGAGCACCACCAGAGTAGTTCCTGAGCTCAGAGCCAGGAGTAACCCTGAGCACCTCTGAGTGTGGCCCAAAACAAAAAATAAAACAAAGTACCTAGCAATAAATTTAACAGAGAACACAAGTAATCAATTTAACACAAGGACACAAGAGAACACAAGTGGAACAAGTGCACACACAAATACATGTACACACATAAGGTTCACGACAGCTGCGTCCCTGCCTGTCTCAAACCATCCCCTTCCTGCTCTTAGTGTGTCCAGGCGGAGGCCCACAGCAGCACACGAGTCCAGTAAGGTCCCTCCTACGAAGGCTAAGGACGGGCTGGGGGCGCCTGGGTATGGTGCCCGTTTGGATCACAAAACCCGCGTTTCTCCTGGGGCAGCGATCACACAGCTCTGTGCCTGCCAGACGCTGGGACGCGTAAGCCGGGTGCTCTGCGTCCTACCACTGTGAGCGCTACCATAAAGGGGTGGTGTTGGCACTGGAGCCGGGAGTGCTCCCGGGGCCCAGGGCACGCCTTTGGGCTGCATGCAAAGTAAATCTGGTCATTTCCTTCCATCGGAGGGGAGGCCGAACCTGCAAGATGCCCCACACTGAAAGACGCAGCAACAAAGACACTTCTTGGCTTCTCACCTCATTTCCTTTTCCTCCCAAGGCAAAGCCTGGCAAGCTACCTGTGATGTATTCCATATGCCAAACACAGTAACAACAAGTTTCACAATGTTACTGGGCCTGCTCGAGCAAGATGAACAATGGAAGGACAGTGATACAGTGATACAGGGTCTGACTACTGACACTGTGAGAACCGTGAAGAACTAGAAAGCTCCTTCCGAAACACACACTCCCAGAACCTGACCTGCCCAGGGCCACCTGGCCGGTTCCTCCCTGCACACCGGCTGCCCCTCACCTTGAAGACACTCGGCTTAAGGTACATGGTGCCGTAGCCTTCGCGGGAGCTGAGGTAAAACATGCCTGTGAAGCTGGAGCCATCCGGCCACATGTAGGTGCCCACGCCGTGGCGGTGGTCCCGATAGAACTGCCCGCGGTACATCTGTGGGAGGGGAAGGGGCGGCTTTCCCAGTGACCCGCAGAGCTGGTACCGAGCCCCGAGGAGGCAGGGGAGGGCTGTGTCCCATGCCCACCGTGGAGAAGCAGAGCCTGTCCCTTCTTAGGGACCCAGCCCCAGCCCTGCCCTGACAGAGTCGCTCACTCTGTGCCCTGCGTCCTGGAGAGGACAGAGGCTCAGGCCCTGCACCCCTGGCTCTGTCAGGCTCACCCCTAGGCGAAAGGGATCCCCAGAAGCTCCATGTCCGTCTGCCACCCCTTCACCAACTCCCGCTCCTCTGCCTCACCCCCCGTCCTCTGGGCAAGCAGCCCCTTCCTGTGCCCAGCCCTGGCTTCTCCATCCCTCCCCTGGCCCCTGCATTTGTTAAAATAAAGGGTCTCAAAGGGGCGCCTCAGCACCAACTCGGAAAATGCCCCCAGTCTGGCCTCTGCCCCAGTCCTGCCCAGTGCCAACCGCCAGCAGGGGCAGACATGGCCAGAGCGCTGGTGACCCACGCACAGACTCAGGGTGGAAGCCGGAGACCCGTCGAGGCTGTTTCCGCATCTGGAGCAACTACGGGCAAAGGGGTGAGGGGCTGGGCGAGACGCTCCCGCGCTGGGCACCGGAGAACCAGGATGTTACGGAGGCAGCGGAAGGGGAGATGGCCTCTAGGAGGGCGCCTGTGGTCCACTGGCTGGCCTCCAGACTGATTAGCATACGGGACGTGTGACTAGCCGACAGGCCCTCCCAAGGGTGTGTGCGCATCTGACTGGTCATTTGCACATGCTAGCACCTGGTCTTTCCAACCAGATGCCCTCACAGGGGCCTGACCCTCGGGTGGTGGCAGAAGCACCTTCCCCCGACCTCGGTCACCACGGGAAGAGCCCCTGCAAGATGGGTGCGAGCAGCAGGCTGCACCCGAACCCGGGCACTCTGCGCGGGGGTCCCCAGCCTGGGGGGTCTCCGAGGAAGCCCCCCCTGCCCCCCCCCCGCCTTTGGCAATGAGACTGCTAAAATCTCTGCCCTGGATGTCTGCAGCTCCGCAGCCCCCAGACACCTGCAGGACCTGTTGGAAAGAGCTGGAACCCTGACGCCCTCTAGTGGTCAGAATCTAGCCCTACACACGGTCCAAAGAATCCATCCCCTCTGTGCTGGGCTTCTGGGAAAGGGGAGCAGGGCTGGGACCCCCACGGAGCCTCTGAGACGCACACTGGCAGCGCCCACCTTCCTCCCAGGCTTCAGGATGGGGAGTCCTGCCTCGGCATCCTCAGGTGCTCCCAGACGCCGAGAACCACCCCACCAGCGCCACCAATACACTGGGTGCTTCTCGGTCTCAGCTGAAGTGGCCAGGGCCAGGTGGGCAGCTCTGAAGCCCTGGTGGAGGGGGCTGACCCAGCCAGACAGGCTACTCCTCTGCCCTGGGTCTCACGGCTGGACACACGCCCAAACAGGGCTTGCTTCCGGCCCCACCCCGGGACTCCAGCCATACAGATGTGGCAGGGATGTGTCTGAGTGGGCAAGGTCTGGCCTTCAGCTATAAGCCCCCTGACCCCGCCCCCGGGAGGGGCTCACCTCGCCTGTCGGCCAGGAGAACTGCCCACAGCCCATCTTCATGTCCGGCCCCAACTCCCCCTGGTACACGCAGCCGTCCTGCCACTCCTGCATGACGTAGTCCAGCTCCGGATCCCTGAAGAAGTCCAGCATCTCCTCCTCCTCGGACTCGGAGGGGCTCCTAGGGGAGGCAGCCCAGGCAGCTGGAGGCTCCAGAGCGACACTGCCCGGAACCTCCCTCACCACCCCCAGCAGGGCAGAGCTGCAGGAAGGGAAACAGAGGCCCGGAGGGAGTGGTGCCGGCCATGGACAGGGTGGGAAGAGAGGAGCCGAGGAAGTCTTCAGGGGCCATGACGCGGTCCTACCCTGTTGATCCCCCCGGCTACTTGCTGAGTGCACATGGCCCAGGGTCCCACTGAGGCAGGGCCTGCCTCTGGCCCCCAGTACCAACGCCTGCAGCGCTGACAGGGAGGTGCGGCCCTCATGGCTCTCTCATGCCTGGACCAAGAAGACCCCCGGGACCCTCCCTGGTCTTTCTCCAACCCACCCGAACCCTCCTGAACCGTCCCTGAGCCTCTCCAATCCCCCCCCAACCATTCCCAGCCCCTTCCAGGGCCCTCCCCAAACCCTCCCCAACCCACCCATCCCCCACAGGCCCTGCCCCTGGTGATCACTACTCTCCTGCTGTGCTCAGTGGGACTAAGGGCCCCTCTGGGATGCCTGTGAGGGTGGCCGGCAGCAGGGCGCCCTGGGATGGGGGGGTCTGGCTGTCAGCATCCAGGAAGCCCCCTTCCACGCCAAGCAAAGCCACAGGTGCAGGAGGAAGTCAGAGGCCAGCACACTCTGTGTGTTCGGGGGCCAGGTCAGGTGACACACCCTGAATCGTGTCTTCCCAGAGCTGACCACATTCCAGGGAGCCCCTGGGGTTGCTTGGAAAAGGGAGTTTGGGTTGGGTCAGGCCCAGCAAGAAGACAGCGTGGGAACTCCAAGCCAGGAAGCAGGCCCAGGAGCATCTACTTGCTGACCAGGGCACAGGGCCAGGCATGGGGCGGCACCACTGTCTGTGAGGGTACCAGAAGTGGCCCATTTTCTGCCTGGCAGGCATGGAGGTTACATCTTTTTAAAAAGAAACAGTAAGGGGGAAATCATTTACAGTGGAGGGGCTGGAGAGATTAGCACAGTGGGTTTGCCTTGCATGCAGCCGACCCGCGTTCGATTCCCAGCATCCCATATGGCCCCCTGAGCACTGCCAGGAGCAATTCCTGAGTGCATGAGCCAGGAGTAATCGCCGGGTATAACCCAAAATGAAAAAAAAAATCATTTACAGTGAATAGAAGATGGAAAGTTTAACCATTTTTTTCTAGAAGAAAAATGAAACAATTTTGAGCCCCCTTGAAAGTTGTCAGTACAACCAATGAGCTTGAGGGCCACACTGGGGTCACCGGAAATGGGGGGAGCAGAAGCCCTCAGTCCCTTTACCTGGTGGGGTCCTTAGCCTCCTGGACACTAGACTTTGCCTCTGTAAAACCCTGTGGCCTCGGGGCTTGCCCCGCAGACACGTTCCGGGGCCCTGGAGGTGAGCTGGAGGGCTGGCTGGTCCCTGTGTCCAGCACAGAGTCCCCAACCCCCTCCCCAGGACAACACCTCTGACTGAGCCCACTGGCTCTCTCCTCTCGGGATGGATTGGGACTCCCTCTGGGAAGGCCCCACACCTCTGTCTGGAGCCCGCGGGGCTACACACGGTCTGCCCATCCCCCGACAACCGAGACACCGCCTTCTCCTCGTCAGGTGCTACAGGTGCTTCTAGCTCTTGGCCCACAGGGCCCACGAAGGATGATTGAGGCTCCAGGCTGCCACCCGCCACCTGGAAGACACCTTGACCACCATCAGCCCAGGAGCGCCTCTGGGCTCAGGGGCACACACAGGCAGTCTCAGGCATGCACACACACGCACACGTTCACACATGCACACGCATGCACCCGACACTCAGAGTCACAGCCTTGCATGATCACACACATATGCACACGCACACATGGTCACACGCTCCCACTCCCACAACCCCGGGAAACCTGGGAGAGGCCCAAGGATGCCCCTCCGGGGAGCCCCTCTCCCGAGGCCCGCACACGGCCTCCCTCCACGTGGGGGCCCGAATCTCCTCTGTCCTGGCAGGGGACGGCGGGCCAGGGCGCAGGCCGGGCAGCCAAGGCCCGCACGGGGCTCGGCACTCACTGAGACTCGCTGGCCGGCCGCGCTCTGACACCCGAGGTCGCCCTAGCGGGCCGCCAGCTCCCCACAATCCCACACGCGGTAGAGCCGCGGAAGCGCCCAGAGCGTCGGGTTTCCCTGGAGACCGCCCCGCCCCCCGCTCGCAGGCCAACTCCTGGCAGGCCTGGGCCCCGCCCCGCCGCCTGCAGACCACGCCCCAGGCCCCGCCCCGATCTCCTGGCAGGCCTGGGCCCCGCCCCGCTGCCCGCAGACCACGCCCCGATCTCCGCCCCATCAGACCACGCCTCTAGCCCCGCCCCATCTCAGGCAGACCACGCCCCTACAAGGCCCTGGCCCCGCCCCCGGGACCTCAGAGCCCCGAGGGCGCCCGCGGCACGTCCAGCTCGGTGAACTGCAGCGGGGGGCGGTGGCACCTCAGGTGAAGCGAGCTGGGGCGACACCTGAGGAGACACTTGCCGGGGAGTGGAGGGAAACGTGTGCGCGCCTGAAGGCGCGGAGGGAAGGAGCGGGGCAACCCATGTCCCCGCCAGGCCGCCTCTCTGGGCGGCGCCGCCCCCACGCCGACCCGCGTGAAGACACGCTCGGCCGAAGCTTCCAGAGACGCCCCCGGGTCGGGGTGTGACCGGCACGGGACGCAGACAGCGCACGCGCTCGCTCGCTCGCTCCCATGGCCCGGTGGCCGGCGCCGCCACCCGGGGCCGGCAGAGGGGGCCGAGGAGGGGCGGGGCGGGGCGGGGCGGGCGCGCAGGCTGAGGCGCCCGAGACGGCTCCCGTCAGGAACGGAAGCTGCGCGCTGGCGGCCTCGCGATGCCCGCGCACAACAGCCACGGCGCGAGAGTCCGCGAGGAAGCGGCGCCCGGAGCGACTCTCGAGGACCGCGTGTACGGGGAGGCGGGAGGGGCGGGTTACCGAGGCTTTATTGGCTGCGGGGAACGAGAAGGGCGGCCCCCGCGGGCGGAGGGCCAATAGGGAGCCAGGGCCCGCCCCCGCGCCGCGTCCCAGCCAATGGCCACGCGCGGGCTGCGCCGCGTCCCAGCCAATGCGTGGGCGGCTCCTCGGGCCCGGCGCCCCCGCCGCCCGCCATGCAGCCCGCGGCCGCCGCCCCCGCGCCGCCGCCCTTCGTGCGCGTCGCCCCCGGGCTCTTCCTCGGGAGCGCGCGCGCCGCGGCCGGGCCGGAAGCGCTGGCGCGCGCGGGCGTCACGCTGTGCGTCAACGTCTCGCGCCAGCAGCCGCCGCCGAGCGCGCCCGGCGTGGACCACCTGCGCGTGCCCGTGTTCGACGACCCGGCCGAGGACCTGCTGGCGCACCTGGAGCACACCTGCGCCGCCATGGAGGCCGCGGTGCGCGCCGGCGGCGCCTGCCTCGTCTACTGCAAGAACGGCCGCAGCCGCTCGGCCACCGTCTGCACCGCCTATCTCATGCGGCACCGCGGCCTCAGCCTGGCGCGCGCCTTCCAGGTGGGCGGCCCTTCCGGGGCCTTCTTTCCGGGGAGCTGCCCTCCCGAGGGGCGGGCCTTCCGGGGGCGGGTCTTTCGGGGCCTTCCTCCCGGGGATGCCCTTCCGGGGGCGGGTCTTTCGGGGCCTTCCTCCCGGGGGATGCCCTTCCGGGGGCGGGTCTTTCGGGGCCTTCCTTCCGGGGGATGCCCTTCCGGGGGTGGGTCTTTCGGGGTCTTCCTCTCAGGGGGAAGGGCTCTTCCGGGGCTTCTTTCAGGGATAGAGTCTTCCGGGGTGGGCTTTCCACGGGGCGGAACTTCTGCGGGCTTCCTCCCGAGGGCGGGGCTTTCGGAGCCTTCCTCCCGGGGTGGGACTTCCGGTCTGCCCCCCACCCCCCGACTCCCCCGCGCTAGGCGCGCTTTCTGGCGGGCAGTTCCTCCCAGTGCTGCGGATGCTGGGAGGCCGGGAGAGAACGCCCGAGGCATGGCTGGGTACCGGTGTGGGCGGGCCTTCCGAGAAGGCGGGGCCAGTGCTTTGGGGCGGATCTTCCGGGAAGGAAGGCGCATGCGCCTGGGGGCGGGACTGCTGGGAAGGCCTGGAGACTGCGGTTTTAGGCGGGACTTCCGGGAAGGGCGGGGCTCCGGGGAGGGCGGGGGCTGTGGTTTGGGGCGGGGCTCCCGGCAGCCTCGAAATTCTGGACTCGGGTCTAACCTGAACCTTTCCTTGCAGGCCGTGAAGAGCGCCCGCCCGGTAGCCGAGCCCAATCCCGGCTTCTGGTCTCAGCTGCAAAAGTACGAGGAGGCCCTGCAGTCCCAGGGCCACCTGTCCCCGAGCCCCGCGGACGGTTCCGAACCGGAGATGAGCTCCGCAGTGAGCCGTGATGGATCAGCCGAGGGCATGCCCTGAAGCAGGCCTCGTGCACGGAGGGGCTGCATTTCCTCCCCCACACTCTCTGCACCTCCCTGAACCACGGCCTGGCCGGGGTCTCTTGTCCCTTGAGGACATGCAGGGGCGTGGCCTTTGTCCCTTTGGCACTGGGAAGGTCAGCTTCTTCACCGGAGGTAAATCCAATCCAGCCGCGTGTTCGAGGCAAAGACTTGACTGCAGCGTGACGGCCACTCCAGACGGAGCTGGGGCTGCTGCTCAGCCTCGGGTCGCCACCTGCCCCACCACCACGCCTGGCGCGGGGCCCTGCAGGCGAGGGCAGTAAGAGAGATCCCGCTGTGTGCGGGCCGCCTCCCAGCCGTCCACCCTGCCCAGGAGTGGGGGCTGCGCATCGGTGAGGGGGGTCCCGCTGCAGACGCGTCCCAGAGGGCCCCAGTCCAGACCACCCTGGAGAGCTCCACGTGCACGGGAGCAGGAGCCCTGACTGGGCACGTCCAGATAAAGGGTGAAGGCGCTGTGGTGTCTCATTTCGTTCCCCTCCCTCGGCCGCGTTCCCACCAGCCTTAGCCAACTTTTTGGTTCCTTGGGCAGGGCGGGGGCCTCCTCGCTGGCCACCCGCCCAGATGTCAGGGCTGGGTACGCTAGGGACAACCCCTGATTCCACACTCGCAGCCCTGAGTAGCAGCGAAGCTTCTGCCCTGTGGAGGAGCTTCCTTCCCCGCCCCAGGGGCACAGCGTGCCCGCTCCTCCCCCCCACACCTTGCCAGTGTCCCCTCTTCATCAGCCCCAGATGGAGCTGTGGGCCTCGGATCCACCAGGCCGATGTGAGCCGGGCCCAGAGTCGCTCTGTGCCTCAAGTGTGTCCTGCTGTGGGAGAGGACGCAGGGGCTCTCGTCCCAGAACAGTGCACCATGCAACAGCCAGGGGCAACTCCCCACCAGACCACCACCTCCAGCAGCCTGCCTCTGTGTCCATCTCGGTGAGGCCGGGGACACACTACCCCCGCTGGCACTGCAGACCTGACTGGGGGGTCCTGACTGCTTCAGATGTGCCAGGATGAGGTCCCCAGAGACTGGAGGACTGTCCTCTCGGAAAGGCCCACTTCCATGCTCACCCGTCCCCCGCCGGCTGTCCACCTGCGGTCAAGGGTGCCCTGAGCTGCTGCAGGATAGGCCTGTGCTTCCAGGCTGAGCTTCGAGGCACTCACTCATGGAAGGGGGCTGGCATCCCACCCAGGGGAGATGCCCTCAAGCCCTGCGGAACTGCCTGGGGACAGTGCTCAGGATACTCCACTGTGGCAGGGTGAGCCAGGACCTGGGGGTGGAAGGCCGGAAGCTACGTTGGCGGGTTTCCCTGCGCTGGTGAGGTGGACAAACCCCTCCCCTCTGCCTCAGACAACCTGCCTGGGCAAGCGCTGGCCAGCTGGACAAAGCTGACCCAGCACCTTCCCGAGCCCTGGATGTGGGCCTGTCCCGGGGGCGGGGAGGGGGAGTGCTCGTGCCACTAAAGTGGCCTGTGGGTTCCTACATCTCCCAGCTGCCACAGAGAATGGTGCCATGGCAGGGTCACAGGCAGCCTGTGCCGGGTCTGCATCTGGTCACACTGTCGCCCTGTCACCAAGCAAGGTGTGGAGGAGTCTCCGAGGTGCTCTGAGTTAACCTACCCCCCAGGACCTGGCTTGTATCAAGTGATTTAGTGAGGAGCCACGCCCGTGGTGCTCAGGACACCGCACTCTGCACTCAGGCTGCCTCCACGTTCCCATGTGCAAAGCATGCGCGCCTTCAGCCCACGGAGCCACCTTCTGTCCCTTTTATTTATATTCTGGCAGCCACACCTGGAGCTAGGGGGGTGATGAGGTGCCGGACTGAAGCCGGAGCTCCCACATGTGACGCAAACGCTGCAGCCCTGTGAGCCGCCTCCAGCCCTGGCTAGGGCACGCACAGGGTGCCCGCACCACCCTCAGCCCCCCAGGTGCAGGAAGGACAGGGCCTTGCACTCCCCCTCCCCCAGCCCCCGCATCACAGGCACACACTGCACAGAGGGCTGAGAACATGCACACGGACAGCACAGCTGAAAACAGGCACATGCTCTACACACAGGGTTGAGAACACAGGCACACGCTTGCACACACAGGGCTGGGAACGTATACACACGCTGCTCACACAGGGCTGAGAGCACACATGCTCTGTACACGCAACCAGGGCTGAGAGCACACGCACGCACTTCGCACATGGACACAGTCCTGAGCACGCTGCATACACGCTTCCCCAAGCTGTGTCCACATACGGCAGCGAACACAGACCCATGCACGCAGAGACATGCAGACACCAACAGGCACCACGAGGCTGAGACATCCCAGCTCAGGCAGGCAGAGAACCCCACGGAGACGCCCATGGCTGAGGTGACTGGACTCTGCTTTATTTATTTGGCTTCAGTCTAAGCAGCAATCCGGGTCACGGGCCCCAAAGAGCCGCGCGTACCCCCACGCCGGCACACAGCGGAGAATCATTCCCTGCTCCCGGGTCCGAGGCCAGTAATCGTGCCAGCACGACCCAGAAGTGCCGGGAACGGCTCCGTGCTGGCGCCCTTGTCGGGGATCACCAACTCCACAGAGCGACCGGCTCCCAAGCCCCCACCCCGGCACAGCGCCCCCGACCTGTTTCCTTCGGGCCCACCCTAGGCTTCTGAACCCAGCACAGCGCTCGGGGTCACGGTTCCGGCACACAGGGTCCCGGGCACAGCTTCCCTGACTCGGGTCCCGGGATCCGCACCCCGTCTCCGGTCTCCTCGGCTGCCCTGGAGCACCGCGCCAGGGAGCTGCACCCCCGCCCACAGCGCCCCGGCCCGGGCTCCGCATCGCCAGCACCACCACCAAAGCACCGGTTCTCCCGGTCCAAGCCCCCGCACCGCGCGCACCGCGCCTCGGAGAAGTCCCGCACCCCGCGCACCGAGCACCCCGGTCCCTGGCCCGGCCCCGCGCCCCGCGCCCCTGCTCGGCCTGCTCCCGCACCCGCGCACGGTCCCGACCCGCAGCACGCACTGGCCCGGTCCGCACGGCCCGCAGCGCGCACAGCCCCCGCCCTGCACCGCACACAGCCCCCGGCCCGGCCCGCCCCGCGCACAGCCCCCGGCCCGGTCCGCCCCGCTCACAGCCCCCGACCTGCACCGCGTACAGCCCCCGACCCGCAGCACGCCCAGCCCCCGGCCCGGTCCGCCCCGCTCACAGCCCCCGGCCCGGCCCGCCCCGCTCACAGCCCCCGACCTGCACCGCGCACAGCCCCCGGCCCGGCCCGCCCCGCGCCCGGCCCCCGGCCCGCCCCGCGCCCGGCCCCGGCCCGGCCCGGCCCGCCCCGCGCACAGCGCCCCCGGCGGCGGCCCCGGAGCCCGGGCGGAGCGGAGCGGAGCGGGGCGGCGCACGGCGCGGGGCCGGGCCGGGCGGCTCCCGGCGCGACTTCCTGTTGTGCCCGCGCCCCGCCGCGCCGCCCGCGCCCCTCGCCCGCCGCCCGCCCATGGATTTCACCTAGCGGCGCCCATGGCCGCGCAGTGCTGCTGCCGCAAGGCGCCCGGCGCCGACGCCGCGCCCGCCCGGCCGCCGCCCGAGCCGCCGCCCGCCCTGGACGTGGCCTCGGCCTCCAGCGCGCGGCTCTTCCGCCTCCGCCACCTGCAGCTGGGCCTGGAGCTGCGGCCCGAGGCGCGCGAGCTGGCCGGCTGCCTGGTGCTCGAGCTGTGCGCGCGGCGGCCCTCGCCCCGCGCGCTCGTGCTCGACGCGCACCCGGCCCTGCGCCTGCACTCGGCCGCCTTCCGCCGCGCCCCCGCCGCCGCCGCGCCGCCCTGCGCCTTCGCCTTCGCCGCGGGGCCCGGGCCCGCGCCCCCGCCGCCGCCGCGGCCCGCCTTCCCCGACGCGCCCGCCGCCGAGCCCGCCGGCCGCCCGCTGGCCTTCCGCCTCGACCCGTTCACCGACTACGGCTCCTCGCTCACCGTCACGCTGCCGCCCGAGCTGCCGGCGCACCAGCCCTTCCAGGTCATCCTGCGCTACACGTCCACCGACGCGCCCGCCGTGAGTGCGCCCCGCGCGCGCCGCCCGGGGCCCGGGGGGAGGGGCCGGCAGCGGGTGGGCCCTGCGCCCCGCGGGCCGCCCGGCGCCCTGGGCCCGCTCCCGGGGGCCGCGGACCTCGGCGGCCCCGCCGCTCTCGCCGCCCCCCGAGGCTCCGCAGCCCCCGCCGGGTGAGGACGGCTGCGCGGCCGTCCCGGAGGAGCGGGGCGGGGAGGGGAGGAGGGAGGGGCGCGTGCGGGGCGCCACGCGGGAGCACCCACCCGCGAGCCGGGTCCCTCCCGGGCCCGCGCTGGGGGCGGGACAGGAGTGGCGGGACACGCGGCCCCTTCCTTCCGCGGCAGGGCTGGGTCCGGCTCCCAGGGGAGTTCCCGCCTCTCCTCGCGGCAGCTGTGACCCGGGCCCTGCTGGGCCTCGGTGGCCCTCGGGAGCCGGAGCGAGCGGGGTGCGGGTCCCAGCCGGACTGGGGGCGGGGCTGCTGACGCCCGTTGTGCCCGCAGATCTGGTGGCTGGAGCCAGAGCTGACCTATGGCCGCACCAAGCCCTTCGTCTTCACGCAGGGCCACTCCGTGTGCAATCGCTCCTTCTTCCCCTGCTTCGACACGCCCGCCGTCAAGTGCACCTACTCGGCTGTAGTCAAGGTGGGCGCGCCCCGGCCGGGCTGGCGGGTGCAGGGCTCCCCGCCGAGGAAGCCGGAGCTGCGCGTGGGGGCGCTGGATGCAGCTGACCCCCCTCCCCCGTGGCTCCACACCCAGGCTCCGTCAGGGGTGCAGGTGCTGATGAGTGCCACGCAGAGCACCTACGTGGAGGAGGAGGGCGTCTACCGCTTCCACATGGAGCACCCCGTGCCCGCCTATCTCGTGGCCCTGGTGGCCGGGGACCTCCAGCCAGCAGACATCGGGCCCAGGTAGGGCCTCCTGCTGCCGCCGCCCGGCCCTGGCCCGTGGGACAAGAGCAGACCCACTTCCTGTGCCTGCCCCATCCCGCCCCCCCCGTGGGACCAGCTCCCTCTCCAAGGGGGGCATCAGTAAGGCTGCGGGGCACTGATTGGCGCCCAGGCCCTGCGGGTGACCCACCTCTCGCCCATCCCCCGCGCCAGGAGCCGTGTGTGGGCCGAGCCTTGCCTCCTGCCCACGGCCACCAGCAAGCTGTCCGGCGCCGTGGAGCAGTGGCTGAGCGCCGCGGAGCGGCTCTACGGGCCCTACATGTGGGGCAGGTGAGGTGGGCGCCTGCTGGGGGCGGAGGGGCCCCAGGGGCGCGCCCGGCTGATCCCCGCGTCCGTCCGGCGGCAGGTACGACATCGTCTTCTTGCCTCCGTCCTTCCCCATCGTGGCCATGGAGAACCCCTGCCTCACCTTCATCATCTCCTCCATCCTGGAGAGTGACGAGTTCCTGGTCATCGACGTCATCCACGAGGTGGCCCACAGCTGGTTCGGCAACGCGGTCACCAACGCCACTTGGGAGGAGATGTGGCTGAGTGAGGGCCTGGCCACCTACGCCCAGCGCCGCATCACCACGGAGACCTACGGTAGCGTCCCGGCCGGCGGGGTGGGCAGGGGCAGGGCCTCCCGGGGGCGGCCCGCTCACCCCGCCCGCCCGCCCGCCCAGGTGCTGCCTTCACCTGCCTGGAGACGGCCTTCCGGCTCGACGCCCTGCACCGGCAGATGAAGCTCCTGGGAGAGGACAGCCCGGTCAGCAAGCTGCAGGTCAAGCTGGAGCCAGGTACCAGCCCTGCGCCCTTGGGCTACCTGCGCCCCCACCCCGTCTGCCGCCCCGCCCTCTCATAGCCCCGCCTCTGCTGCCGCCACATCCTCGTATTGCTCCGCCCCCTGCTGCCATCCGCCCTCTTGTTGCCCCGCCCCCTGATGCCACCCCGCCCTCTCGTTGCCCCGCCCCCTGGTGCCGCCTCACCCTCTTATTGCTCTGCCCCCTGCTGCCGCCCCGCCCCTCATTGCCCTGCCCCATCGCTCCGCCCTCTGCTGCTATCCGGCTCTCTCGTTGCCCCGCCCTCTCGTTGCTCCGCCCCCTGCTGCCACCCCGCCCTCATTGCCCTGCTCCCTGCTGCTCTGTTGCCCCGCCCCCGTTGCTCCACCCTCTCTGCTGCCATCCCGCCCTCTCGCTGCCCCGCCCCCTCATTACCCCGCTTCGCCCCTGCTGCCGCCCCGCCCTCATTGCCCCGCCCCCGTTGCTCCACCCTCTGCTGCTCTCCCGCCCTCGCTGCCCCGCCCCCTCATTGCCTCGCTTCGCCCCTGTGCCGCCCCGCCCTCTCTTTGCCCCGCCCCCTGCTGCTGTTGCCCCGCCCCCATTGCTCCACCCTCTCTGCTGCTATCCCGCCCTCGCTGCCCCGCCCCCTCATGCCCCGCTTCCTGCTGCCGCCACACCCTCTTGTTGCTCCGCCCCCCGCTGCTATCCCGCCCTCATTGCCCCGCCCCCTCACTACTGCCCTGCCCCCATGTTGCTGCAGTCCCGCCCTCTTATTGCCCCGCCCCCATTGCCCCACCCTCTCGTTGCCCCGCCCCCTGCTGCTGCCCCGCCCTCCTCTCTCCCTCGCCCCAGCTTTTCCTCTCCGTGGCCCCGGGCCCTCCCAGGTCTGGAGCTGAAGGCCAGTGTCCCCAGCCTCTCTTCATTCTGGATGCCACCTTGACCCCCTGCTCCCCCCCCAGGGGTGAACCCCAGCCACCTCATGAACCTGTTTACCTATGAGAAGGGGTACTGCTTCGTGTACTACCTGTCCCAGCTCTGCGGGGACCCCCAGCGCTTTGACGACTTTCTCCGTGTGAGTCGATGCTCCCCGCGGCCCAGGGCGCCCTGTTCTCCCGGGGGCAGGTTGGGGCACACCCACCCAGTTCCCTCTGCGTGTGTGAGCGTGCGTGCGCGTGCGTGCATGTGTAGGGGGCTGGCACGTGCCTGGCCCTGGCCTGCTGAGCCGCAGCCCCACTCAACAGGCCTACGTGGACAAGTACAAGTTCACCAGTGTGGTGGCCCAGGACCTGCTCGACTCCTTCCTGAGCTTCTTCCCAGAGCTGAAGGAGCAGAGCGTGGACAGTCGAGCAGGTGAGATGAGAGCTCACCTCGGGAAGCCCCCGGGACAGTCCTTTTGCCTCAGCCATCCCCCAGGAGGGTATGGCCCAGGGGGACACAGCTGCCAGTAGTGAGGAGGACCAGGCCGGGGGGCTTCCAGGAAGAAGTCTGGCTGAGCGACCCAACTCTGGTCACAAGCAGAGGGCGCGGACTGTGTCCAGATGGCCAGGCACAGAGCCCGACAGGTGGTGGGGGAGGCCTGTCGGTTCTCTGGCATCTGGCCGAGACAGCGGACAGATTGTCGGGAGAGGCCCACACTTGCTGGACTGGGGCCAGAGACAGCACAGCAGTTGTGGCCGTGCTCTGCAGGAGGAGGCGGGGCCGGTCCCCTGCTACATGGCCCCCTGAGCACCCCTGGGTGTGATGAGCTGTGAGTGCTTTCCACCCAGAAGAGGATTAGTGGGAGGGAGGGGGAGAGAGAGAGAGAGAGACGCAGCAGGGTCTGCGCACGGGGGTAGCAACCCCAGCTGCCTTGTCCCGGGCTCGCTCCCCACCACGCACGCTAGGCAGGTCTCGTCTGCGACCGGGGGATAGTGTCCCTGGGGCCCCAGCAGGAAGGTCAAGTGGTAGGTCCTGGAGTCAACCTCGACCTGCCCGGCCACCAGCCCCCCACTCCCGGTCGGGAGGATGGACGCGGTGGACACCGGCGCGTCTCCCGCAGGCCTGGAGTTTGAGCGCTGGCTCAATGCCGCCGGCCCGCCGCTGGCCGAGCCCGACCTGTCGCAGGGGTCCAGCCTGACCCGGCCGGTGGAGGCCCTCTTCCAGCTGTGGACCGCGGAGCCCCTGGACCAGGCCGCCGCCTCCGCCCGCGCCGTGGACATCTCCAAGTGGAGGACCTTCCAGACGGCGCTCTTCCTGGACCGGCTCCTGGACGGCTCCCCGCTGCCCCAGGGTGGGTCCTGGCAGAGGGGCGGGCGGCGGGAGGGGGCGCCGGGCCAAGGGCCGAGCTGACCTGCCGTGGCCCGCAGAGGTGGTGACCAGCCTGTCCCAGTGCTACTCCTCACTGCTGGACTCCATGAACGCCGAGATCCGCATCCGCTGGCTCCAGATCGTCGTGCGCAACGACTACTACCCCGACCTGCACCGCGTGCGGCGCTTCCTGGAGAGCCAGGTGGGCCCCGTCCCCTGCACGCGCCCGGGGGTGCGGGGGTGCCGGGGCGCCCGTCCCCAGCGCTGAGCCCCGCCTGGCCGCCCGCAGATGTCCCGCATGTACACCATCCCGCTGTACGAGGACCTCTGCACCGGCGCGCTCAAGCCCTTCGCCCTGGACGTCTTCTACCAGACGCAGGGCCGGCTGCACCCCAACCTGCGCAGGACCATCCAGCAGATCCTGTCGCAGGGCCTGGGCCCTGGCGGCGAGCAGGGGGCGGCCGAGGCCGAGGCGGCCGCGCCCGCCCTGCTGCGGGGGGACGAGGCCCCGGGCAGCGCCATCTCTCTCAGGGACGTCAACGTGTCCGCCTAGCCGGCCCGCAGACGCCACGCTGTGCCTTCTCCGAGGGGGCGGACTGCGGCGCCCCGCCCCGGCCCCTCCCGGCTCCCTGGGGCCCCGCGACCCCACACTGTGCCTTATGTCCGTGGGGCCGCGCGGGCGGTCCCGGCAGCTGCTTCGAGGGACGGGACCGGACGTGCCCGCCCGTGGGGGCGGGGGACACTGGGCGCACCGGGCGGCCGGCCGGCCCTGGGCAGGGAGAAGCCTTAGCCCCTCAGGGAATTCGGGGTCCCGGGCCCAGGTCGGGACGGGACAGACAGCGCCGCGGCTCCGGGGACAGGCGGCGCTGCTCCTCGGGACCCCCGGGCTGGGGACCTGGCCGTCAGCACTGGGACGGGGGCCACAGCCCCGGGGCCGCTGACGGTCCCATTAAACCCCACTCTGCAATGACCCCTGGCCTGTCTGTGCTCACTCGACCCGCCGGTGCCCCTGCAGGGCCGGGAGCTGGGGCCAGCCCCTCCTCGGGCCCGGGTCTGAGCCCGCAGCTGCTCCGAGGCGAGGCCCACTGGCCGCCACGCGCCCACCTGCCGGCACCCCGTGACGTCGCAGTGCCCGGCTGGGGGGCGGGATGGGGGCGTCCGGCCCGGAGGCGCAAGTGGCAGGACAGTGACGCGGAGCGCGCGGGCTCGTGGACGTGCAAACGGAACCGGACCCGGCCGGGCGGCCCACGGGGGCGCTGCTCGGCCAACACCCTGGGTGTCCCGGCGCGGGGGGCGTCGCCTCCAGTCGGAGAAGGGGAGGGAGGCGGGTCCCTGCGGCGGCAGCGCGTCACTTCCGGGAGCGCCGGAAGTACCGGCGCACTCGGCGACCGCGGGGCGTGCTGGGACGTGTAGTCCGCGGCGCGGTCCTGGGCAGTCCCGACGCCTCGGCACACGCAGCCGCACCTGCCCGGCGATCGGCAAGACGCCCGCCCCCGGGATAAGCTCCGGTCCGCGCACAGCCGACCCGGAAGGAGACGTGCAGCCGCCTGGCTGGGGGCGAGCCACGCCCCTGGGGCCGGATCCCGGGCGGGCTTCCCGGGGCTCGCGCCGATTGGCCCGCTGCGTCACGTGAGCGGGGCTCCGCGTCTGGTTGGCTGCCCCGGCGGTTGCCCGGGTGACGGGCGGGCCGGCCGCGGGCTGCAGATGGAAGCCCCGGGTGCTGAGGATGCGGGCGCCGAGCAGGGAGCTCTTCCGGGATGCCGCCTTTCCCGCCTCGGACTCGTCGCTTTTCTCCAGCTTCTCCACGCCGCTGGCTCAGTTCCGGGGGGACATCACGTGGCGGCGGCCCCAGGTGGGGCACCTCCGGCCCCGTGCCGAGCGCGCCGTCCGGGCCGGGCCGCAGCCCGAGCGGGACAGTGGCGGGAGCCGGAGCGCCCGTCCGTCCAGACCGCTGCCCGGTCCGAGCCCCAGGTGCCCCGTCTGGCTCTGCTCGCCCTGGGCGGCTGCCCGTGCACCGGCGGCCTCGCGCTCCCTGGAAGGGCCACGCGTGTCCTCCGCCAGTGTTGCTCGCGCTTAGCTGGGCATCGCAGGCGCGCCCCTTCCAGTGTCCCGCCCCCGGTCCACGCCGCCCACCCTAGGTCTGCCGTGCACGCTGCCCAGGAGCAGGCTCGGCGGCCCGGCCCCGCTAGCCGGCAAGGAGGCAGGGAGAGGCTTGGAGCGAGCTGCGCTATTTCTAGTGGGCTTTGGGGTCTTTGGAGCAGGTGCCCGGGGCGGGGCCCCATATCGGGGCCGCAGTGGGCACCGTGGGACTAGGCGCTAGTGGGTCGAGATGCCTGGAGCTGCATCCGGCAGGTCTGCACGACGGCAGGAGGGTGAAACTCTGGGAGGGATCTAGGTTGATCTGGAGGTGGGGAGGGGGGTGGAAAGGGCGGATTTGCCCCTCGTGTCTGTGAGCTGGAACGTGGACAGGTGGGAGTGTCCTGGGGTGAACGGAGGCAGGTAGAGGAGGCCCCGAGCTGAGCCTCAGAAACCTGTGTGGAGGGGTTCCCCTCGCAGGGAAGCCCTGGGGGGCAGTGCCCAGGGGTGAGAGGTCAGGGACCGCGGGGGCTTCTGCCCTGGGCCTGGTGGGGCCGCGGCCGGGCTTCTCCTCTGCTCCAGGGCCGTCCTGAATCCAAGTGGGCCGTTTTCTGGGTCCGCGCTTGGCTCCGGAGGGAGGAGACACCCAGAGCCAGGGGCAGCCGTGCCTCTCCCCTGGCCGGAGGTCCCAGCCCTGGGCGAGCCCTTCCTGTGGCCCCTGTGCCCCGCAGGAGATCTGCGCGTCCCCCCAGCTGTTCGCGGACAGCCCCCAAGAGGCGCAGGTGACGCAGGGGCTGCTAGGTGACTGCTGGTTCCTGTGCGCCTGCGCGGCCCTGAGCCGGAGCCGCCGCCTCCTGCACCAGGTGGGCGCTCCCCTCCTGCACCAGGTGGGCACTCCCTGCCCGCCCGGGCCACGGCTCAGGCGCCCCTTCCCGCTGTGCCCAGGTCTTCCCCGCCGGGCAGCCGTGCTGGCGCGAGCCCGCCTACCGGGGCGCCTTCACCTGCCGGGTGTGGCGGTTCGGGCAGTGGGTGGAGGTGACCGTGGATGACCGCCTGCCGTGCCTCGCCGGGAGACTGTGCTTCTCGCGCTGCCACAAGGAGGACGTGTTCTGGCTGCCCCTGCTGGAGAAGGTGTACGCCAAGTGCGTGTCGGGGCGGCCGCTCGGGGGGCTTCCGAGGGGCGGGCCGCAGGGTGAGCCTCCGCCCTGTGTCCCCAGGCTCTACGGGTCCTACGAGCACCTGTGGGCAGGGCAGGTGGCAGACGCGCTGGTGGACCTGACCGGCGGGCTGGCGGAGCGCTGGAGCCTGAAGGATGCTGCCAAGCCCCCGGAGGACGGCCAGGAGCCCCGCACCTGCCAGCGGCTGCTGAGCCTGCAGGACCGGTGCCCCATCAGCTGCTCGGTGCTCAGCCCCAGGGCCGGTGAGGGGGGGCCGGAGCAGGTGCTGACCTGCCGCCCGCTCCACCCCCTGCGTGGTGGGCCCTCAGCCCCAGCAGGGATGACCTGGGGACAGGGGGAGCAGGGAGTGACCCCGGCACCCGGCCCGGTCAGCGCCCAGCTCGCTCCGCAGTGGGGGGTCTCCCAGGAGGGGGTGGGGCACGGCCCCTCCCTTGGCGTGCTGGGGTCAGTGCCCAGCCTGAAACGCCATGCCCCTCCCCACAGGGCCTTCATGATGGGCCTCATGGGACAGTAGATGGGGGTTGGGAGCGTGGCTGGACACTGTCTCCACCCCTGTATGTGCCCCACCAGCCCCTCTGATCAGTTCCCGGTGTGGGGGTGAAAGAGCCCCCCTTGCTCCATCTGGGGCCCAGATGAGCCAGGCCCCGCCCGGAGGAACTGCCCCTTCGAGCACCAAGGTGAAGCGGCTGCCCAGCCAGTCCAGACTTGGCTGGCCCTTGGGGCGTTATTCAGCTTTAGGCGGTCTGCTGTCCCAAGCCCACCTGTCCTGGGGATCAGGCAAGGAGCCCCATGTACCTGCTCTGCTGGAGGAACCCCGGCCCTGACCCGTGTTCCTGTGCAGGGGCCAGGGATCTAGGGGAGTTTCATGCCTTCATTGTCTCGGGTCTGCAAGAGCTCCAGGACCAGGCCGGCCAGAGCCTCCTGCTGCTGCGGATTCACAACCCCTGGGGCCGCAGGTGTTGGCAGGGACCTTGGAGAGAGGGGTGAGTGGGCAGGCAGGAAAGGAGGCTGTGTGGACGGGGCCAGAGGGAGGGCTGTGTGGGCGGGACCCGAAGGAGGACTGAGTGGGCGGGGCCTGAAAGAGGGGCGGGGCCTGATGCGTGGGCGGGGCCGGAGGGAGGGTTGTGGGGTGGGGCCTGAGGGATTGTGGGCGGGGCCTGAAGGAGGGCTGTGGGGTGTGTGGGCGGGGCCTGAAGGAGGGCTGCGGGGGTGGGGCTGAGTGGGTGGGGCCGGAGGGAGGGCTGCAGGGACCGGGCCTGAGGGTTGTGGGGCGGGGCCTGAGGGAGGGCTCCGTGGGCAGCGTCCTCTGCAGCTGTGAGGACTGGCCTGACCCCAGGCGGCAGCTGAGCTGTCAGGAGCTACACGGCCGTTGCCAGTGGGTGTCAGCCTTGATCTGTTTGGCAGCTGCCCCTGGGCTCTGCTAGTGCGGGCCCAAAGCCGGGTCGTCTCTTGAAAGTTCCGCTGAGTTTGGACTGGGTGTGGACTGAGTGCCCCCCACGCCCAGCAGCTCCCGTGGAGGGCTCGGCGGCCAGGCCGGGCATCCTGCTTAGGGGGGGCTTCCTGCAGGGGCGAGGGGTGGAGCCGCGTCTCCGCAGCCACTGCGTGTGCTCTGCTGGGCCAGCTGCAGGCGGGGGAGTTCTGGGTGGAAGAGCCGGAGTTCCTCCGAGAGTTCGACGAGGTCACCATCGGCTTCCCGCGCTCAGAGTCCGGGCACCTGCAGAGCCTCTGCTCAGGTAGGGGCCGCCCAAACCCGGCACCGGCAGGCCTGGGCATCCTGGGGCCCTCCTGGCTAACGCGTGCATGCCCGGTGCCAGGACAGGAGCTGTGCCACACGCAGCAGCTGCAGGGGGCCTGGGTCCGCGGGCAGTCGGCCGGGGGCTGCCGGAACAACAGAGGCTTCCCCAGCAACCCCAAGTTCTGGCTGCGGGTGTCGGAGCCCAGCGAGGTGTACGCGTCCGTGCTACAGCAGCCGGCACTGCGGGCAGCGGCCGACTCCGCGGGGACGGCCAGCTGCCTGGGCAGCAGCCACCAGGCCGTGGGCCTGCACATCTGGAAGGTAGGTAGCACTCTGTCAGGGCCGGGGACTGGGGCTTCAGGGACGCTCGCCCAGGAGCTGCTCCTGCCTCCTGCTCTGTCCTCCGCGGGGCGGCCCCCCTTCCCACTGTCCCTGAGGGGCCCCACCCGGCCCCATCCCGCCTTCCCTCTGCCCCTTGCTGGCCCCCAGCCTGGTGACACGCAGGCCGGGGCTCCGCCCCTTTGCGCGGAGGTCTCCGTGTTCCTTTGACCAGGGGTGCTGCCACCGGGCCCTGGCACCTGAGCTGCATCATCTGGGCACGACCTGTCCCATGGGGGTGGTCCCTGACTGGGGAGCATGTGGGGGGGGGGGGCGGGCCTGGCACACCGGCCTCCCCGCACTGCAGGTGGAGAAGCGGCGGGTCAGCCTGCCCAGGGTCCTGTCTGCGCCCCCCGTGGCGGGCACTGTGTGCCACGCGTATGACCGGGAGGTCCACCTGCGCTGCGAGCTGTCCCCTGGGCACTACCTGGCCGTGCCCAGCACCTTCCTGAAGGACATGCCCGGACGCTTCCTGCTGCGCGTGTTCTCCACTGGGAGAGTGGCCCTCAGGTGGGCAGGGCGGGGCCCGGCGGGGGCGGGGGCGGGGGCGGGCGGGGCGCGCCCCGCTTGGTGCCCACCCAGCCCCCTGCCCCCGCAGCGCCCTCAGGCCGACCCCCGCGAGCCCGCCGGCCGGGGAGTGGGAGACGGTGCGGCTGCGTGGCTGCTGGCGCAGTGGCCGGTCCGCGGGGGGCAGCAGGAACTTCGCGTCCTACCCCAGCAACCCCAGCTTCCCGCTGCTGGTGCCCGCCGGCGCGCCCCGCTGCGTGCGCATCTCCCTGCGCCAGCACTGCCGGGGCGCCCAGTGCCACCCCATCGGCTTCCACGTCTTCCAGGTAGGCCGGGCGGGGCGGGGAGGGGGCACCGGCCCCCGGGGGCGTGGGGGTTGGGCAGCCTGCCCGCCAGGCCCGCCCTGAGCCGCGCCGCCCCCAGGTCCCCGAGGACGAGGACGGCGGCGCGCCGGGCCAGCCGCCCCTGCTGCTGCAGGAGCCCGTGCTCAGCTGCGTGCCCCACAGCTACGCGCCCGAGGTGAGCCAGCTCTGCCAGCTGGCCCCGGGCGCCTACCGCGTGGTGCCCTCCACCTACCTGCCCGACACCGAGGGCACCTTCACCCTGCTGCTGGCCACCAGGATTGACAGGTGCGCCCGCCCGTCCGCCCGCCCCTGCCCTCCCCAGCCCCAGCGCGCCCCGTGACTCTGCTGCTCCCCCCCACAGGCGCTCCATCCACAGCCGGGAGTTGCTGGGCCAGCCCCTGCAGGAGGTAGGCCCCCCCCCATCCTCAGCACCCCTGGACCGGCCCCTGCGGGAGGGCCCCTCCCCCTCCCCACCCCCTGCGTCCCTGGGCCAGGCCCAGCAATGGCCTCTGCCCCCACAGGCGTCCTTCCTGGCGGTCATGAAGACTGGACCTTGACTGTGCTTCTCCACGGGCACCAGACAGCTCCCACGGCTCCTGGTGCCACCAACCGGTGCTGCGGCCGCCTCTCGGGCCAGAGGAGACACTGTGCTGCGGGCAGTGCCCCAGAGCCCACCCAGGACAGACTGGCCGCCTCGCCAGAGGAGAGACTGCCCTGCGGCAGTGCCCGGGCATCCCCGCCACCCACTGTGCCAGCCCCTTCCGGCAGGGACGTTCTCAGTAAACGCCAGCCTGGCGCTCTCTGCTGGTCTCCATTCGTGCCAGTGCTCACAGGGGGTGGGCAGGAGGGGGCAGGATGGGCTTCGCTTGATGCCAGGGCCAGGGACTGACCTGCCTGCATGGGCCAAGGGCCGAGCCTGTCGCTCTTCCCAGGGCCCGTCCCGCACAGCCCTGGGAGATGTGCCTGCTCGCCCTGGGTGTGACCACGCTATCCTGGTCGTGACAGGCATGGACACGGGGGCTGGCACATGCCCACCAGTGCCCACTAGGCCCTGCGTGCTGGACTCCCGGTCCTTCCCACTGGGGGTCTCCACCTCAGCACACAGCTGCCCTCCACACCGCGCCCCCTGCCTATACAGCTCCCCACACCCTCAGGCCTGGTCAGGGGGGCCAGCCCAGCGTCCACAATCCTGGGTGGTGACTCTGCCATGTCCTCCAGCCCTGGGGCTCAGCTGGAGTCCTCCAGGCCACGTGTCCCCCCCTTGGACACAGCTGACAGGAGCCCCCATGGCCACTCTGATGACCAGAGGTGCCAACTCGGAGCCCCACAGTGCTGGCCGGCACAGACGGCCCTGCCCACAGCACGCAGTCCTGTGCCATGCCCTCACCCAACCTGCACGTGGCCCTTGCCCGTACCCACCCCCACCCCCCCCACCCCCCCCCCCGCCTACCTCTACTGGGTCGTGCAGGTTCCTGGGGTCTGTTGGGAGCTGGTGCTCTCGGTGTCCCCTGCACACACCCTGTCAGCTCAGGAAACCCTGGGGCTGCCAGAGACCCCCACACCTTCCAGGAGGCAGAGAGATGGGGCCCCGACCCAGGGAGAAGAACGGCTCCCCCACCTGCCTGCAGGCCCCACCCACTCCCTGACCTGGGCTCTCTCCTTCTGGGGGTCTGCCTGGAGGCCTTGCCAGGGGCTGGGGCTGGGGGCAGTAGCTGGAGGTTCTGGACTCCGTCCCCAGGGCGCCATGTGCTGGCGGGTGCCTGGCCAGAGGGGGGCTGCGGGGGGCGGCAGGGTCTTCACATACCCAGAGCCCCAGAGGGCTGAGGTCAAGCCTGCAGAGACCCCCGGAGCACAGGCCCCTTGTGCCCAGCACCTCCGGCCCTCTGCGAACTGGCCCGAGGGGCTGGCCCTGGGCTTGGTGGCTCCCAACCAGGGTGGGCGAACCTGGCACTGCAATGCCTTTCCCTGCGCTGGGCACTCACCCGAGCTCCCTGGCCATCGCTGCCCACTGCTGTGCCATTTCCCGCCCCCCCCACCCGGGGACCCCTCGCCCTGCCAGTGCTCAGCCCCCTCACCCCATGTGTCAGGCTCATCCCCTGAGGCCCTGCGGGCAGCACCTTCCCTCCGTCCTGTCCTGACGGCTGCCAAGGCCTATAGGTGCCTGGTAGTGGCGCCCCCTGCTGGCAATGGGAAGAGCTGGGGGTGGCAGCGCTGGGCCGGGGTGTGAAGGCACCTTGTGTCAGCAGGACCTATAGAGTGTGTGGGCCCATGTGTACTGTAGCACTGTCCGGCTGTCGTTCATCAATTTGCTCGAGCGGGCCCAGTAACGTCTCCATCGTGAGACTTGTTACTGTCTTTGGCATATCGAATACGTCACGGGGAGCTTGCCAGGCTTTGCGGTGCGGGCAAGATATTCTCGGTAGGTTGCCGGGCTCTCCGAGAGGGGCGGAGGAATCGAACTTGGGTCGGCTGGGCCAGCCGCGTGCAAGGCAAACGCCCTACCGCTGTGCTATCGCTCCTGGCCCATGTGTACAGAGTGCATAAATGTGTGCTACGCCTGTGTGTTCATGTGCACCTGTGTGTACTACATCCACATGTAGTACAAGTGTGTATGTGTGCACTTGTGTATTCATCCGTGTGTGCGTGTGTGTACATGTGCTACATCCGTGCGTACACGTGTGTACATTTGTGCGCACTATATCCGTGTATGCGCCCATGTGTACGCATGTGTGCATACATGCTTTTACAGGGGGTTGTCAGCAGTAGTTTCGGGAAGGACCATGCAGGCCGGTTTTTGTGTGATTTGGTTTAGAGTCACACCGGCCAGTGCTCGGGGGTCACTCCTGGCAGACTTGGGGGGCCGTGCAGGGTGCTGGGGATTGAGCCTGGGGCTGTGTTCAAGGCAAGTGCCCTGCCCTCTGTCCTGCCCCTCTGGGGGTGAGGTCAGCACAGGCTGCCCCCCTTGCTGAGCCTGTGCCCCCACTCCTCAGTACTTGGTGTCTGATTATTGCAAATGACGACATTTTTTTGGTCTTCATTTTTTCCCCAGTTTATCTTTCCTAGTCTCAGTATGTGACGTGTGGGGCTGGGGTCACCCCTGGTGCTGCTGCCCACTGCCCAGGGGCCATGTGGGGTGCCAGGTTCTAACTCAGGCCGGTTGGGTAGAAGACATACTCTGCCCACCGCACTACCTCTCTGGCCCCCGGAAAGGCGCCTTTCCACCGGCATCTCAGACACGGCCTTGCCAACCCCCTGAGATTGGCTGCTTTGGCACAGTGGCAAGAATGCCTTTCCCGAGAGCCAGCACCGCAGGAAGGCACTTGCCTTGCACGCCACCAAGCCAGGCTAGATCCCCGCACCCCACATGGTCCCCCGAGCCCCCACCAGGCGTGATTCCTGAACGCAGAGCAGGAGTAAGCCCTGAGCACCAGCCGTTGTGCCCCAGCCCCCCATGAAAGAGAAAGCCTTCCATGGCCCCTGCCCGAGGTGTGTCCCCAGGCACTGCCCTGAGCCCTTCCTGTCTCCCTGTGCCTGTGGGGGGGAGGGGATCAGTCAGTGGACCTGCGCTGAGTCCTGCCCTGCAGCCCACTGAGCTGTGAGGGTCCAGCCTGAGACCGCAGCTATGGGCCACGCTGACCCACTCGCTATCCGTCCATCCCTCAGGGACCCACGTGGCTCCCCAGGCCGGTACAGGTCTTGGGTTGGGCTGGTCATGACAAGTCCCTGTGCCAGTGCTTGGAGGTGACCACACACATTCCTGACCTGACCTGTCCCTCACCTCAGCCCAGAGACCCAGCCCTGACCTTAGCCTCAGCCCTGCCCGGCCCCTGCTCTGTCCACCATCCTGCTCTGACCCTGCCTGCAGTCCCTGACAACCCGACTGACCCTCCTGCCACGCGATTCCTCAGACCCCGTGATGTTGGGCAGGCACTGCGCTCGCTCCTCAGGACCCAGACACCCGACCTCATCGCCACCTCAGCGTCCCTCCCAGGGAGCAGGCAATGGTCCGGAGCGGGCAGTGAGGCAGCCCAGGCCTGGGTCTGGCGTGAGGGGTCTCCGGGTGGGTGTGGAGGCCCTGAGCTGGGGGCGACTGGCACCCACCTGCGTGACAGTCCCATGGGCAGGCCCAGCTGAGCAGCTCTGGGCCTGGAACCGGTGGGCTGACAGGAGCCAAAGCCCTCCCAGGGACCCCCAGAAGAAGGCGTATGCATCACTGTGCGTGGACTCCTGTTATGTGTGTGTTCATGCACACACGTGTCTGTGTCTCGGGGGAGGCTCCCTGGGGCATGGCCACAGCCCCGTGTCTGCTTGGCTTGTCCTGTTCCAGGCTCTGCTGGGAGACGCTGCTGGAGCTTCTATGGGAGCATTGCTGGGAGCACCACCGGGAGCACTGCTGTAAGTTCTGTTGGGAGCACTTCTAGGTGTCCTGCTGAGAGCACTGTTGGAGGCCCCAGTGGGAGTCCTGCTGGAGCATTTCCAGAAGCGAGGCTCTCTACTGTTCCCTGCTGGGAGCACTTCTGCTGGAGCACTCCCAGAAGTGAGGCTCTCCCTCCCCCGTGCCAGTGATTCCGGAAATTTCCAAGCAGATCCCCGCCAGCAGAAGGGCAGATGACATGGCTGTGACATGGCAGCCTAGGCAGGGGGAGGGATGATGCACACAGGCTCCTACGGCTGATGTCACAGTCTCGGTCGTCAAGATTCAGAAAGAGGAAGGGAGAAGCACTTCTCAGAATCCAGGGCTCCCGGCGCCCCTGCAACCTCAGGATGAACTGCACCAGCTTCCGCTGTTCCCGAGCCTGCGGGCCAGTGCCCTGCATCACATCCGCCCTTAGGCACGCAAACCCCAGGACCGCTTCCCTCTGCTCCGTGGGCAAGTCTGTGCCCTCAGGTAGTCCTGGTAGGTCTGTGCCCTGAGGACTCTGGGGCCCGTCTGTGCCCCAGGGACCCCGGGGGTGGGCTGCCTCACTTCCCGTCTGCCACAGCTACTTGCTGGCCTGACAGCCCAAGGGGCAGGGTCTGGCCATGGCTGTGGCACTAAGTGGACAAGCCAAAAGGAGACCTGGGGTCTGGCTCCGTGTCCCCACCCCTCACCTGGACCTGGCAGTGGGGGTCCCCTTCGCCGTGACACCCCTGGGCCTCTGCACTGGCCCCTCCATCACCCCCAGCCTGTCTCAGCTCTCCGCACAGATCCACCAGTGCCTGGGCACAAGCAAGTGTGCACACATGCACACACGTGTACACAGCACACGGACACATGTGTGCAGTCCTCCCGCAGGGGCGCATGTGCACACACCCCTAAAGACTCACACATGGTGTTTCATTAATAAAAAAAAAATAATTTTTTTCCTGAAAGAGGGAAAAACAATAAAAAAAAAAAGACCCACACAGATGTGCTCATGTGAACTGCACCCATGTGTGCAACGAGAGCTGCAGTCTGATTCATATGCACGCACACTCATGGCTACACACACAGCACATGTGTGCCCATGGCACACACAGGGCTGCACTCACACAGGTGCACATTCTTACACACACACACACACACACACACACACAGCCCACAGGGAGCACGTGAATCGCACCCCCACACAGGCACGTCTGTGTGCTCACACATGCACACAGGCACATGCGCAACCGTGCCTGTGCGTGTGGCCCAACGGCGCGCATGTGAACCGCACCCACACAGGCGCCAGCCACATCCAGCCGCCTCTCGTGCGAACAGTCTTACAAGAGGGTTCCTGGGCGGGAGCCGCGCCTTCCGGGGGGCTGGGTTGAGTGTCCCACTGGGGTGGGAGGCTCTTCACCACGGCCTCATCTGGAGGAAGCCTTTGGTTTTTCTTTTTTTTTTCCTTTTTGAGTCACACCTGGCGATGCACAGGGGTCACTCTTGGCTCTGCACTCAGGAATTACCCCTGGCGGTGCTCAGGAGGACCCTATGGGATGCTGGGAATTGATCCCTGGTCGGCCGTGTGCAAGGCAAACGCCATCCCCGCTGTGCTATCCCCCGGCCCTGGAGGAAGCCTTTGGGACGAGTTCCAAAGTCAGCTGCCGAGCCCGCAGCTCCCAGCCTCTTCTTGCTCCCGTCCAGCCCCTGACCGGCCTGAGCCCAGGTCCCTCCACCAGGGGTTCCACCAGGGAGTCCCGTTACCAGGGCAGCCTGCGGTGACGGGGGCGGGGGGGTTTCCCATGCCTGGGCCCGGCTGTGGGCAGACTGTGGCAGCGGGGAGGGGCGGGGCTGCCCACAGAGCTCACTTGCACTTGGCGCTGGCAGGAGGCAGCGTCCCCAGGAGGACGACTGACGTGGGGCCAGTGCCGGCTGGCGGAGAAAGGGGAAGAGCGAGAGGACACGCAGCCCCTTCGTGGGACCGGGACGGTGCTGGTCCCGCAGCCAGAGGGAGCGCCCCGGTGAGTGGGGCAGCCGGCCACCAGTCCCCCAGGGCTCCCGGGAGGCTAGGCAGAGACCAGGGCCAACGGTTCTGTGGCCGGATCAGGGCCCAGAGGGTGGAGGGGGCTGCATCCCTCGCTGCTGGCGGGTGGGGGCAGGCGTGGGCAGCCCACACCCCCGTGTGGTACCAGGGATGCTGGGTGTCTGGACCCAGGTCCCCCAGGCCCGTGGGGCCGCACATTGTCCCTTGGGTGCTCCCGGGTGGGGCTAAGTGGGGGCTGGTGGCTCCTCCAGAACAGACCCCGCCCTCGCTCACCCTCCGGGGCTCAGCAAGGACCCACCCCCTCCCTGCGGCCCTGGGGTCAATTGGGGCTGGGGCCTGGGTGGGCCCGTCTCAGGGGAGTCGAGGGTGGGCCGCATGCAGCTGAGGGCTGAGGCCCTGCATCCATGCCCGGACCCAGCCAGGGGGAGGGGTCTTCAGGTGGGTGGCCTCACGGGCGGGGATGAGGACAGGAAGGAAGATGGGTCAGCCCCTCCAGAGAGCTCTGGTACCCCCGCCTCCAGGAAGCCTTCCATCCTGTACCCCCACCCACTGCAGGCTGGTCTGTCTGCTGTGGTCACGGCCACCGTCCCTGCTGCCTGACGCCCCAGCCCAGCGCGCCGTCACCCCGCTTAGGAGGGAGGGGCAGCCTGGGACGCCCCAGCCCACCCCACGCCTCCAGGAGAGACTGCTGAAGGGGACTCGAGTCCCAGGAAACAGGTCAGAGCCGGCTCGGGTGGGGCAGAGAGGGCAGGGCTGCAGTGCCAGCCGTGGGTTCTGAGGGTCTACGTGGGTGCAGCTTTGCTGGTTTTAAGGGGAGCCCCCCTGGGCGGGCTGTGTGGCCTTTCCCGGTTGTGGGGCCTGGGGGTACCTGATGCCTTCACCTGGCCTCTGAGATGGCCCTGGGCACCGGGCACCCGGCGCAGACGGGCAGGGTGCTGAGCTGCTCTCTGCAGAGGCCTGGGCAGTGGGGCCTGCCCCCCGCTCCCGTGGGAGAGTCGGGTCCCTGCGTGGGCTTGAGGAGACAGAGGCTGTTGGTAGGTGCAAGGAGCAGCGTGAGGAACGGGGCAAGTGCCCTCCCCACTGGGCTGTGCTTTGCCCCACGGGGGAGCGGGGCGGGTGGACACTGTTGGGGTCTGGCCTCGAGCCTCGGCTCAGAGGGGCTGCTTGGGGCATGAGCAGCTCGAGGTCCATCTGGGCGAGGGCTGGGGCCAAGCGGGAGACCCCAGTGGTGGTTGGGGGCATGTGGCTGGCTGGGGTGGGAGGAGAGAGATGCTCCTTCCTCCCACTAGGCTCTCGGCAGGCTGCTCAGCAGGGTGGGGCGGGTGGGGCTGGCCTCCCCTGGGGCCAGAGCTTCTGCCTCCCTAATGCACTGCCCCGCCCAGGGCTGGCTCTCCCAGGGCTGGCTCTCCCAGGGTTGGCTCTCCCTCGTCCATGCAGCCCTGTCTGGGGTGGCCCGGGCCCTGTCCGCCAGCCCCTCGCGGCATTGGCCAAGGCGCCACGTGGGACCCCGCAGGGGGCTGACATCCCCTGTGCCCCGCCCCCCCCACTCGTGTGAGGGGCTGTGGGGACACAGCCCGGGTCCCCGCTGCCCCCCATCCCCCAGTGGGCAGGCGTCTGTTCTGGGCTGGGAGGTGGGTTGGAAGGTTCCGGGGAGCCGCAGCTGCGGGCGCGGGGCCGGGCCCTGGGTGGGGGTGGGGGGATGCCCGGCCCTCACTCCCGCCATGCCCCGCAGGACCATGGACAACTCTAGCTGCGGGCCGTGCCAGTTCCGCGGGCCGGGGCCCAGCCAGGCCATCCACTATGCCTACACGGGCCTGCTGCTGGCGCTGGGGCTGCCCCTGAACGCGCTGGCGCTCTGGGTGTTCTGCTGCCGCATGCCTCGCTGGACCACGACGCATGTGTACATGGTGAACCTGGCCACGGCCGACCTGTGCCTGCTCTGCACGCTGCCACTCCTGCTGAGGCCCGGGCACCTGGCCCTGCTACCCTGCCACGTCTCCCAGGGCTGCTACCTGGCCAACAGGTACATGAGCATCAGCCTGGTCATGGCGCTGGCCCTGGACCGCTACGTGGCCGTGCGGCACCCCCTGCGGGCTCGCGGCCTCCGCTCCCCGCGCCGGGCCCTGGCGCTGTGTGCCGCGCTCTGGGTGCTAGTGACCGGCTCACTGGCCCTGCGGGGGCTGCTGGGGGCCAGGACCAACAGCACCTGCTTCTTCGGCACCTCGGAGCAGGAGCCCAAGATCGTGGCCTTCTCCCTGCTGGGCTTCTACCTGCCGTTAGCCGTACTGGTCTTCTGCTCCCTGCAGGTAGGCACGGCCCTGGCCCAGAGGCCGGCCGCCGACGCAGGGCAGGCCGAGGCCACTCGCAAGGCCGCCCGCATGGTCTGGGCCAACCTGGCCGTGTTCCTGGCCTGCTTCCTGCCCCTGCACCTGGTGCTGAGCGTGTACCTGGCGCTGGGCCCTGGCCGGCACACCTGCGCCTTCAAGTGCGCCTTCTTCATCACCAGCAAGTTCTCAGACGCCAACGGCTGCCTGGACGCCATCTGCTACTACTACTCGGCCAAGGACTTCCAGAACGCGTCGGGGCGGCCGGCACCCCTCAACACCAAGACCCACAAGAGCCAGGATTCTGTGTGCCTGACGATGACACAAGGACCCGTCTCCCGTTCCTAGGACGGCGCTGCCTCTGCACAAGGAAGGGGCCGTAGGACCGGGAACAGGGGTGGAGGTGCAGGGAGGCCTTCCTGCCAGTCTCCTGCTGCTGCCCACTGGGGCTAGAATAAAGCTCTCAGCAGGAGTCACCCAGATGGCTGCATGACGCCCACCCGCTCTGGCAGGGGGTGATGGGTGGGGGCAGGAGGTAAGGGATGGGAAGTGAGGAGGGGAGGGGAGAGGTGGAAGGCGGAGATGGGATGTGAGAGACGGGAGATGAGGATGGGAGGTGAGGGATTGGAGGTGAGAATGGGAGATGAGAGTGAGAAGTGGGGGGGAGGGGGAGGCACAGGGTTCCCCTCCTAGATGGCTTCTTCTGGTCCCCCAGAGTTGGGGGCTGGTGCCCGCCCCTGCTCGCTGGGGGTAGCAGGCGGCTCTGCCCGGCAGGGGCAGGGCTGGGCCACCTGAGTTCCCAGAGCATGGCTGGTGGGGTCTGAACCTGCAGGGCTTCCAGAGGACACAGGGCCCGGCCCACGTCTCCCCCTGAGCCCCCCCAGGCCTCCCTCGGCACGTCTGCACAAGGAAGCAGCACATTCTGGCTGTGCCAGGCGGTGCGGGCACCTCCTGCATTCTGAAGGCTGCGGGCTCCACACAAGGGATTGTGACTGGGGTCATGCTCAGGGACGGGACACAGGATGGGGTCCATCTCAGGGGGAAACAGCGAACGCTGTCTGGAGCCAAATTCTTTTGTTCTTGTTTTTGTGCCACACCCGGTGGGCTCAAGGAGCACTCCTGGCAGGGTTCGGGGACCATACGGGGTGCCAGGGGCCAAAGGCAGGTTGGCCACACACATGCCTGCACCCTGCGGTCCCATGGCCCCGGCCTGAGCCCAGTGCTGGGCCAGGTCTGGATGCCCCCGCAGTCCACCCGCACTGTGCCCACCTGCTCCCCACTCCACCGACAGTGCCCTGGTCCTGTGAAGGCGGCCAGCCCAGAGACCCCTCAGTCCCCTGGGGTCCCCCTCTGGCCTCGCCTCCCCCCTCTGGAGTCCCCCTGGGGTTCCCCCATCCACTACCCACACGCCCCATGCTGGGGTAGGTGCTAGTGTGTCCAGAAGGGGCCACACTCCTGGGAATATTGGCTCTGTGCAGGGACAGGAAGATCAGCACAGGATAGGAGGTTCACACAGGACAGGAGGGTCAGCAGAGAGGGAGGGCTGGACAGCCTCACACACTCTCCTGCGATCTGATTGGTCACCCGACAAACCTCACTGGAGATGCTATTAAAGCTCACAAGGCCTTGTGATCTGATTGGTCGTCCCGTTCCTTTATCTGCATCTGCAATATGATTGGTCATTCCGCCCGATGCCCTCATAGGGTGTAACTAATCAGGTGGCAGGAGCGGGATGCGGCTCCTCTAAGCCTGGTGGGCACAGGAGGCGAGGCAGGAGGGACCTCTGAGTGCAGAGCCAGGTCAGCCCGGGCTATTGTCCAGCACTTAGGGGCTGCGGTTTCTGTGGCAACACTTCTGTGAGCTGAACAAGACAGCTGTAACAAAGACCTGTGGCCACACACACTGCCTCAGAACCCACAGCTGGTTGGATGGTTCTGGCGAGCCGGCAGACCTCTGAACAGGCCGGCCCACTGCGGCCAGAACCGGGCGGAGACACTGGCACGCGGAGGCTCAGGGTGGTGGGCGCTGTCGGAGGGTCTTTAGTGGAAGGCGGGGGGCCGGCAGGCTCTGCTTCCACGGGCAGATGCAGGTCCATGCTGCCGGCCTGGGGGCACACGTGGCGGGGTGTCTGCACTCCCCACACCTTTCGGGGTTCTCCTCCACGCCCAGATGCACTCGTGGGGTGGATGGTGGCTGTGGGGACCTGTGTGCCCCACCAGGCTTCTTCCCTGCCTGGCCCCAGGGGCAGGTCTGCGTTGGAGGCTCTCCTGGTCTCATCCTCTGCCACTTCTGGACTCGCTGCGGCAGGCGCAGGTTCTCCTGGCTCGGGGGATCCCTGGCCTGGGTCCCCGATGCTGCCCTGCCCCCCACGATGCCCGTCCCCGTGGCAGCAACACCTCGGCGCCTGACTTCCTGGGGGATGGCTGTACTCAGCCCTCCGACAGCACAGAAACCTTCTGCTATCAGCATTCCCCTGTCTCCCCCCACAGGGCTGGTCTCCGGGGGGGACGGGCACCTGTCTTCTGGCATCTTGGTGGGCAGCTCTTCCTTCCTCTGGGTGGTGGGAGTGGGGCAGTCTGTGGCTGTGGGTGGGCCTGAGAGAAGGCAGTCTGGTGGGCCAGGGGAAGGCAGTCTGAGGGAGGAGGGTCTGGTGCTCCTGGTGCATGCTGAGCCCTGGGAGCTCAGTGCTGTTACCCTCCAGGAGAACTCTCTAGAAAATGCCAGGGCCTCGGAGGCAGGGAGTTCTACAGTGCCCACTGGGTGAGACTGACCCTGTGCCAAGCACACTGGCGGGGAGTGGTCAGCCCCTGGGCTGCGAGGCCTTGGTGGGTGTCTGTCCCCAGAACCCGCCGCGGAGCCTGAGTTCCAAGAGCCCGGGGCTCTGCAGAAATTCTCCTGAGCCCAGGGTTTGGTCTTGGCTGTAGAAGCTCCTGCCCGAGTGCACTAGTGTGGGGCCGCAGGGCCTGGGACAGCCTGGCGCGGTCAGCCGGCCCCAGGTGCTCCTGTCGAAAGCAGCTCAGGCCCCCGTGTCCACTGCTCACACAGCGCCCACCAGCCCCCTCCTCGCCATGCCTAGCAGCAAGGGGTGGCCCTCCCTGCCCTGGGAGTGGAGTGGGCAAGAGACCCCCTAGTGGGGTTAGGGAGGGTTCCACAGCCATGGGTGCCCATGCTGGGGCTCTGTCCTGTGGACCTGCCCACCTGGTGTCCAGGCACCAGGGGTGGACGGAGAAAGGTGGGGGACCCGGGCAGCCGTTCCCCGCCTGGAGTGGGGGCTGCCAGCCAGACCCCCAGCCTTGGCTCTGCTACCCACCGCAGCCAGGGTATGGTGCCCCCCAGCAGGTACCCCGGGAGCTTCTCACGGTGCCCAGGGCCACCTCCGTGGCGGCAGGAAGGTACCCTGCAGCGGGGGCTCCTGGGCCTCGGAAGTGAGCTTTGCACGCAGGTTTCTGGCATCGGGCCCAGGGACAGGAAGTGGTTTCAGGCTTGTGACAGGCCGCAGCTGCTGCATGAACTGAGCATGGTCCAGGCAGGGTCCTGGAGCACCCCTGGAGCCAGTCTGCTGCCCCCCCAGCCATAGACCCTCATGGGCAGCAGCTCCTGTCCTCCTGGTGCCAGAGGAGCTGCAGGCAGGGGGCATGGAGCAGGAAGGAGGATACTGGGCTGCCTCAGGCCACACCCTCCCCACCCTCCCCTCCTGGGTGTGGCGAGGGGCGCAGAGATCCAGCGAGCATTTGGAGGGAAGACTAGGAGGGCAGAAGCCCAGAGCCACCTGGGGCACAGCAAGGACTGAGAGTCCCCAGGGCAGGGGTGAGTCTGGTGAGAAGGGGCGAGGAGGGGGGGAGGGTCCCTGGAAGAAGGGGAAGGGAGAGGGGAGAGTGGGGGAGCAGGGGGGAGGAGGGAGGGGAGAGCTCGAGAGCAGGAGAGAGGGGAGAGTCCCAGGGAGCAGAGAGAGGGAGGGGGGAGCCCCGGGGAGGGGGGAAAGGGTTGGACCCCCGACACCCCATGTGGCCTCTGAGCCCCACCAGGGGTGATCCCTGAGCACAGATCCAGGAGTCAGCCCGGAGCAACTCTGGTGGGTGTGGGCTTCCCCTACTCCTCCCCCCACAAAAAAAGAAGCAAAAGCCAAAATTGTTTTTTTAAAAGAGCACAAAATTGACAATGAAGTAGAATAACTGTAGAAGAAAAAAGGAAAACTCACAAAGGGAGTAGAAGCAAACCGTGACGGGGGGAGCAGGAGCCGGGCGCAGGGCCCCGGGTGCGAGCGGGTCCTGCCCTCAAGCCCGTACATCTGAACAGCAGCTGGGAGAGGCTTGGGAGCCAGAGCCCAGGCGCCCCCCACGACAGCCCCAGCTGCCCTGCCCCGCGGCTCCTGGGCCAATGCTCGGGGGCATCTCAAGAACCAGAGTCCCTTCTCCTGAGTACTTCTGCAAACGCGTAAAGGGAGAAACACGTCCCGAAGTGTCCCGTGAGCTCAGGATCCTGACAGAGGGAAGACAAGCCGGGCACAGGAAGACCCTCAGCCCACAGCCCACCAAGCTCTGACTGCCCCAAAGAAAAGTGCCTCCTGCCTGGGGCCGACAGCCTGCACCCCAGGTGCGGAAACACTCGGTGACACAGTGCTCAGAGAGCACTTGGGCAGGAACACCCATGCAGAAGGTTCCAGAGCAGCTCCTGCCTTGAGGGGTGGGATGTGTCTCCCCAGCCTGGGGGTAGGAGGGCAGGGAACAGCCTGTCCCTCTCCGCCATGGCCACAGCCCGTCCTCACGTCTCCCCTGGGGCATGGAGCATCCCAGCACCGTCTGTGGAACTTTCTAGAGGCTGCATCTTCTCACCGCTCACCCCCGCCCCTGCTGCCCTTCTAGAAACCTCTGTGGGCCAAGGAGGCAGGACTGTCAGGAGCAGTTTATTGACCAACGGTTCCTGCTGAGGAAGGGGAGCGGGCATGGGCCTGGGGCTCAGGGCCCCTCCCGCCGACTCGGCCCGCGCCTGGTGCTGGTCCTGGGGTTGGCTTCACGCGGGGCGCGCGGTACTTGCTCTTCTGAGCGTAGAGCAGGTTCCTCTGGAACAGGCGCGGGAGGTGACCACAGTACAACAGGACGGCCAGCACCATCCCTGCGGGGAGCCGCAGCTGTGAGCCTGCTCCCGGGGAGGGCGCCCACCAGCTCCTGTGCCCTTCCCACGGCACAGACAGTGCCAGGCAGGGCGAAGGTGATGGAGCTCGGAAGTGGGGAACCCAGGAGGCTTGGACACTATCAGGACCTTGGACAGTCCTGCCGGACCCCACGCCAGCCCGGCCAGGCGAGCCCCGAGACCACTACGCCTGGCACTTCTCCTTGCTGACGAGAGGATGAGCCCTGGGCAGGGGCCGGGGAGGGACTGACTCGGCATGGGGCAGGGGGCCTTTCTCGGGGCGCAGAGCCCTCATGTCTCGACTCTCACTTCCCCCAGATGCGGTGACTCTGCCTCACTGTCCCCGCCTTCTGCACACAGGGGCCAGGTCTGGCCTCTCATTTCCTGCCAACATCACTGCCGCTCCCCGACCCGGACCCAGGGGCAGGGGCGTGGGGAGCCGCGGCACCAGCACCACGACCTCCTCAGTCTGCTGCCCCATGTCTTTCCTGGAACCGTGTCACACGTGCACTGGACACCTGGGGCATAGCGGAGCCCTGGGGGTGGCCCGTAGGGAGTCGAGCCCCCAGGCGTGGGGGACACACCTCTGCCCACAGCACCGCTGTCTGAGCAGCAGTGAAGTGGCCCGAGAGAAGGGGCCCCCACAAATGCAGGGCTCCCCGGACCCCAAGGCTGGGGGTCCCCGCCCTATTTCTAAAGTTGAACTGAGCCCCCTACCCCCAGTCTCCTGGAATCCAAAAAGAAACGTAATAAGGATGAATTTTGCCAAGAGTTGTAGTGACGTTACTATAAGGTCCTGCCGGGGGTGGGGACCCTGGTCCTCAGGTGTGCCCTGTGGGGTGGGGACCCCAGTTGGAGGGAGCACTCACAGCCTCAGCCCTGCAGAGCTCCATGCTGACCTCCGCCCCAGACCTGCGTGGGAGGGACCCTGTACGGGAGCTGGGCCAGGAGCCCCACCTGTGCCAGGGCAAGTCGGGACTCACGGGAGGGGGGCTGTCTTCCTGCGCCCCTCTCAGGCCGCAGGAGGGTAGTGTGGGGTGCGGGGTAGCGCTCACCTGTCAGAGGGCCCAGCCAGTACACCTGGGCGTACTCCAGCCAGCTGTGTCCGGCACACTGGAAGGTGACCCAGGTAGCCAGGGCAGGGTTGAAGAAGGCAGAGGTGAAGGGTCCAGCTGCGGGGGTGGAGGGAGAGAGACTGTGGGGCCCTTGCAGGGGCCCTCGCCCCCAGACAGGCCCTGAGGCAAGTCGCCTGGCAGGAGCTCGAGCTCAGAGGTCCTGTCTCTCCCTCGCAGACACAAGGAAGCGAAGAGGTCACTGACCCACGTTTGCACAGCCCAGTCCCAGGGAGACCCAGGAGGGCCCCTGGCGAGTCCAGGGCCCGAGCAGGAGCAGGGTGGGGGGCAGGAGTGGTGCACCAGGAGTCTTAGAGCCTGATCCTTGCAGCCGGGGACAGGCAGGGCCAGAGGACGGACTGGCTCCCCTCGAGGGTCCCCGGCCCGGCCCGGCCTGGCGGGTGCCAGTGTGGCAGGGAGTGACCAAGGGGGCCAGGGCAGGGAACAGCAGGAAGACCAGGGTCAGCAGCGGCCCCTCCCCCTCCCCAGCCCTCCCCAGGCCCAGGCCCACCTGTGTAGGCCAGCACGGTGACCAGCAGGGCCACGGCCAGCACGCGGCAGGCAGGGAGGCTGTGGCGGAGACGCAGGAGCGTGAGGTGGAAGAGGAAGGCGCAGGCGGCCTCCACCAGCGTGCCGTGGGCCGGGTCGGTGCGCAGCGCGGAGCTGCAGTGCTCGGCCATGAGGTTCTGCAGCATGTGCAGGTCAGTCAGCTCCCAGGCCCAGTACAGCCGCACGAGCGCGCAGCCCAGCTGCAGGCCCACGGCCTGGGCGCCCAGCCTCAGCAGCGTGCCCGCCAGCGAGGCCTCGGCCAGGAGAAAGTCCTGCAGGCTCACGGCCGGGTTGGCCGCCGCCCCGTCGAACGTGGCCCCGTGCGCCAGGAAGAGCAGGAAGACCAGGGTCAGCAGCAGGTCGGGCCCGAAGCCCCCGGCCCAGGGCCCCAGCTCGGCCAGGGCGCGCAGCTCCAGGCAGCAGGCGCCCAGCTGCACGGCGCCCGCCACTTCCCGCGCGACGCTAGTGTAGGCGCCCGCCGGGAGCACAGCCTTGGCCGCCTTCCTGGCCGCCTGGCAGAGGGCGAAGGTGGCCAGGAAGAAGAAGAGGGACACATTGAGACCGGCCATCAGGCCCCGCGCCCCGCAGCGACTGCGGGGTCCCGGCTGACGTGTCCAGGAGCCTGGGAACGCCGCACCTGCCCCCTCGCTCCGCCCTGCCCTCCCGCCCTGCAGCCTGCTGGGCCGGCCCTCTGCCAGCGTCCCTGTCCTGGCGGCCACCCGTCTGCACTGCCTGCACCCCGGGCCCTGCCCCAGGCCCTCCTCAGACCTGTCCTGGGGCTGGAGGTCCTGGGGGGTCCCTGTAGGTCATGAAACACTCCATGGGGCCAAGTACTCTGGGCATGGGGGGTGGGGCAGGGGATGGTGTCTGTCCTCCAGGGCAGAGCCCGCCCAGCGGCCTCCTGACTCGGACACACAGCGGTGCCCACTGACCTGCTGTGGGTGCCCAGTGTCCCACTGTTGTGTCCAGTGCCCTGCTGTGGGTGCCAAGTGTCCCACTGAGTATTCAGTGTGCCACTGTGAGTACCCAGTGTGCCACTGTGAGTACCCACTGTCCCGTTGCCAGAACCCAGTGTCCCATTGCGAGTACCCAGCGTCCTATTGCGAGTACCCAGTGTCCCACTGTGAGTACCCAGTATTCCACTGTGGGTGTCCAGTGTCTGGCTGTGGTGTCCAGTGTCCCCGAATCAGTGCAGGCTCTCCCAAACCCCCACACTGCCGCAGCTCCCCACGGCCTTCCTGTCTCCTCCCTCAGGACGGTCCCGCAGGGTGCGGGAGGGGCTCCTGCCCGCCCACTCAGCCCACACACACCCTGTGATGGGGCTTTGCCCGGTAGCATGAGAGAGCTGTGAGTTTCCGGCCAGGGGAGAGTCACCTCAACTCAAAGGGTTTCCTCAAGCTTTGCTCCGTTCCTAAAGGTTTATCTTCAAAAAGGTGTTCAACCTTGACAGATGGAGACTTTTGTCCATTACTTTACTGTGTCTACAGAGCTGACAAAACCTGCCCGTCTCCCTCAGTGTTGAGTTGCACATGATCACCGTGAACTTTTTTTTTTTATTTTTGGGTCACACCCGGCGATGCACAGGGGTTACTCCTGGCTCTGCACCACTCCTGGTGGTGCTCAGGGGACCATATGGGATACTGGGAGTTGAACCCGGGTCGGCTGCGTGCAAGGCAAATGCCCTACCCACTGTGCTATCTCTCCAGCCCCCACCGTGAACAATTTCTGAGCCAACCTTGCTTCCTAGGAAGACCCTCACTTGTAGCTGAGATACTTTTTTCCCACTTTATTCAACACTGGTTTACAATATGGTTCATGATGCATTTGTTACATGCACACAATGTTCCAACCCCAAACCCACCCCCACTCCACCTTCCCTCCACCACTAGCCCCTTTCCCGAGGACCCCCAAGCTGCTCCCTTAGTAGGCCCCAAATAATTTATATTGTTTATTACAACTGGTAATGGAATCATCGAAATATACTTGAGTAAGAGAAAGGTCAGAATGTTGCATCCCGCCAGGTTAACTCCTGGCCTGGGGAGTTGCTGGAGTTGCTACAGTTGCTAGCGGTGCCTCGTTACTCTGTTACTGTCTTCACCATCCCACTTCTGTGTTACCTTGCCCCGGAATCCGGCGGCTCCTACTGGGATGTCAGCATTGCAGAGTTTGGCCATGTCATGCACTCCAGGAAATCCAGAATATTTCACTGGGCAGTGAGCGCCCAAGGCAGTGGCTGCAGGATGCAGGCCAGGCTACTCAGGCTTCTGGAAGCCCAGTGGGGAGGCTGTCGGCCGCTCTGAGAAGACCCCAGAGCAGAGCTATGCTCTTCTAAATGCATTTGGAGACTCGGTTCAGAGCTGAGGCTCCGGACTGCTACAGTGCTGGAACCCAGTGGGTCCTTCCCGGCCCCCCCACCCCCACCCCACGTGTCCCATCTGGAAAGAGCACTGCAGGCTTCAGACTGAGCAACAAGTGTCCCATCCCCATCTTCTCTGGAACGGGGGACAGCGTTTTTGGCTTTGGGCCATGCCGGCTGTGTTCAGGGCTTACTCCTGGCTCTACCTCGGGAGTTACTCCTGGCGGTGCTCAGGGTTCCACATAGGATGCGGGGATCAAACCTGGGTCAGCTGCGTGCAAGGCCAGCACCTACCCGCTGGACTATCGCCACGGCCCAAGGGAAGGCATTTCTAAGTGTGCCCAGACCATGAGATTTTCAAGACTTCAGAGACTGTTGAAGGTGCCAAGCAGGGCTGGTGCCCAGGCATCTCTGGGGCCGGGAGGTTTAGGTGAAAGGGGAAAGGGGGGGCATCTCTGTGGGGACAGGATGGAACAGACCCACCCCTGGGTTTCCCACGGGCCCCATGGGCCAGCTGCAGGAGTGGCCAGAGCCCCAGGACCCCTGGCTGCTGGCCTGTAGGAGGCCCGAGGACAGCAGTGGCTGTCCAGAATCCTGGTCGAACTCATGGCTGCTCCTGGGATCACCTCCTGCATCAGTACAGGAGAGAGAAAGCTCAGAGCTCCCCGCACCTGGGCACCCTTTACCACACAACAACTGGGGGTCGGGACGCGGCAGGCAGGAGGGCCACCCCGACAGCGCCAAACATCAGAGCAGAAGCAGATCGCAGGTCGCTGGGGCAGGAGAGGCATTCTTCACCTTTGGTTAGGCAACACCAAACCTTTCCCTGGCAGCCACGGAAGGGCCCTGGAGGCCGTGAGGACAAGGCCCCTGACCAGGGCGGCTGAGGCCCCCACGCTGCCCTCCCGCTAGCTCTGGGCCAAGACCCGAGCTGAGTGGGCCGGGGGTGGTGAGGGGTCCGGCCGCTTCGCCTGCCGAGTGCGGCAGGTGTGAGCCCCGCTCCTGGCCTCCCCCTGGGAGGGGGGTGCTTCTGGGACGGCGCTGACCACCCCTGGCCCCTTCTGTCCCTGTCAGACATCCGAGGCGCAAATGAAGGCAAGCGGAGGGCAGAGTCTGGTGCCGAGTACGGGGCCACGTTTATTCGGGAGTCGACGGGCGGAGAACACGGTACAGGAGCCTGACGCTCGGGCGGACGGCAGGGGCAGGGTGCCACACAACCACGTATGTACAAGCCACGGGAACTTGGGGCACGGCTCCTACGGGGGCTCAGGTCTGGGAGCAGCCACGGCCTCTCCCCAGAGCCTGCCTGATCCGGCCCTGGGGTGAAAGAGGTGCCTCGGGGGGCCACGGGGACTGATGGGACACTGCTTGCCTGGGAGCATCAGGGGCCTGCTGACCAGACTCGGAGGGGCGAGGGGGCAGGAGCAACCGGGACCCGTGTGTGTATGTGTGTGTGTGTGCGCGCGCTTGCGCGGCGTCAACATCTGTGGACATGTGTGCGTGCGTGTGCCTGAGGGCATGTGGACAGACGTGTGCATGTGTGTGTGCATGTGTGAATGGAATGTCGTGTCTTAAGAGACCCTAGCGCTTCTGGAGCCTCTTCACCCGTGGGCACGCCCGGCTCATGCAGACCCAGTGGCCCTTCCTGAGTCCCACAGGTGGGGCCCCTCAGCCTGGGGTCAGGAGCGTGCCCTGTGCTGGCCCTCAGATCTTTCCCTCCTGCCTCCTGACCCTCCACCTTCCCCACAGGGTCCTGGTGCTCAGCTGCCTTCAGGTGTCAGATGTGGAAACTGAGGCTCAGGCCATGAAGAAGCTCGTCTTCGGGGGTGGACGGGGGTGGCGTGGGGGGATGGGAACAAGGTGGGCAGCAGGCGGGTGCGAAGCATCCCAGGGGGCCCATGGCTGTGGGTCCCCTGGCGGGCCCCTCCACGCGGTGCTCTGCAGGTTGGCCGGCCTTGGGCACCTGTGCGGCCATGTCAGGCTGGCTGGCCTGAGTGGGCCTGAGGGGCTCGGACCCTCTTCTGGAACATGCTCCTACATTTCCTCTGCCTGGGAGATGGAACTGGTGTTCCTGCTGCCCCCGCACGTGGGTCACACATGCGGCACCCTGGGCTGTCGCACAATGCCTGGGGCCTGCGCTTTAGGTGTGAGGTCAGGAGTCAAAGGTCAGGAGAGATCAGGAGAGAAGTCAGGTGAGAGACCAGGTGGGGTCAGTGGGAGGTCAGGTGAGAGGTCAGGGGTGAGACCAGGCGAGAGGCCAGGTGAGAGACCAGGTGAGGTCAGGAGAAAGCTCAGGTGAGATGCCACATGGGAGGTCAGGTGAGAGGTCAGGGGTGAGGCCAGGCCAGGGATGAGCTCGGTTGAAGGCTGGGTGTGAGGCCAGGTGGGAGGCGGGTCTGAGACAGGCTCTATGTTCTCCTCCACCCTGAGCACGCGCCCCCCTTCACTTCCTCCTTGCCCCCTGCAGGGCTGAGCAGCTTTCCGGGAGAGTCAGAGTGAACCAGAACCCACGCCTCTGGCCTGCGTGCGGGGTGCTGAGCTGGCCATTTCGGGGGACTCTGGCTGAGGGTGGCACCTCCTTGGCTGGCAGAGGACCCCCGGCTGTGCATTTCCGAGGGGCCTCGGTGGGGGGGACCCACGGAGACAGTCAGACACGGGGAAGGCCCTGGGGGACACGACCCACACACTCTCCTGGGGGCCAACACGGAGATCTCAGGCTCACCCTGTGTCAGGTGCGGTCTGGGGGTCAGTGGAGGCTGGGCAGACTCAACGAGGGGAGGGGGGTTCTACAGTCTAGTGGCGGTTAGAAATAAATACTTGTCAACAGGACACGGTCAGTTAGTTCCCGCGGGCGCACTGACTACGAGCATTAGTCACATCGGTCTAGGCTTAGAAAAATACCAGCTCAGCCGCGAGGACCCCGTGCCCGGTCCCCCAGCTCCGCCCGGCCCGGGCCGGCCCACGGCAGGTGGGACAGGCGGCCGGAGAGCCGGGATGGGTCGTGGGGTCACGTCCCCCGAGGGCGGCGGCGGGGGACACTGAGGGCCAGGCGCGGCGGGGCGGGGGCGGCCTGGGGGGCGGCCGGGGCGCCCGGCTCACACCCGCATCTGCGCAGACCTCCGTCTCGACAGCTTGGACCTGGCGGCGAGGGGCTCCGGGTCAGCGGCCTGCGCGGGCCGGGGCCTGGGGGTCCCTCCCGGCCCGCGGGGAGGGGGGGCGCCTACCGGATAGTGCCGGCCAGCAGCGGGTTGAAGGCGTAGAGCCAGTCGTGCATGTCCTTGTCGCTGTTGGCGCGCAGCAGGATGCCCCGGTGCTCGGTGCACACGGCGAAGGTGTTGGGGGTCTGCGGGGCGGGCGGTGAGCGCGGCCCGCGGGGTGCGCCCCCCGCCGACCCGCGCCCACGGAGTGCGCCCCCCCGCCGACCCGCGCCCACGGAGTGCGCCCGCGCCCACCTTGAGCATGGCCTGCTGGTCCTCGCTGTACTCCACCTGCGCCGTGGACAGGTTGAGCACGAAGCGCTCCACGGCGTCGCGCTCGCTGTTGTACATGTAGGCGTAGGGCCGGCGCACCACCACGAAGCGCTTGGCCCAGCCGGCCGTGTGCGGCTCCAGGAAGTGCAGGAAGCCCTTCTTGGACACGATGGGGCTGCGGGGCGGGGGCGGGGCGTCAGGCGCGGCCCCGCCCCGCCCCGCCCCGCGCGGGCCCCCACGCACCTCACGCGGATCTCCTGCACGTCGGGCAGCAGCGCGCGCGGCGGCTCGGCGGCGGGGCCCGGGCTGGCGGCCTTCCCGGCGGCGGCGGCGGCGGCGGCGTCGGGCAGCGGCTCGGGCTCGGGGCTGGCGGGCCGCGAGCAGGGCGGCGGCGTCCTGCGGGCACCGCACCGCGGTGGGCGGGGGCTCCGCCCGCGCGGCGCCAACCCCCCAGCCCCGGGCCCGCCGCCGGCCACTCACCTCGCGTCGGAGGCCCCGTACCGGCCCTCCACCAGGGACGGGCACGTGGACGAGGGCGTGAGCGTGGCCGCCCCCACGGGGGACATGGACGGGTCCCGCAGCAGAGTGACCGACATCTCCGAGAGCTGCGCAAGAGTCAGCCTTGGGGGCGCCGGGACCCCGCGGGGGCGGGGCGGGGCGCGGGGGCGGGGCTCTGGCAAGGGCGGGGCTTAGCTGCGTGGGGCGGGGCCAGGCTCAGTCACCTGGGGGCGGGGCTCGAGCGCGGAGCCGGACTTTGGTGCGCGGGGCGGGCACATGTGGGCGGGGCTAGGACGGGGGCAGAGCTCAGGCGCACGGGGGCGGGGCTCAAGCTCGGGGCGGGGCTTAGGTGCGAGGAGTGGGGCGCGGTCACGTGTGAGCAGGGCGCAGCCGGGATCAGGGCTCAGGCGCATCGGGACAGGGGTCAGCGCGGGGCGCGGGGGCGGGGGGCGCGTGTAGGAGAAGCTCAGGAGCACGGGGCGGGGCTCAGGGGCATATGGGAAGGGCGCAGGGCTCAAGCGCGGGGCGGGGCCTTGGCGCGTGGGGCGGGCACCTGTAGGAGGGGCTCGGGCTCGGGGCGGGGCTTGGGCACGTGGGGTGGGCACGTGTGGGCAGGACTTGAACGAACGGAAGTAGGGCTCGGGCGCGTGGGGGCGGGGCTCACGCGAGGGGCGGAGCTTAGGCGCATGGGCGGGTCCGCGTGGGCGGGGCTCGGGAGCGCGGGGCCCGGGCAGGGGGCGGGGCGGGCAGGGGCAGGGCGCGGCTGCGTGTGTAACGGGCTCGGACCCGCACAGGAGCGTGCGGAACTGCCGCCCACCTTGCTCTCGCTGGCGCTGACGCAGACGTGGCCGTGGGAGTACTCGCGGTTGAAGGTGTGCGTGAGGAGGCGCAGGCACTGTGGACACAGGCTGGTCAGGGCGTGGCCGGCGCGGGCGCCCCACGGCCCCCGCGGCGGCCCCCGCGGCCCACCTTGACAGCCAGTTCGCGCTGCCGCTCGTTCGGGGCCTCGTCGGGCGAGGGGCGCCCGTCAGCCGAGAGCGGGGAGGAGGCGCTGGACGAGCTCCGGGAGTCCGCGTCCTCGCTGCCCGGGGTCAGGGCCTCGGGGCCGTGGCGCTGCGCCGCCTCCAGCTTCTCCCGCAGGAGCAGGTAGTGCCGGGTCTTCTCCACCTGCAGGGGCCGCGGCCACCCATAGGACCCGCCCACGCGACCCTGCCCCCGACTCCTGCGGCCCCTCCTGCACCGGCCCAGCCCCGCCCGACCCGCAGCCCCGCCCCAGCCCGGCAGCCACGCCCACCCTGAAGCCCGCTCACCACCAAAGTCCCGCCCACCCTGTAGCCCCACCCCACCCACAGCCCCGCCCACCCTGCAGTCCCGCCGCAGCCCCGCCCCAGCACCGAAGCCCCGCCCATCACGTAGCCCCGCCCACTCGCAGCCCGTCCCCATCCCCGAAGCCCCGCCCCACCTCCTGCAGCAGGCTCAGCTTCTCCAGCTCCCACTGGTGGTCCAGGATGAGGCTGTCGCTGCGCGGCCTCCAGCCCGCCAGGTTCTCCTCGCCCCGCACGTAGGCCACGGACGTGTCCAGCACCCTCCGGCGCCGCCTCTGCATCCCTGCAGGGGCGCCTGCCTTCAGCCCACCTCATGGCAGGGAGGTGGGCCTCGGCCCCCTCCCCCAGCCGGCAGCTCGCCAGCTGGGGGGGGGGCAGGAAACGAGGTCATCAGGGCGGCTTAGCAGGGCGGGGCAGGCACGGGGCAGGCACCTACCTGGGCTGCCCGCGTCGGCCACGTGGCACAGGCTCAGCTCGTACACGCCTGTCACCCGGTTGCTGCAGGAGTGATGGTCTATCAGGGGATCTGGAGGCCCCTCTCTGCTGCTGTGCATCTCCGTCCCACCCCATCCCAGAGGGCACCCCACTAATCTCCCTGGGGAGAGGGCACTGGGGGCTCCAGGGCCCCTCCCCACACCTCAGCCCAGCCCTGACTGCGGGACCCCACAGGCCCAGCCCCTTCCCGAGGCAAAAAACCTGGCTCAGGGCCCCTGCCCTGGCCCCTCTAGGACCCCCACGTGAGGGTCTGGAATCTGGTGGTGGGTGGGCAGTGGAGGCCGGACTTACCTCTCCGAGGCACGAAGGCCCCCGCTGCCAAACAGGCTGCGGATGGAGCGTGAAGCAGGCAGCTTGGCGTCCCGAGAATAGAAGACCATGCAGAAGTCCTTGGTGATGACGGCGGGCTGCGTGCAGTTCTCCATCTGCAGGCAGGCGGGGGACTCAGGGCGGCGGCCAGACCCCACCCGACCCACATGGTCCGAGCCTCATTCTCAGGCTGTCTCGATGACACACTCCCCCAGATGCCGTGAGGAGCAAACGGGATCCTGTGGCTATTCAGGGGCAGTCTCACACCCACTGGCTTTCCTGGAGCTCAGGGACAGAGCTGGGGCGGCCTGCCCCAAAGCCAGCACACGGTCAGAGTCCCAGAACCGGGCAGTGAGGGGGCTGAGTACTGCCATCCTCCATCCCGTGACACGGCCTCAAACTCCTCCATGCCTCATTACCGTGCTCAGCTTCACTTGCCCACAATCCCAGCTCCTCCGGGACACACGGCAGCTCTGGTGCTGCCTGGGGCACGTGCAATGTCTCATGTGTTGCAGCCACCCTAGGACATAGGCCCAGGGCATGTACTGCCGAGAGGAATGGGCTCACTATGAACTCCGCCACCAGAAGCAGACAGGAAGTGGTCTCACTATGAACCCGCCATCGGAAGGCAGACAGGAAGTGGTCTCACTATGAACCCCGCCACTGAAAGCAGACAGGAAGTGGCCTCACTATGAATCCCGCAACAGGAAATTGCCTCGCTATGAACCCCGCCACTGAAAGCAGACAGGAAGTGGCCTCACTATGAACCCGCCATCGGAAGGCAGACAGGAAGTGGTCTCACTATGAACCCGCCATCGGAAGGCAGACAGGAAGTGGTCTCACTATGAACCCCGCCACCGGAAGCAGACAGGAAGTGGCCTCACTATGAATCCCGCAACAGGAAATTGCCTCGCTATGAACCCCGCCACTGAAAGCAGACAGGAAGTGGCCTCACTATGAACCCGCCATCGGAAGGCAGACAGGAAGTGGTCTCACTATGAACCCGCCATCGGAAGGCAGACAGGAAGTGGTCTCACTATGAACCCGCCATCGGAAGGCAGACAGGAAGTGGTCTCACTATGAACCCCGCCACTGAAAGCAGACAGGAAGTGGCCTCACTATGAATCCCGCAACAGGAAATTGCCTCGCTATGAACCCCGCCACTGAAAGCAGACAGGAAGTGGCCTCACTATGAACCCGCCATCGGAAGGCAGACAGGAAGTGGTCTCACTATGAACCCCGCCACTGAAAGCAGACAGGAAGTGGCCTCACTATGAATCCCGCAACAGGAAATTGCCTCGCTATGAACCCCGCCACCGGAAGCAGACAGGAAGTGGCCTCACTATGAATCCCGCAACAGGAAATTGCCTCGCTATGAACCCCGCCACCGGAAGCAGACAGGAAGTGGCCTCACTACGAATCCCGCATCAGGAAATTGCCTCGCTATGAACCCCGCCACCGGAAGCAGACAGGAAGTGGCCTCACTACGAATCCCGCATCAGGAAATTGCCTCGCTATGAACCCCGCCACCGGAAGCAGACAGGAAGTGGCTCACAGGAAGTCCACTACTGCAAGGACAGGAGCTAAACTCCAGGCCTGGAAGTTGTCTGGACAAGAGCTGGCCTGGGGGCGCCCGTGGGGCTCTTGCCTCGATGTAGGCGGAGAGTGTCATGTAGATCTTCTCTCGGTAGGGCGTGACCCGGTTCAGCAGCAGTGAGTTGTGCATGGAGCTGTCCCACGCGGCCTCAAACTGGTAGAATGTTCTGGGGAGGCAGATGGGGGTGAAAGGTTAGGTTCCGTGGGCCACGCTCAGTGGGGGTAGGGTCATGCACGTGGAGAGATAGACGGGTGGGCCTACGGGATGCAGGTCCAGAAGCCTGGGTGGGAGTTCAGGAAGGATGGTCCCCTCCCCACTCAAGGCCAGGCTGGGGGTCTCTCGGTGCCACTCCCGGGGGCCCGGAGTTCAGCGGCTCATGCTGGCGTCGTTTTAGCTCACAGCCCTGGGCTGTGCCGGAGACCGGAGAGGCAGGAGCAGAGACGGGGTGGGCTGGCCCAGCCTGGTCCGAGTGAGGACGGGCCTTTCTCCCTGAACCCCAGGGAGGGCCTAGCTTTCCCCAGACCCTCGGCTCCTCCCAGCAGCCGCTCGCTCGGGGGGATGCGCAGGGAAGACACGGGGGCGCGGTCGGGTCTCCCTCCTTAGCCCCTGGGATCGTGAGCAGGGTGGGAGCCAGCGGCCCCAAGACCTCCCCCAGGCTGCAGTAATCTGCTGGAGGCGGCCTGTGGCCCCGGGGGGCTTGGCTGTGTCCCCCCCATAGAGAGCCGGACAATTTGCCTGCACAGTTGCCGAGACCCGGAGCCGCACCCCAGCCCCCCGCACTCCATCCTCGCATCCTCCCGGAGGGCGAGACAGTGGCCGGCACCCCAGCAGGGCCGCGCCCTAGCCCCTGGGGGCCAAGGCCAGGCGGGGGCTCAGACTGTGCCATGGCCACCATCCCCCCCATGGCACAGTCTGGGGCACGGCAAAGTGGGGGTCCAGGGCGGGGTCACTGACACAAGGAACCCCGAGGATCCAGAGGGAGAGCAGGAGGTGGATAGGGGCCCCAGAGAGGGAGTCCGGGGTGAAGGGCGAGGACGGGGGGGGGCAGAAGGGAAGAGCAATGGGAGCAGGGGGAGAGTGGGGGTGCAGGGGGCAGAAGGGGAGGGGAGAGGGGAGCAGGGGAGTGGGAGGATTCACGGGGGAAGAGTGGGGGGTAGGGGGAGCAGGGGAGAGGGGAGGGAAAGAGAGGGGAGCAGGGGAGAGGGGAGGGAGCAGAGGGACAGTGGGGGGCACATGGGGAGAAGAGTGGGGGGAGTAGGGGGTGCAGGGGAGAGGGGAGCAGGGGAGTGGAAGGGTGCACGGGGAGAAGAGTGGGGGGTAGGAGGAGCAGGGGAGAGGGGAGGGAAAAGAGGGGAGCAGGGGAGAGGGGAGGAGAGCCGAGGGGAGCAGGGGAGAGAGCTGGAGGAGGGGGTCTGGGGAGGGGGAGCACAGGGAGGAGCCCGAGAAGGCGAGAAGGCGGCTGTACCTAGACTCATCTCCGAAGGGAGCGCTAAAGGCAGAGCAGCCGGACACACGCACACACACACAAGAAAGGACAAGTCAGGCTGTGCCCAGGAGGACGGCAGCGGCGGGCGCCGGGACACCTGACCGCCAGACACCCCGGGACACCTGCAGACGCCGGGACACCCGAAGACACCAGCAGACCCAGACGCGCCCCTCTGGCCTGGCCCCCGCGGCAGCCTGAGCCCGGTGCCCGCCCGGTGCCCTCCCCGCCCCGGCTGCTCCCGGGCGGCGTCCTCTGTGTGGCCGGCTGCTGGCTTCACAGCCCTGTGCAGAGACCAGGGGAGGCTGACCGTCCACCTGGGGGTCTGCCGACGGCCAGCATCCCCTCCACACCTCAGCTCTGTGGCTCCTGACCCCCCTCATGGGCGCAGAGGGCGACACACCCCAGATGAGGCTCTCGGATACCACATGCAGAAGCCCCCCGGCCCATTCCAGGACCCCTTCCCTGTGCCATGAGGGTCAGGCGGGAGGCTTGCGGGGGACCTCGTGCGCCAGAACGCCCAGCAGGGCCACTTCGGTGCTCAGCCCCGCGTGGAGCAAGGGGGCTGCCTTCCCATGCCACGTCTGCCCTCAGGAAGGAAAGCACCTACACTCAGCCAACAGCCAGGACCCAGCAGGGCTGTCCCTGGTAGGCGGCAATGCAGGCAGGTGGTCGGTGCCCCCACCACCTCCGGCTGGGAGTGGCAGGTCCTGCTCGCTCCGTGCAGTACCTGGCCAGCAGGGCCTCAGCGCAGCCAGGAGCTCAGAGTCTGTCCTGGGCCTGCCCACTGCCGCCTGAGCCTGGGTGCTGCGCAGGCTATGCCCCCTGGACCTGCCCAGCCTGGCCACAGATCAGGGCCCCCACCAGGCGCCACGAGGCTGTCCGCCAGCGTGGGGACCCCTCACCAGACACCACAGGGAGATACCAGCAGCCCCCGCGGCGGCCCCCACGGGGCCCCCGAGTGTGTCCAGACCCACCCAGCGCTCCTCAGCACCTGGGCTGGCTGTCTGCCTCCCGCTGCCCTTTTCCCTGCAGGCCCCAACTCTGGTCACTGCTGCCCTGGGGGTGGAGGCGGGGGGGGGCGCAAGGCTCAGGGAAGGAGGAGGGAGGCGGCGGGTCTGCGGGCGCAGCTCAAAGCAGCAAGATCAGAGGGGCAGAGGGATGAGCAGGAGGGAGCAAGTGAGGACCGGGATGGGGGAGGGGAGGAGCGTGGGAGCCCAGCCCGGGCGGGGGGTGGGGGTGGGGGGTGGAGGGGTGCGTCTGAGAGGGGCCAGGTGCTCGCGGTACCTAGGCATGTCCGAATCAAGAAACTGCCTGCAAGACACAAACAACCACAGGTTAGTGAGCGGGCGGGGCGGGGCGGCGGCCAGGCTGGGCAGCAGAGGGGGCTGCCCTGGGGGGCACAAGCGAGGCTTGGAGCGGGCGTGGGAGGCTGAGGTGGGCGAAGCATGGGGCATCCCGGCCCTGCCCTGGCCTGCGGCCTCAAGGAGGAGCGGCCCCTCGCGGGCCGGCGCAGGCCAGGGCAGCCCGGGCGGAAGGCCACAGACGCGCAGGCAGGCGGGCAGGTGAGGAGGGGGCCGGGACCTGGCTGGAGCCCTTCCTACCCTGGGGAGGGGGCGTCACCACGGCGACAGGGCCTGGGGTCCCGAGACCCCGCCCTCTGTGCAAGGAGACCCCCTCCTGCCTCTCCTTGTCTGCCCCGAGAACCCAGGATGCGGGGGAGGTCAGGGGTCAGAAGTCAGGGGCGAGAGGTCACCACTCTGCTCCGAAGCATTCCTCCTGTGGCTGAAGGGTCACAGTTGAAACCTGGGGTGGCATCTCTACGGGCAGTCCCTAACTGGGGCATTGGGCCTGAGCAGCTGCCGGCAGGGCCCACTCCCACCCCCTGTGCGGTGGCCCCAGCGTCCTCCCGCCCAAGTGCCCCACCTTCTCTGGGCAAACCCCGAAGCCACAACGTCCCTTCCCTGCCCCGGCTACACAGCAACTCTGAGACTCCGGCACTAAGGAGTGTCCCCGGTTGCTGTCCCGGCTGGCAGCCAGGAGGACGCCCGGACCCAGCCCTCCTCGGTGCCGCCCATGCTCCCAGGACGGCACCCGCACGCCTGCCCGCAGAGACACTGCCCGAGCCCCGACCCCTGCCCAGCCGTGCCCAGGGATTGCGTGTGCCCTGCACCCCCATGGCCCAGCTAGGCTGGGAGGACTTGACCGCCGGGTGGCCACACCCAGCAGCGCCCACTCCCGGCACAGAGCTGCGGCGGCACGGAAATCCAGAGACGCCCGGTCTGCACGTCCCCCACGCTGTGCCCGGCCCTCTGCCATGTGGCCTGCGGACTCCCTCCCTGCTTGGTGCGGCTGCCCCCGTGGGGTCTTGCCGCCTGGAACTGGGGACTCACCGGTCATCCTGGGCCGGGTGGACATAGCCGGAAGAGAGGACGCTGAGAGAGAGGATGTTGGGGTCGATGAGGGGCTCATCCGTCTCCGGGGTATTCCGGATGCGGCCTGCCGGAACGGGGCTCGGGGTCACCTCCCGGGCAGGGGGAGCACCCCAATAACCCTGGCCCTCACCTTCCTGCCCTGGAGGTGCGGCCCACAGCCAAGCCAGGTGCAAGCTCAGGCCTGCGCAGCCCGCGCGGCCACTCACCCACCACCAGCTCCCGGACCTCCTTCCAGCGGATGTGGCTGCCGCTCTCGTGAAGCAGCGTCACGGTGATGCGCCTCTGGATGCCCTGTGCACGGTCCCCGGGACGGCACAGGTCAGCGCGGGCCACGCGGACAGGCCCTGCCCAGGCGGGGTTGGGGCGGGCCTCGGGGCGGGGCTTTGGGACAGGGCAAAAGGGGCGGAGCTCTGGGCGGGGCCCTAGGATGGGGCTCTGGGCGGGGCCGGTGGCGGGGCTTGGTTGGCTGTGGGCGGGGCCTGGAGCGAGGCAGGGGCGGGGCCAGGGGCGGGGCTTTAGGGGACACTCTAGGACGGGGCTGGGACAAGAAAAAGGGGCGGAGCTCTGGGCAGGGCCCTAAGGTGGGGCTCTGGGCGGGGCTTGGGGAGGGCCAGGGCTGGGCACAAAGGGCGGGGCCCTAGGGTGGGGCTCTGGGCAGAGCCTGGGGCGGGGCTTGGGTGACTGGGCGGGGCCTGGGACCGAATCTGGGGCGGGACTTAGGCGAATGTGGGTGGACCCAAGGGGCGGGGACTGGGGCAGGCCCAAGGGGCGGAGCTTTGGGAGGCACCCTAGGCTTGGGTGGGGCGGGGCAAAAGGGGTGGAGCTCTGGGCGGGGCCCTAGGTAGGGCTCTGGGCGGGGCTTGGGGAGGGCCGCAGCGGGCACGAGGGGCGGGGCTCTGGGTGGGGCCTGGGGAACAAAACTGGGCGGGGCGGGGGCGGGGCTTGGTTGACGGTGGGCGGGGCCTGGGGACGAGGCTGGGGCGGGGCCGAGGGGCGGAGTTTGGGAGCTCGCACCTGGTGCAGCAGGAAAGTGCCCATGCAGGGCATGCCGCCTCGGTGGTCCACCACGGCAGGGATGTAGCTGGGAAAGAGGCATGGAGGCGGCACAGCTTGGAGGGAGGCTGTGCAGCCCAGGGCACCAAGTTCAGGTCCGTCTGCCCACCCCCATCAGTCCCTCGGGATGGAGTCCTGTCTGCCTTGTCCCCCTGACCCTCCTGCAAACCCCCCTCAAAGGAGCGCACTCACTCTCCTCCGTGGCCCCCCTACACTCCGTGGCCCCCTACTCCCTGTGGCCCCCACTCACTCTCCGTTGGCCTCCAGCTCGCAGATCTCGAAGTAGACCAGCAGGTCATATTTGCAGTGACAGGGCCCAGGGCTGGGCCGCGCCAGTGTGCTGAGCTTGGTGGCAGGCACTGGGGGGACAGGGCAGGCGTGTCCTCATGGCCTGACCCTGCCCCTCACATGCAGAGACATTCAGGGAGGAGGGGCAGGGAGCCCACTGCCCACCCTTCCTGCCCCCACAGGCCCTAGCTCAGTGGCCGGGATGAGTTGCCTCCAGAGGACTGGACACCACAGGCTACAAGGACCTGAGGCACGGGTGGGGCAAGGGAAGGTGGTGTCCGAGGCAGCCCTGGGCCCTGGGCCCTCGTCCTCTGCCCCAGCCCCCCAGCCCCACACTCCCTGGGGATCCCAGGAGGGGTGGGCGCCCGGGACCTACCTGGCTTGGACAGCGGCATGACCCGAGGGAAGTGGCGACGGGAGGGCCTCAGGGGGCTGTGTGGGAGGAAGAGGGTGACCATGGGGGCCAGGCCGGTCCCCCTCCCTCTGGACCGGCCATGCGAGGCCAACACACTGGGTGATCGTCCCTGGCCTGCATCCTCCTGGGCACCCCAGTTGGGACACCCAGGGTTGGCACCTCTCCTTCCTGACGCCCCGACACGGGCCGGGAGGACACGGGGACAGAGGGCGGCCTGGCGCGGCTACCTGAGGGCGTCCTTGCAGAGTGGCGGGAAGGGGTGCTGCTGGTAGTGGCCGAACACCTCAAACACCACGGGCTGGCTGCGGACGTACTCCACGAAGGAGCGCGTCACCTCCACGGCGATCTGCAGGGGCACGGCAGCGCTCAGGCGTCCCTGAGGCCCATCTCAGACTCACCGAGGCACCCGCCGGGGGACGGGCGGGTCCGGGGAATGAGGGGTCGAGGGAGTGGGGCGGGCGCGGGGACGTACGTTTTGCACATGGTAGAAGCCCAGTGGGGGGCCCCTGCCCGTGTTCTTCAGGGGCTCCGTGGAGAAGGCCTCGTCGTGGCGGTGGATGAAGCTACAAACGGGGGAGAGGTGGGAGGTGGGGGCTTGTCCAGGGCCCCCCATCCCCCGCCCCCATCCCCCACCCCTACCCCCATCCCACAAGCACTCACTTGAACTGGCAGAAGATGTCGGCGTACTCGGCCGAGATGCTGGCGGCCTGCAGCACCGTCACCCGGAAGGTGAAGATGCTGCCCACACGCAGGTGGTCCAGCGCCGCTTCCCCTGGCCCGTCCACGGCCTTCTCAGGACTGTCCAGGAGGTGGCCCTCAGGGGACATGGCTGCAGGGAGCCGGCAGGTGTGGGCACAGCAGTTATGCATGGGCAGGGTCACAGGGACACAGTGCGGGGGTCCAGGGCACGGGTGGGCAGGTGAGCACTCACCGGAGCATGTGTTGTTGTTGACCTCGTCGGCCGAGGGCCCCGCATCCGCACCCCCGCCCTGGCCCTCCACAATCCGCAGCTCCTCCTGGGAGGTCCCTGATCGAGACAGGCCCCCCACTGGGCAGGACTCAGACTGGAACTGCGGGGGGCAGAGATGGAGTGTCCACCTGACCGCCTTGCAGAACCCCACGGGAGAGGGTGGGTGTAGGCCCCGGCATCCCCGCCCTCCACCTGCTCTCAGGGCCACAAGGCCCGTGGTGATTGGGAAGGAGACCGGGAGAGGCCGAGGACGGACAGGCAGGTGCCAGAGGCCAGTGGCCCAGGGGCCAGGCAGGGGACAGCCCAGCCCACCGGGGCTGCAGGTACCTTCTCGAAATGCTGGTCGTCAAAGGAGATCCTGGCGGTGCCCGACTGGCGCACGCCGGAGCCGTAGTCGGGGGCCTCCTCGTCAGCTGCGGGGCAGATGGCATCAGAGCACAGCAGGGCTGAGGAGGGGGCTGGCTGGGTGCAGACCCCCGGCCCCGAACACAGGGCCCACACCTGGGGGCCCCGCCCCCGCCCGGTCCCTGGGCTCGGCCAGCCCCCCGCCCCAGGGCCGTGCCCACCTGAGATGGCCTGGACGGCCACGCGCAGGAAGCCCTTGACCTCGCCCTTCTCGCTGACGATGGCCACGCGGTGCACCAGCGGCACAGGGTACAGCAGGTTGCTGAGGTACACGAAGGCCCTGGGGGCAGAGGGGCATCAGCGGGGTCCCGGGCCGCGGCCATGGCACAAGACAGAGCAAAGCCGGCAGCGGGCATGGGCAGGAGGGCCGGGCAGGCCGGGGTCTGCCATCGAGGGGCTTTGCCCTGCCGGTCCCTGGGCAGCTCTGGGATGGGCCACACAGCGCGCAGCCGTGCACAGCACCCACCTGCACCCGCACAGCCACCGCGGGGAGTGAGCGGGCGAGCAGGGGTGCGGCCTGAGCCGCGGGGCCTCGCCCGGGTGGCACAGCAGAGGGAGGCCAGGGTGTCCCAGGAGGGGGCGGGTGCCCCGGGCCGGGGGAAGGAGCAGGGGAGACTCCCAGCCCAGAGCTTGGAAGGGGCTGCCTCCACCTGCTGGGCCGCAGCTGCCAGGTGGGTCCTGACCTCGGCCCTGTCCCGTCCCGTCCACCCTGACTTAGGCCCTGTCCTGTCCCGTCCACCCTGATCTTGGCTCCATCCTGTCCTGTCCACCCTGACCTCGGCCCTGTCTCGTCCTGTCCCGTCCCGTCCACCCTGACCTAGGCCCCCTCCCATCCTGTACTGCCCAGGCCCCACACTGCTGGCCAGCCCTGCCTCCCCCAAGCAGCCTTGGACACAGTGTTCCCAGGTGACTGGCCACTGCGCTCCCCCTGCCGTGTCCAGGCTCCGTGGGTCTGAGCTCGGGGCTACCTTAGAGAGGACCCCCAGCTGACGGGCGTCCCAGGGAGGAGCCTCAGGCCCAGCTCTTGGGGATGGGGGCCATGCTGTGTGGGACAGAGGGCACGGGTGGGCAGGGCCTTGCTAAGCCCTCAAAGGCCAAGGCCGCGGGGGGCCATCACAGACCCACCGAGGTCACCTCGGACTTCCCAAGGGGCTCGGGACTGGAGAGAGAGGCCAGCACAGAGGGGAAACTGAGGCACGCGGCCCCTCACTTGTCCTCTTCTGGTTGGGCCCTCGCAGAGCCTATGGCACGCTGGGCAGCCCGGCCACCCTGGCCCGGAGCTCCGTCCCCAGCTCAGGTGGCGCCCCATGCCCCCAGGTTCCCCATGTGCTGGGGGCCCAGCAAGGACCAGCCCCCCTCGAGGGAGCAGGGCTGCACCGCTTCCTGCCACCACGCCACCACCAGCAGCACTACGGCCACCCTCGTGTCCAGTCGCCACTGCCTGCACCACCAGCACTGCCATGTCCCGGGCTTGTCCCATCACAGAACTGCCACGTCACATCCCCAGCACATTGTGTCACCAGCCTGTCTCATTCCCATCATCGTCCCAGCGCTGTCAAAGCCACAACCCAGCACTGTCACCGTCACGTCACGTGTCTCATCACCGTCTCCATCACTATCACATCCCACCACTGTTTCCCCTTTGTCACCTTCATGTCCCAACACTGTCCTCATGTCACCATCACATCCCATCACTGTCCCTGTCACCTTCACATCCCGTCACTGTCCCCGTCTTCGTCACCTCCACGTCCCGTCACTGTCCCTGTCTCTGTCACCATCATGTCCCATCACTGTCCCCTCTCTCTCACCTACACTTCCCATCACTGTCCTTGTCTGTCACGATTACATCCCATCACTGTCCCTGTCACCTTCACGTCCCGTCACTGTCCTCGTCTCTGTCACCAACACGTCCCATCGCTGTCCCTGTCACCTCCACATCCCATCACTGTCCCTGTCTTTGTCTCCGTCACTGTCACTGTCCTCATCTCCATCACCTCCATGTCCCATCACCGTCCCCGTCTTCGTCTCTGTCACCGTCACTGTCACGGTCACTACCATTATCGCTATCTCAGTGACCATTATGGCCACAGTTCCACTGTCTCTCTGTAGTTGTCCCCATCACTGCCGCCAACCCCATCTCTGGCACCAGGCTGGGAAGCAGAGTCATTCCCCGCCATGGTCAAGGGACCTGGGTGGCACCTGGGCTGCCCTGGGAAGTGGCTGCACCACTTCCTGGCAAGCCCACCCAGATGTGGGTGCCGGGGGCCGTTCCTAAAAGGGACTGCTTAGACTTGGGCGGAGGCCGGGGAGCCCAGGAGGGGCCCAGGGACACAGGTGGACACCAAGTAGCCTGCGCCCTGGAACCTTTCCCTGGCGGTCCCCCCCAGCCCCCAGCTCTCCCCGAACCCCCCGCCTGAACAGCCCTGAGCACCCCTGCACACCTGTTCTGACCCATGGTCCAGAGAGGTGTGAGCGGTGGGGTCACCAGTCTTCGCCCCCCGCCCAGACAGGACCCCAGTCCTGGATTCCCGGTACAAAGGCTGAGCCCGCCACAGAGGGAGGCCCGGGAAGCAGCGGGTCCGGGCGCGAGGCAGGAGGCAGCACGCACATGCTGGGCGGCCTGAGTGGCCCCGAGGCCACTCAAGCTTGGGCGGGGCCGGCGGCAGCTGGAAGGGTGGCAGCAGCCCGGGCGGGCGTGTCCGGGCCGGCTCGCAGCCAGCTCCCACAGACCACGGCACCCTGAGGAAGCCCCGAGCGGCCGGGCTGGCGGCTGGCAGACCCAGAGGAAAGATGGTGCGAGAAGGACCCAGCTCTTCCCGGAGACGAGCACTGCCCCGCCCGCTCTCCCCAGTCCTGCGGCCGCTTGCTTCCAGAGTGCAAGCAGGACTCTGCCCTGCCCCCGGCCCTGCCTGTGCCAGGGCGCACAGGGTAGACTGAGGGCAGGCCGGGCGCCATCCTGCGCTCTGACCCCCACGCCGCCAGCTGCTCCCCAGGGCCTGACGCGACTAAGGGCTTTCTGGGATGAGGCTCCTAGCATTCCCACGCCTGGAGCACCGGGGAGCTGCAAGGCCACTGCCCCTCGCCGTGGCGGCCGGGCTCAGAGGGACACAGGCCCTGGGGCAGCCTCGCAGACTCCTGCCCTCCCTCGCCTGCCAGGCTGCCTGCCTGGTCTCCACCGTGGACCCCCCTCTGCTGGGCGTCTGTGCGTGGGACCCCTACGCTGCTAGGGCAGGCCCCAGGCGGCCGTGGCAGTGCCCTCTGCGAAGAGCTGGCTCCTTCCGGCGTGCTGCGCACCCACCAACCTTCCTACTAAACAGAACAGCGGGGGCCGGTCGTAAAATGGGTCCCGGCCGCCACACAGCGCGTGCTCCCGGAACACGTCGTCCTCCAGGTCCTCCTCCTCCTCCTCCTCCTCCTCCTCCTCCCCCACACTCTGCTCCTCGAGGGCAGGCTCGGTGGCGTCGGAGTCGGGGCTGGAGAAGGTGGGGGAGGGGGTGGGAGCAGCCATGCGCTGGCTCATGCACGCGTCGAGAAGAGGGTAGCCGCCGCAGCCAGCGCCCACTGAACTGGGGCGGTGGGACAAGACAGAGAGAGTTAGCCTCAGCCGGGGCCAGGGCGGGCGTCTGCGTCCCACGGAGCACGACCACCAGAGCCTGCTTTAATTTTCTGGTGGTCCGTGGACGGTTCTGGAAGGTTCTGGAAGGTTCCAAAATGCCCAGCAGGCCTGACGTGGGTGCTGCAGGTGAGGGCCTCATGCCCTCATCTGTGCTGAGTGGTGGGGTGGGAGCTGGCATAGACCCCAAGCACGGGAGAGAAGTCTGGGCCAGGCCTGCCCTGGGGTGCAATGCCCGGCTCTCTGCTCCGTCCCCCTGTGGGCTGAGGCGTGACCCAGAAGGCCTGCCCAGCCCCCTGCGAGCCCCTGGCACCTGCCGGGGGTCTCCTGGCTCTGAGCAGCGGGAGCCAAACCCTGAGTGCCGAGCAACGGTGGGTGGGCAGCCGCCCGGGGGCTCGGGTCCCCGCACCAGTCGGGCCCAGCTTGGGAGGAGATCCCGGCCCCAAGGCCGTGCCCCTGCCGACGGGGAGGGAGACACCTACCTGCCCACCAGCCGGAACCAGGGGAAGCGGTCGTAGAACGGGTCCCCGCCGGTCATCACGTTGTCACAGTCCTCGATGACGCTGGAGGGGACCTCAGCCGCCCGGTCATACATTTCCCGCATCAGGTCCAGCCGTTGCCTGCAAGCGACAGCAGTCAGCACAGGCCAGGCAGTGGCCGGCACTGCCCGCACCCCCGGGCACAGTGTCCTGCAGGGGGTCACTGAGATGCAGGGGTCTGCTTTCGGCCCCCCACCACATCGGCAGCCTCAGACCAGGGGCTGTGAGCCTGTGGACCACAACACCGAAGGACAGCGGGGGCCCAGGCAGGAGGACAGCGGCCAAGAGGGGGTCCGCAGGGAGTCCTCAGCCCCGGGGGATGAAGGGCAGGCAGGGGACAGAGACACAGATCAGGGAGGGCTCAAAATGCTGCTCTCCCCAGAGAACCAAAACATCCTTGAAGACGGGAAACCTGTGTCCTGCTCATGGCTGGGCAGGAAGGGCAGACACAGGGTCCCGGGTCACTGGGTGTGTCAACCGTGGGGCACACTGGGTGGATCTCCCCCACCCCACGCCGACTGCTGACTGCCCTCCCACAACCACAAGCAGCCGAGTGAGGAGGGGCACCCCTGTGGCCCTTGGCTCCCAGGCCCCTCCCCCTGCCACACCCTGGACAGCTCCTGCCTTCCTGCCCCGTGTCCCACCACCGGTTCGCCCCTCTGAATGCCCTTCCCCACCTCTGGCCACACCCCTCTCAACCATGGCCCCGCCCATGGACACGCCCCTCCCACGGCTGGCCCCGCCCCAACGTGCCCTCCCACCTCTGGCCCCGCCCCTCTGACACGCCCCTTCCCACCTCTGGCCATACCGCTTCCAATTCTGAACACGCCTGTGGACATGCCCCGCCCTTGGCCCCACCTCTCTCGCCTCTGACCCCGCCCCTCCCGCATCTGGCCCCGCCCCTGACACGCCCCTCCCCCGGCCTGCTCCCCTGGCCCCCCAGCTCAGCTACCGAGAGGGGCTTCACGGGGCTGGGTGAGTCTGGCTTCCTTGCAGCCTCAGACTGGGCGGGAGAGCTGCCCCTGAGGACTGGGAACGCCAGCGCCCGTGCCACCGCACCTGAGCTTCTCCAGTGTCCAGTAGTGGGTGGCCCCGTTCTTCTGGTCCTGCACCTCCACGGCCACGATGGTGCGGGGGAAGGGACGCGTCTCCCGCTCCTTGGCGGCCTCAGGGGGCAGCAGGTCGGGGGGCAGTGGTGAGTAGAGTGTGTCTGTGAGCAGCACGAACTGGAACTGGACCTGGCGTGGGCAGGGGTGACGGGTGGGTGGCAGCAGGTCCCATTGGGGTGTCCTTTGCTCCTGGCGCTCCCGGCCTCCCTGAGCCACACCGGGAGGCCACCCCGCGGCCCGAGCCCTAGCCACAGCGTGCGGGTATGCGCCACCCACCTTCTTCTTCAGCTCCACGCTGATGGCGTTGGCCTCCTTGAGGAAGATGGCGTTGCCCCACAGGAGGTCCCGCAGGGACGTGAACTGGTACCACTTCCACTTCCGGAAGGCCCACAGCGCCAGCTCACATTCCCGCTCCGTCCACTGCACTGTGGGGACAGGCGTGGGGCTCTGAGGCCCGGACGGGGTGCCCGGCCTCCCCCTAACTGCTGGGCACTCAGCTAGAAGGGCCTGGGGAAAGGTGACCCACACATGGGCGGGGTGATGCTGGGGGCTCGGAGGCTGGGAGCGGGGCCGGGGGTCAGTGAGGCGTCACCACCGTGGGGGCCAGCCGAGAGGGGCCGGCGGGCAGGACAGCCCAAGCCTGCTGTCCCAGGGGCTGTGGGAGGAGACAGAACCAGGGGTCTGTGGTCCCATCCTGGGAGGGGCACAAGCCACAGCCAGCAAGACAGGAGTGAGCACGATGTGCATGTGTGGGTGTGCACAGGCGTGTGGACTGGCACACACAAGCATGTGTTTGCGTGGGCACACACGTGATGCATGGATAATGTGAGTGCGGGAGGTTGCGCGGGCACGCATGAATGTGAATGTGCAGGCAGGTGTGTGGGCTTCTGTATGAGTGTGTGCAGGTGTGATGCATGTGGGTGTGTGGGCATGTGTATAAATGTGCATGTATGTGCGTGTGCATATTGCACATGTGTGAGCGTGCATGTGTATGTGTTCATATGTGTGTGCATGTAAGCTGGTGCACATGTGTGTTCACGTGTGTATGCACGTGTGTGTACATGTGCGTACATCTGGGTGCATGTGCATGTGTGTGCTCATAAGTACATGGGTGTGCTCTCCTGCCTCACTGAAGACCCCCGGTGTGGACTCCATGGTGCCCGCAGGCAATGACAGGAGTCCCCAGGAGGAGAGCGGGGCTTTCTCCCCGAGGGGTGGGCACGCGGTGCCTCCAGGGAGGGGCGGAGAGACCTTCCCCAGCCCAGACCCAGGCTTGCCTCTCACACAGGGGCCCTCACCTTCGTCCTCTGGCTCCTCCTCCTCCTCATTCACCTCTGGGTAGTACCTGGACTCCACCTGCTTCTGCAGGGCCTCCAGCTTGCTCTCATAGTCCTGGGGATCAAACCAGGACCGTGGCCCTCATGGACATGGGCCCCTGCAGCCTCCCCCCACCCCGGCCTTTTGCGCGGTGGAAGGCCCACCATGCCAAGGTCCCGAGACACAAACTCACAGGGGGTCACTAAGGCTGGGAGAAAAAGGGTGCTGGGGACTAGGGTGGCAGCCGGGGGAGGGGGGGAGGGAAATGCCCTCACCAGTCTCTGCTGCTCCAACAGGTATGTGGCCTCTTCTCGCTCTCGGCGGTACTGGTCCTCCAACTCCTGAAGTCTGTGAGAGCCATGAACCAGTGGGGTGAGTGGTCAGGTTGGCGGGCAGGGGTAGGGAGAGTGAGCAGGGTGGGGCAGGGATGGGGTGAGCTGGCAGGTGGGGGTGGGGGCAATGGTGGGGTGAGTGGGCAGGTTTGCAGGGAGGGGTGGGAAGAGCAAGCAGGGTGAGGGCGGGGGTGAGGTGAGCGAGCAGGGGTGAGAAGAGCAGGCAGGAGTGGGGTGAGCAGGCAGGTGGGGGTGGGGGCAATGATGGGAGGAGTGGGCAGGTTTGCAGGGAGGGATGGGGAGAGCGAGCAGGGTGAGGTCAGTGGTGGGGTGAGCGGGCAGGATGGTGGGCAGGAGTGGGGAGAGCGAGCAGGGGTGAGGAGAGTGGGCAAGGGTGGAGAGTGGGCAGGGCGAGGGCAGGGGTGGGGTGAGCGGGCAGGGGTGGGGGAGCGGGCAGGGCTGGGCTGGGGGTGGGGGCAGCCGGCCCACCGCTGCTCCATCTCCTGCTTCATGTCGATGCCCTGCTTCTCCAGCAGCTCCCGCTGCGCGAAGGCCCAGTCCACGGGCTCGGCCGGCGTCTCGGCACAGGGTGTGCGCTCACGCTCCTGCCGCGCCTGCTCTGGGTGGTTGAAGCGGAACACGTGGCTCTTGCCCATGATGATACGGTTTCCTGGGGACAGAGGGAGGGTGGGTCGCTCGGCGACAGGCAGAGGTGATCACAGGGGACGGTGGTGACTGATTGCTAGGTGACAGGTGGGAGACTGTCAGGTGGCAGACGGATGACTGATGGGTGGGGGACAGTGGGGGACTGATTGCTAAGTGACAGATGGTAAGTGGCCGGTAGGTGGCAGGCGGCTGAGTGACCACTAGTGACAGGCATATGTGACTCCTGGCGAGGGAGTCCTGTGCCGGATGATGTGGATGGACAGGCACCTAGGCTAGGACGACCCTGGACCCTCCCCGCCTGTCCCCCAGCCTCCCTGGGGCACCCTGTCCCTTTCCCACCCCGACACCACCTGGGTGCTCTGGGCGCAGCCCACGGCCCTACCTGACCGCAGGATGCTGGGCTCCGTGACCTTCTTGCCATTGACGTAGGTGTCGGCCCCCTCACAGGGCTCCAGGGTCACCACAGCTAGGGCAGAGAGTCAGGGAGGGGAGGAGGGCTCAGCCGCGTGGTGGGGGTCCCACAGCCTCACGTGGCCGGCTGCCCCCTAAGCTCCTGACCCACGGGGGCACATCTCTGGGACTGATGTCCCCAGGCCCTGGACACGGGCGCTTTTGGTCTGCTGCCTGTCCTGAGGCCTGTCCCAGGGGAAGGGGCCTGAGCTCCGGCCAGGAGGCACCTCTGGTCTCCGAGATAGGCGGGGGACCGGAAATGGACACAGGTGCCCCCTGCAAGTGATCTCAGCTGTCCCCAAGTGGGGAAGTCAAGTCTGCGGCCAGCCCAAGGGCCCCAGCCCTGGAGCGCCTGTCCAGAGGCCCTGCGGGGTTGGGGTCACCTTCTCCGTCCCCGAGCGCGTCACTCCGGAAGATGCAGTGCTCCTCCTTGATGAAGTGTCCACTCAGCACGATGTCCTGCCGCCGCTCCCCATCCTCGCGGCCCACCCTGTGGGGGCAGTATGTCAGGATGGGCCCCGAGGGCCCCCCTTCGGTCTGGCTCCAGGACACCCAGGGCTGCCCGACCACTGCCCGCGGTCGCACCTGGTAACGCCATCCTTGATGTAGTACAAGAGGCACTCGGACATCAGCGGGTCCTCGTTCAGGTTGACCAGGTGCGGCGTCTGTGGGCACGGGGGCATTGCCCTGAGCAGTGTCCTCCTGCCTGGAGCCTCTGGGGGCCCACCCTGCCGGCCCCCGCAGCAAGGAGTGTGCCCAGGTCCAGGCCGTGGGGACTCAGCCTGAGCACTTGCGGACGGGCGCTCGGGAGAGGCGAGGTCTGGGTGTCCACTTGGAGGGGCGCGGGAGGGGCTGGGGCAGTGGGTCAGGTAGATGTGGGTCCTCCTGTCTCTCGCCAGCCCTGGGGGCACAGCCGCTCCTTGGGCAGGGAAGTGCCCACCGGCGGCCCCTCCCAGAGGGAGCGGGTGTGTCTGGACCACCCCCTGCACAGCACGTACCTTTTTGGGAGAAAACACCCCCAGCGTGCCTCCGTCCTCCCTCATGGCCACGCCCATCTCTGCCAGCAGCGCTTCCCTGCGGACAGTGTGAGGTCAGCGAAGTCAGGGCGGGCACCATGGCCACGCACACGTGTGCCCCTGGCCAGTGAGACGAGGCACCTGCTCACCTCTTTGGGTCGGTGGCCAAGGTGGTGAAGGGCAGGGAAGAGGCCAGGGAGAGCCGGGTGGGAGGGCTGGACCCTAGGGCCCACCTAGACTGCCCCCCAGACTGCCCTCCTCCATCTGGATCCTCCCCCCACCTCCAAATGGACGCCCTGCCCACGGCTCCACCCTGAAGGCTCCCACCTCTCCATCCTGATGGCCCCCACATCCCCGCCCTGATAGCCCCTACCCCCCCATCCTGATGACCCCCACCTCTCCATTCGGATGGCTTCTGTGCGCCTCAGTTTCTCTTCCCAGGTTTCATTGAGCTCAGCAATGATCTTTTCTGTCTCCTGGGGTGTAAAGTGAGCAGGTAAGGTGGGGACCACGGCAGGGCCCAGGCCCCGTGGCTGGCGTCCCACGGAATGCGGACGGTGAGGTGAGAGCTGGGATTCCCTGTGGGCACACGCTGAGACCGGGCGCGAAGGTTCTCTGGAAGGAACCTCCAAGATATCGGAGCTAGAGGCATCTTTAAGGGTGAAAAGTCACTGACCAAGCAAGTAGCAGCAAAGGTAGACAAATGGGACCACATTAAATGGGCCCCTGCAACTCAAAGGAAGCCAAAATACAAAGGCAGCCGACAGACCGGGAGAGATTATATGCCCACCACTCATGTGACGAAGGGTGAGTGTCCAAGGTATATAAAGCACTTGTAGAACTACACAAGAAAAAAGAAATCCCTATCAAAAAAATGGGAAGAAGAAATAAAAGAACTCCTTCAAGGAAGAAATACAAATAGTCAAAGGATATGAAAAGATGCTCTGTATCACTAACCCTCAGGGAAACGCAAATGAAAACGACAATGAGATATCTTCACACTGGCTCATCAAAAAGAACAACCAGTGCTCGTGCAGATGTGGGGAGAAAAAGATTCTCGTTCATTGCTGGTGGGAATGTTGACTGGTCCAGCCTTTTGGGAAGATAATATGGACATTCCTCAAAACGCTAAAAACTGAACTTGCATAGGACACAGCAATACTGCTTTTGGGAATATGAGCCCATCGTCCTCGCTCTCAGCCCAAGGGTCCCACAACACAAATCAGAAAAGACATCTGCACTTGTATGTTTACTGCAGCACTGTATACAGCAGCCAAAATATGGAAACAACCCAAATGCCCAAAGACAGATGACTGGATAAAGAAACAGTGGAACACAACTTGGCCATAAGGAAAGAAAATGTCCGGCAATTTGCTGCCAGATACAGATCTGGAGAGGATCGTGTTGAGTGAAGTCAGACAGAGGAGAGGAACAGGCTCAATGATCTCTCAAAGCGGGATATAAAGAAACCTCGCCAGGGGCTGGAGCAATAGCACAGCCGGTAGGGCATTTGCCTTGCGCGCAGCAGACCTGGGTTCGATTTCCAGCATCCCACATGGTCCCCTGAGCACCGCCAGGGGTAATTCCTGAGTGCATGAGCCAGGAGTAACCCCTGAGCATTGCTGGGTGTGACCCAAAAAGCAAAAAAAAAAAAAAGGGTTATCGACGCCCAACGGCAATAGAAATGAAGAGCAGACCAGGTCTCAGCAGGAAACTTGGCACTGGGGCAGGGGTGGGGGAATGAGTCAGGGAGGGGGCACCAGGAGAGTGGGGGAGGGGAACGTCCCTGCCCCCCCCAGGCAGTGGGGGCGGCAGGGAAGCGGCTGCTGCTGGAACAACATGTGCCTGAAACTCAATCAGAAGTATGTTTGTATCTTTGTAATTTCACTGTGATTCGATTGAAAAAAAGGGAGCGAATTTCTGGAAGGGAAGAAGCAAGTCTCCCCACCGCACTGTCGGGGGCTGTGTGCAGGGACGCCTCCCTCAGCACTAGCTCTCTCCAGCCCCCCACGCCCCCAGCTCCTGCCCGCCCGGCCCTCTGCCTCAGCCAGCACCCAACAGTTGTCCGCTGAAGAAACCCAGAACCAACGTGCAGTTAGGGAGTGACGGTGCCCTGCCCCACGTGAGGCACCCAGCAGGTGCTGACGGGGCACCTTGAGAGGGCCTGGGGCCCCTGGCCAGACCCCTAGCAGCAGGTGAAGGCTGTGGACCAGGGACACCAGCCTCTGACACCAGCCCAGGGCTGCAGAGGACCCCTGGGAGCCTGCCCGCCACTCTCCAAGCTTACAAGATCCAGGTCAGGGCCCTGACCTCACACCCCCACACTGTCCAGCCTCACGCATGTCCAGTCCCCATCACATGACCCCGCCTGCAGGCCCTGAGCCCACCTAACACTAGGCCCCGCCACTCAGGCCATAGCCCGCCCTCACACCGTAGCCACGCCCACAACCAGGCCCCGCCCCTTGTGCCATAGCCCCGCCTTTAGGCTACAACCGAGCCAAGGCCAGGCCCCGCCCCTCGCATAGCCCCGCCCTCAGCCCAGGCCTCGCCCACAGACTGGCCTTGCCTCTCACAGCCCTGCTCTCAGGTCAGGCCCCACCCACAACCAGGCCCCGCCCCCACATAGCCCCGCCCCAGGCCAGAACACCCCCCCCACAAGCCCTGCCCCGGCTCTGCCCCTCACCTAGCCCCGCCCCTCAGTAGCCCCACCCCAGCCCGATATAGCCCGGCCCCGCCCATGGCCAGGCCCCGCCCCTCACCTGGCCCCGCCCTCGTAAAGGCCACGCCCACGGCCATGCCCCGCCCCCACATAGCCCTGCCCCAGGCCAGACCCCCACAAGCTTCGCCCTGGCCCAGCCCCGTCCATGGCCAGGCCTCGCCCCTCACCTAGCCCCGCCCCTCACCTAGCCCTGCCCCAGTCCCCACATAGACCCACCCCCCAGGCACGGCCCACTCACATCGCGGTCCCGCCTCTCACCTAGCCCCGCCTTGCCCTTCACCTAGCCCCGCCCCTCGCCTAGCCCCGCCCCGGCCCCGCCCACGGCCAGGCCCCGCCCCTCACCTTCAGCCTCTCGATCGCTTCCTCGCTGCCAGGGGCGAACAGGAGACGCTCGTGCAAGCTGGACACAGAGGCAGCGCGGCTGGACAGGGCTGAGAGCGAGGACGACGGGCTCATGCCCACCAGCGCGTTGGTCACTGTGGAGAGAGCGGCAGCGCCTGACGACCCTGGCCGGCCTCCCGACTGGGCAGACACGGGCGGACAGGAGGAGGGAGAAGCGAGCGGGGAGGCCGGGGCTGCGAAGCCGGAGGAAGGGGCGCGGCGAGCAGAGCATGCACGGCCGCTGCACGCGGGGGCTCCCTGCACCCACCAGAGCCCGCCCGCTCCTTCCCCCGCCCTGAGACTGGCCTAGGACCCTGAGGCCGCCGGCCGGGTGGGATCGCTGCTCACGCCCCGTGCCTGGGGCTGCCCTGGCCCCTCGAAGCGACACACAGCAGCACAGAGCAGGGGGAGGGCTGGGGAGACTGAGGGCGCCCGACCCCTGCGGCCTCCGGGACAGAGTTGGCCGCTCGGCCGCCTGGCCCGCCACGGGTACCCAGGGGCGTTTGCCAGGCCGTGGCTTGGCCGGTGGCCGGACGCCTGGGGGCCGGGGGCCCTCACGCAGCAGGGCCGCGGGGAGCAGAGCAGCAGGGGCGGGGGGCACGGGGGATACACACATTTGGGTCCTCCGGGCAGAGTGCCGGCTGAGGGGAGGAAGCGTGGGGAGACAGAGAGAGAACGTTTGTCCGCGGGGCCAGGGCACCCGGCCGGGAGGGGCTGCAGCAGGGAGAGGGCTGCGTGGGGCCCACCGCCCGGCACTCACTCTCGGTGATGTCGCCCAGGCCCTGGGCGTAGAGCAGGTCGCGCAGCCGGGTCACCTCGTCCTTGAGCTCGCGGATGAGCTTGTTGTTGGGGTCCTCGTTGATGACGGCGTTGCAGCGGATCTGCTTGGCCCGGTCGGCGTACCTGGGTGGTCCCGGGAGCCGTGGGCGCAGGCGGGCGGCACTGGTGCCCTGCCCGACCCCTCTGGGCGGGGCCTCTGCAGCTGGGGGGTGCCAGGAGCCTGGCCAGACCCGTTCTGGGGACCCCTGGCCCAAGAGACCTCTAGGGGCCCTGCCTGGTTCTCCCAACTGGGGAAACTGAGGCCCTGGGGAGTCACTCCCCATGGTGAGGCCTTTGCCCCCGTCCCCAGGGGACAGTGTGAAGGGGGTTGTGCGGGCATGTCCCCTGGAGCTGTAGACAGGGGTCAGAGGGCAGAGCTGCCTTGGCGCGCTGGCGTCTCAAGAACACCCCGCTGTGGTCGCGTGGGTGCAGCCCCACAGGACACCCCAGGGAGCCAGTTCCCTCCTGGACTCACCTCAGGGTGCTCAGGGTCTCGTCGTAGTTGATGTCTGCGGGGCTCAGGGCGGCCACCATTGCTGTCCTTGAGTTCCCTCCTGTGGGTGTGCAGACGCGTCAGCTGGTGCCTGGGGCGGGGAGGCTATGGTTCTGGGTAAACTGAGGCAAGGCCAGGAAGTGGGCACGGGGTCTGGGGGCCAGCCTTCTGCACTGCACAGGACCCTTGTCTTCCCTGTGATGTTTCTGTCACTTTAGGGCGACCCCATCTAGTGGGGCACGTAGTGGGGACACTGCACGTGGACCCCCTCTCCTCCGCTCTCCGTGTGGCCAAGAGGCAAAGGCCCCCACTGCTGGCTCTCACCAATGGTGTGGGGATGGCCCCCTGGTCCCCCCCCAGCTGGCCCTGCAGGAGGGTCTGCTTCCACAATTGGGCAGGAAGACCCTTGCCGTGACACGTGTCCAGCTACCCCTCAGGCTGGTTCTGGGGTGCAGGACTGGCCACGCAGAGCTGGAGATACTCAGTTGTTCAGGGTGGGGGAAATCATGACTCAGTTTACCTCTCTGGATGTTAGCCCCTCGCCCTCACATATCCAGAGAAGATCCTGGGGTTATTCGGGGAGGGTTGAACAAGAGTCCTGGCGATTCTGTCCCACCCGCCATCTCTCTCTGACTCCAAACTCAGGCAGAGAGAAGGGGGGGACTTATGGAAGCCCCAAAGCCTAACCAGCACAGCCTCCCAGTCATGGTCTCCGAGACGTGAGCTGGGGTGCCGACAGCGCCCAGAGGAGCCATCAGCCACCGAGAGTGGCCGGGGGCGGGGGGCTCACCCAGGTTCTCCCGCAGGAGCCAGGTGAGCACAGAGTCTCGGTAGGGGATGAAATCTGTCTTCTTCTTTTTCTTGTTCTGCGAGAGGAGGGTCAGTCTGTCAGCTGTCAGGCCTGAGGGGTCTGGGCGAGGCCCCCAGGAGCCCCTCCGAACCCACCATGATGGCCCATTAGACACGGCCCAGCGTGCTTGACCCAGACTTCATGCCTCCTGCCCATCTCCCTGCGCCGGGCACTGTCCACTCACTTCAGGCGTCCCTGTCCCCCCCCTCAGGGCCCGTGTGGCTCTTGAAGTTCTGCCTGGTCCCCACAGCGCCTCAGCTGGTGTCCCACACTGACCGCCACATCCTCCCACACCCGCCCGGGGCTCCTCAGCTTCACCAGGGAGTTCACAGGTCTACGACCGTCACCCCGGCTAGATTCAGCCGTTCTTTACGGGCTGCCTCACTAACCCCCACGACGTTCTCCACAACCCCTCATGCACGACTGGTCGGAGGAAGGACAAACTATGTATTCATTGGAAATAGCAACTTAAAAAGAACAACAGCCGCTTATCCCGCTGTCCCACACAGAGCTCCTTCTGCTTCTTCGCTAGCTGCCCACGCGGCTCCCCACGTCCCTCGCCCGGGTTTGTCTCGGTCCTCTCACACTGTCCCCCATCTAGGAGCTGCCTCGCCATTCCCCGTCTCCTTCAGCCCGCACCCCGCTCCCTGCATACCCTCTCGTAGTTCCACTCACTTCCTCACGAGACGCACGCCATGCTCCGTGTCTCACTGTCCCCTCAGCTCCCAGTTTCTCACACCGCTCTACAATTCTCAAAATTGTCCTCAGAGTCCCTCAGACCCCTGATACTTTCCTTCCCCAAGTCTCAGTTCCCCAAGTAGTTCTTCAGACAGCTCACCGCTCTCTCACATTCCTCATCGGGATGCATTGTTTCATTGTTTCCACCTTCCTTGTGGTGTTCTCTTTTAGAGACACACAGTTTCACACTTTTGCAGTGTTAGAAACACATAGTTCCCCAGGGTACCTCTGCGTCACTCACATAGTTGCACCAAATCTCTCACTCTCACACAAATTTTCATGCACCCTTATAGTTCTGATAAAATAACCACATCGATTCACGTGCTTCCTCTCACACTTCCATACTCCTCCTCAAACTTCTAGAGACCTTCTCAATCCCATGCACTTTCACGCCTCTCATACCCTTCCTCTCATACACTTCCCCTCACACTCCCACACACTCCCTCCCACAATCCCTCTCATACTTCCCATACACTTCCCCTCACAGTCCCACACACTTCCTCCCACAATCCCTCACACTTCCCATACACTTCCCCTCACACTCCCACACACTCCCTCCAACAATCCCTCTCACACTTCCCATATACTTCCCCTCACACTCCCACACTTCCTCCCACAATTCCTCTCATACTTCCCATACACTTCCCCTCACACTCCCACACACTTCCTCCCACAATCCCTCTCACGCTTCCCATATACTTCCCCTCACACTCCCACACACTTCCTCCCACAATCCCTCTCACACTTCCCATATACTTCCCCTCACACTCCCACACACTTCCTCCCACAATCCCTCTCACACTTCCCATATACTTCCCCTCACACTCCCACACACTTCCTCCCACAATCCCTCTCACGCTTCCCATATACTTCCCCTCACACTCCCACACACTTCCTCCCACAATCCCTCTCACACTTCCCATATACTTCCCCTCACACTCCCACACACTTCCTCCCACAATTCCTCTCATACTTCCCATACACTTCCCCTCACACTCCCACACACTTCCTCCCACAATCCCTCACACTTCCCATACACTTCCCCTCACACTCCCACACACTTCCTCCCACAATTCCTTTCATACTTCCCATACACTTCCCCTCACACTCCCACACACTTCCTCCCACAATCCCTCTCACACTTCCCATATACTTCCCCTCACACTCCCACACACTTCCTCCCACAATCCCTCTCACACTTCCCATATACTTCCCCTCACACTCCCACACACTTCCTCCCACAATTCCTCTCATACTTCCCATACACTTCCCCTCACACTCCCACACACTTCCTCCCACAATCCCTCACACTTCCCATACACTTCCCCTCACACTCCCACACACTTCCTCCCACAATTCCTTTCATACTTCCCATACACTTCCCCTCACACTCCCACACACTTCCTCCCACAATCCCTCTCACACTTCCCATACACTTCCCCTCACACTCCCACACACTTCCTCCCACAATCCCTCACACTTCCCATACACTTCCCCTCACACTCCCACACACTTCCTCCCACAATCCCTCTCACACTTCCCATACACTTCCCCTCACACTCCCACACACTTCCTCCCACAATCCCTCACACTTCCCATACACTTCCCCTCACACTCCCACACACTTCCTCCCACAATCCCTCTCACACTTCCCATACACTTCCCCTCACACTCCCACACACTTCCTCCCACAATCCCTCTCACACTTCCCATACACTTCCCCTCACACTCCCACACACTCCCTCCCACAATCCCTCTCACACTTCCCATATAATTCCCCTCACACTCCCACACTTCCTCCCACAATTCCTCTCATACTTCCCATACACTTCCCCTCACACTCCCACACACTTCCTCCCACAATCCCTCACACTTCCCATACACTTCCCCTCACACTCCCACACACTTCCTCCCACAATCCCTCACGCTTCCCATATACTTCCCCTCACACTCCCACACACTTCCTCCCACAATCCCTCTCACGCTTCCCATATACTTCCCCTCACACTCCCACACACTTCCTCCCACAATCCCTCACACTTCCCATACACTTCCCCTCAAACTCCCACACACTTCCTCCCACAATCCCTCTCACGCTTCCCATATACTTCCCCTCACACTCCCACACACTTCCTCCCACAATCCCTCTCACACTTCCCATATACTTCCCCTCACACTCCCACACACTTCCTCCCACAATTCCTCTCATACTTCCCATACACTTCCCCTCACACTCCCACACACTTCCTCCCACAATCCCTCACACTTCCCATACACTTCCCCTCACACTCCCACACACTTCCTCCCACAATCCCTCTCACACTTCCCATACACTTCCCCTCACACTCCCACACACTTCCTCCCACAATCCTTCACACTTCCCATACACTTCCCCTCACACTCCCACACACTTCCTCCCACAATCCCTCTCACACTTCCCAAATACTTCCCCTCACACTCCCACACACTTCCTCCCACAATCCCTCTCACACTTCCCATACACTTCCCCTCACACTCCCACACACTTCCTCCCACAATCCCTCTCACACTTCCCATACACTTCCCCTCACACTCCCACACACTTCCTCCCACAATCCCTCTCACACTTCCCATACACTTCCCCTCACACTCCCACACACTTCCTCCCACAATCCCTCTCACACTTCCCAAATACTTCCCCTCACACTCCCACACACTTCCTCCCACAATCCCTCTCACACTTCCCATACACTTCCCCTCACACTCCCACACACTTCCTCCCACAATCCCTCACACTTCCCATACACTTCCCCTCACACTCCCACACACTTCTTCCCACAATCCCTCTCACACTTCCCATACACTTCCCCTCACACTCCCACACACTTCCTCCCACAATCCCTCTCACACTTCCCATACACTTCCCCTCATACTCCCACACACTTCCTCCCACAATTCCTCTCATACTTCCCATACACTTCCCCTCACACTCCCACACACTTCCTCCCACAATCCCTCACACTTCCCATACACTTCCCCTCACACTCCCACACACTTCCTCCCACAATCCCTCTCACACTTCCCAAATACTTCCCCTCACACTCCCACACACTTCCTCCCACAATCCCTCTCACACTTCCCATACACTTCCCCTCACACTCCCACACACTTCCTCCTACAATCCCTCACACTTCCATTACACTTCCCCTCACACTCCCACACACTTCCTCCCACAATCCCTCTCACACTTCCCATACACTTCCCCTCACACTCCCACACACTTCCTCCCACAATCCCTCTCACACTTCCCATACACTTCCCCTCACACTCCCACACACTCCCTCCCACAATCCCTCTCACACTTCCCATATACTTCCCCTCACACTCCCACACTTCCTCCCACAATTCCTCTCATACTTCCCATACACTTCCCCTCACACTCCCACACACTTCCTCCCACAATCCCTCACACTTCCCATACACTTCCCCTCACACTCCCACACACTCCCTCCCACTATCCCTCTCACACTTCCCATATACTTCCCCTCACACTCCCACACACTTCCTCCCACAATCCCTCTCACACTTCCCATATACTTCCCCTCACACTCCCACACACTTCCTCCCACAATCCCTCTCACACTTCCCATACACTTCCCCTCACACTCCCACACACTTCCTCCCACAATCCCTCTCACACTTCCCATACACTTCCCCTCACACTCCCACACACTTCCTCCCACAATCCCTCTCACACTTCCCAAATACTTCCCCTCACACTCCCACACACTTCCTCCCACAATCCCTCTCACACTTCCCATACACTTCCCCTCACACTCCCACACACTTCCTCCCACAATCCCTCACACTTCCCATACACTTCCCCTCACACTCCCACACACTTCTTCCCACAATCCCTCTCACACTTCCCATACACTTCCACTCACACTCCCACACACTTCCTCCCACAATCCCTCTCACACTTCCCATACACTTCCCCTCATACTCCCACACACTTCCTCCCACAATTCCTCTCATACTTCCCATACACTTCCCCTCACACTCCCACACACTTCCTCCCACAATCCCTCACACTTCCCATACACTTCCCCTCACACTCCCACACACTTCCTCCCACAATTCCTTTCATACTTCCCATACACTTCCCCTCACACTCCCACACACTTCCTCCCACAATCCCTCTCACACTTCCCATACACTTCCCCTCACACTCCCACACACTTCCTCCCACAATCCCTCTCACACTTCCCAAATACTTCCCCTCACACTCCCACACACTTCCTCCCACAATCCCTCTCACACTTCCCATACACTTCCCCTCACACTCCCACACACTTCCTCCCACAATCCCTCACACTTCCCATACACTTCCCCTCACACTCCCACACACTCTCTCCCACTATCCCTCTCACACTTCCCATATACTTCCCCTCACACTCCCACACACTTCCTCCCACAATCCCTCACACTTCCCATACACTTCCCCTCACACTCCCACACACTTCCTCCCACAATCCCTCACACTTCCCATACACTTCCCCTCACACTCCCACACACTTCCTTCCACAATCCCTCACACTTCCCATACACTTCCCCTCACACTCCCACACACTCCCTCCCACTATCCCTCTCACACTTCCCATATACTTCCCCTCACACTCCCACACACTTCCTCCCACAATCCCTCACACTTCCCATACACTTCCCCTCACACTCCCACACACTTCCTCCCACAATCCCTCACACTTCCCATACACTTCCCCTCACACTCCCACACACTCCCTCCCACTATCCCTCTCACACTTCCCATATACTTCCCCTCACACTCCCACACACTTCCTCCCACAATCCCTCTCACACTTCCCATATACTTCCCCTCACACTCCCACACACTTCCTCCCACAATTCCTCTCACACTTCCCATACACTTCCCCTCACACTCCCACACACTTCCTCCCACAATCCCTCTCACACTTCCCATACACTTCCCCTCACACTCCCACACACTTCCTCCCACAATCCCTCTCACACTTCCCATACACTTCCCCTCATACTCCCACACACTTCCTCCCACAATCCTTCTCACACTTCCCATATACTTCCCCTCACACTCCCACACACTCCCTCCCACAATTCCTCACACTTCCCATACACTTCCCCTCATACTCCCACACACTTCCTCCCACAATCCCTCTCACACTTCCCATACACTTCCCCTCACACTCCCACACACTCCCTCCCACAATTCCTCACACTTCCCATACACTTCCCCTCACACTCCCACACACTTCCTCCCACAATCCCTCTCACACTTCCCATACACTTCCCCTCATACTCCCACACACTTCCTCCCACAATCCTTCTCACACTTCCCATATACTTCCCCTCACACTCCCACACACTCCCTCCCACAATTCCTCACACTTCCCATACACTTCCCCTCACACTCCCACACACTTCCTCCCACAATTCTCATATTTTCTGTGTATTTTCTCTCATACCCTTGCACATACAATTCTTTTCTTTTTGGGTCACACCTGGCGATGCACAGCGGTTACTCCTAGCTCTGCACTCAGGAATTACTCCTGGAGGTGCTCAGGGGACCCTATGGGATGTTGGGAATTGAACCCGGGTCCGCCGCGTGCAAGGCAAAGGCCCTCCCCGCTGTGCTATCGCTCCAGCCCCCATACATACTTCTCGAACTTTCCTCACTTTTTCTCTCACTGATATTTTCACTTCCTAGCACACTTCTGAGCACTTCCACGTCCGCTTCCTCCTACCTCTGCACACCCTTCTGACTTCTGCACACCCTTCCTCTCACACTTCCCCTCACACTGCCCCCACTTCTGCACACACTTCCTCCACACTTCTCTGCAGCCCGCCTCAGTGCTTGCAGGGTCTGCCTCTTGGGAGCCTCCCTCCTGCCCTCACCTCTGCCCCCACCCCGCGTCCCTGTTCCCGGCTCTCCCGACAGCCGCTCGGGCTGTGCAGACCCGGCTTCCCGCCCAGCCTCCCTTGGCCCATTTTCCTCCACGGGGCCTGTCCCACTTTGAGGCAGGCTTTTCTTTCTGCCTGAGTTGCTGAGTCAGGCTCAGGGAGCAGATGGAGGAGGACACCTCCCGGGGAGCGATGGAGGAGCACACCTCCCGGGAGCCGGGCTGAGGGCCCGGAGCGGAGGAAGCCGCTTACCTTGTTGGGCCCAGAGTCCTGCAAAGGAGAACAGAGAGTCTGAGGCCCGTGAGGCCGCGTCAGAGCCGCACCCTCTTCACAGCCTCCCACAGTCTCAGGGGTGCGTCCCGCCACGAGGACTGAGCCGGCCGCCAGCGCCCCTGAAGGGTGCAGCAGGTCACGCGGCCGCGGTCCTGCCCACGGGGAAAGATGCCACCAGCACATCCAGGGGAGCCCAAGGTGACCAGAGCCGAGGAGCGACCAGTCCAAGTGTGACCCTCGGCTGCGACGCTGACCCCATCCCGCGCCGGACCCTGAGACCCTGCCCACTCACCATTTCAGCCAGGGCCGAGATGACCTTCCCCAGGGTGGTCAGGGACTTGTTGATGTTGGCGCCCTCCTGTGTGGGCAGAGGGCGGTCACTGGGCGCCATCCCGGGCCCACTGCGGGCTGCAGGCGGCGAGCGGGTCGGCGTCTCGGGGCACCCCCACCCCGAGGGTCTCGGGGCTCCAGAAACTCCCGCAGGCACCACCCCATTAGCCTCGGGTGGGGACGGGGGCTCAGGGATCAGCCTTCCTTCTGCGCAGGGAACCCACTGCCCCCTGTGCCCCTGGCCAGGCCTTACCTTGAGGCGGGTGCCCTTGGCCCCCGTGGAGTCCGCCCGCTCACTCCCCGCCAGGTCCACCAGGCTGATCTTGCTCACCTGCGGGTGGGAAGCAGCACACGCCGCCACGGGTCACCGCAAGCCCACAGGGCAGGCCTGCCGGTGCCCGACACTGTCCGTGCCTCGGGGCCTCACCCTGGTGGAGACCTGCAGGGCTGCGGGGGCTTGTGGCACCCGGAGGGAGGCTCTGCCTCAGCACAGCAGCACTGCCGGTCCCAGGAGGCAGTCGGGCCCCTGGGTGCTCACACTCACAGTTGGACCCTGGACGCTCACAGACAGGCGGAACCCCGGACACTCACGTGGATAGTCAGACCCCCGGATGCTCACATGGACAGTTGGACCTTGGACGTTCACACGGATTGTCGAACCCCCCAGAAGCTCACACAGACAGTCGGACCCTGGACACTCACACATTCGGAGCCCTGGATGCTCACACGGACAGTCGGACCCCCGGACGCTCACACAGACAGTCAGACTCCAGATGCTCACACAGACAGTCGGACCCCGGACGCAGACAGCTGGATGGTCAGTCGCTCACAGCCCACAGCAGCCTCCTGTGGCCAGCTCTACCTCTCCCAGTCCCACTGCGTCCCCAGGGTATGGGGAGGGGTCTGGACCGGGAAGCAGGCCAGGGGTAGGCATGGGTGGGCAGAAAGACGGGCGAGGAGCAGCCCCCGGAGCACAGAGCGTGTGTCCAGGAGGGCTCAGGAGGTGCCCCCAGGCCTGTGGGCACCCAGCTGGGTGGGGCTGGACCTCTGAGCTCCTTTGTGCTGGAGGTGCCCCGCCCGCCTGCACCTCTCCCCACCCACCCCCCTGAGGGCCGCCCAGCAGACCCCTCCCCTCCCAGAGAGACCTGGGCCCTGGCCTTACCTCAACCCTGGGAGCCTGACCAGCCCCCTCGCACTGCCCACTGCTCCGCCCTCCCTCCCACTTGCCGCTGCATCCTCCCAGCAGTGTCCATGCCCTCCCTGTGTCCTCCCCGTGTCCTCCCTGTCCCTTCCCGCCCCCTCCCAGCCCCCCACCTTCTCGGTGGTCACGTCGGTCTCTGCATCGTGGCGTTTCTGAGTGAAGATGATGTTGAAGACGGCGTGGGAGCGACTGCTGGTCTCGTTCATGTTGGTGGCCGCCACGGTCCTGGACACAGGCCACACACATGCTGACCAGGACCCCATGGCCAGGCACATGTGTCCTGAGGCTGGTGGTCACTGTGACCGCACAGCTATTCTGGGGCCTCAGGGCCGACCGCACCAGGGGAGACCCTTGGTCTCAGGGTGAGCAGAACCCTGGCAGGGTGCAAGGACACGGCCAAGGCGGGTGTGTGGCTGGCGTGAGCCCCTCGGGCGTGGAGCATGGGGTGGGGGGTGGGTGGGAGTGCCCCAGCCAGCACCCCGAGGGGCCCACCTGGCCTTGTTGCCGGAGTCCATGAGGTCCTGGATGTCGTTGTAGGAGGTGACGGCCAGCTTGGACAGGTCCTCCACGTAAGGGCCCAACAGCGGGTGTTCCCTCACACGCAGGTTGCCCTTGTTCTTGGGGTTCAGGAGGTCCCGCACGCGCTCGCAGTAAATCTCCATGTAGCTGACCTGCAGGCAGAGACAAAGCCCCGACGTGGGGACTGTGAACCCCAAAGTGGGTGCCCTGGGTCCCCGAGGCAGGTGGGACAGGTGCCGTGTCTCCTAAGGGGGCGGGACGGGTGCTAGTGTCCCCGAGGGGGCAGGATGGGTGCCATGTCCCCAAGGGGGCTGGGACGGGTGCTAGTGTCCCCAAGGAGGGTGGGACGGGCACTGTGTCCCCGAGGGCAGGGCTTGGCAGCCTACCTCCACCGAATAGGCCATGTTGTCGTTGGTGGTGTCGTTGATGCGTGAGAAAAGGTCTTCGCAGAGCTGTGGGTGAGGGCACGGTGAGGCCCACACACGTGCCGCTGTGTGTTCAGCCCCACCCACGCACCCACCCCTGCCCTGCCGGCGGGCGCCAGCCTTGCGCCCTGGCCCTGAGCGACTCAGAGCAGGAGCCCCGGCCTGACCCTGCGGCGTGTGGGTCCCCCTGCCCGAACCTGCGGGATGATCCCCTGCTGCTCCTTCTCCTGCCGCCCCATCATGGTGTAGGACTTGCCGGCGCCCGTCTGGCCATAGGCGAAGATGCAGACGTTGTAGCCCTCGAAGGCGTGCTGCAGCATCTCCTCACCGATGTCGCGGTACACCTGCCTCTGCGAGGCGTACTGGGGATCCGCAGGCTGTGGGAGAGGGCAGAGGCAGCCGCTGGGCAGGGGCAGGCGGGGAGTGGCCGCAGGGCCTGGGGTGCTGGGGGGGTTTGGGGCTGGCGGGGCTGGGGGGCCGCGCCTGCCCGGGGCTCACCGAGGTGTGTGACCAGTAGGAGTAGTCGAAGCTGAAGCTCTTGGGCGTCTCCTTGGGCTGCTTGGGGTTGACGATGGCTGCGGAAGAGCGGGGTCTGGGCGTCTGTCCTCCTCCGGGAACCCTCCCCGCCCTCCCTGCCCTCCCTGGCCCCCCCGCCCAGGTCTGGATCCACGAGTCCCCTGGACGCGCCCAGGAACCCAAGAGGGGCCCAGGCCCAGGCTCCCCCACGGCGCCCCATCCAGCGGGGGCTGTCTCTGCTCTCACAGGGCGCCTGGGGCAGAATGCAGGGCTTGGGGCCTGTCCAGGCTGTGCTGCTGCCTGCTGAGGCCGGCACAGTTGAGGGCCATGATGGACAGGGCGAGGGAGGGACACCGGAAGGTCACTGGGGCACTGGCTGGGACACACACTGGGAAAGGAGCCCCATGTCCAGAACACGCTTCATGGGCCTCTGAAGACCCCAGGGGCTGGAAAGGACCCGCACGGCCGCTGCTGCATCTCAGGAAGGGTGTCCAGGGGGATACACATGCTGAGTGGCCACAGGCGGCCACAGAGAGAGGGACATGCTGAAGTGGCCCTAGACACCAGAGTCGAAGAGGTCAAAGGAGCTGCAGACCCGTGGCCCTGAGCTGGGGCAGGGACAGCTCTGTCCTGTCGCTGATGGGCCCCCAATCACTGCCCCCACTCTCTGGCCGTGCTCCCCACAGTCTAACTGTGCTCCCCACTCTAGATGTGCTCCCCCACTCTCTGGTCATGCTCCCCCACTAACTCGCTGTGCTCCCCACACTCTAGCTATGCTCCTCCACTCTCTGGCCGTGCTTCCTCACTCTGGTCATGCTCCCCACAGTCTCTGGCTGTGCTCTCACTCTCTGGCCGTGCTCCCCCACTCTGGCCGTGCTCCCCACCCTCTGGCCATGCTCCCACACTCACTGGTCGTGCTCCCCGTCATCTGGATGATGCACTTGGACTCGCGGCTCATCTCACGGGAGTTGAAGGGGCGCACCCGCACCGCCACCTTCACAGAGGCCCCGGCCATCCTGGCGCCGTGGACGGTCACTCCCTAGGGTGGCCGTGGGCGGGGGCACCTGGGGAGAAGAGGCACAAGAGCTGGAGGCAGGAGGGTCCCGCCAGCCCCACCCCACAGGGCCCAGAGCACCAGTGGGGCAGAGGGGCTGGTGGGCTGTCCGGGGGCTCGGAGGGTCCGGGCCGAGAGGCGGCCTGCGGTGGCCGTCCCTCCTGAACTGCAACCTGATAGGCGGCAGGGGGACCCCCGGGTCTGGCAAGGGCTGCTCTGTGGGACCACCAAGCAGCAAGATGAGGTCAGAAGTCCAGCCTCGACCAACCTCCCCCAGGCAGCAGGCTCCCAGGGAAGGGGTGCTGGGTGGGGCTGCCCCCCGGGGAAATGGGCAGGGGAGGCGTGGCCAAGGTCAGGCAGGACCACTCTGCCAGGAACCCTGAGGGGCAGCTCCTGTTCTGAGTCCCCTGGGGTCATCGGGGGGCAGGCACTGTGGAGGCTCTCAGGAGGGTTTGGGGACCCCAGGCAGGAGGGCGGGGTGGAGGCACCCTTCCCACTCAGGGCACTCCTGGGGGCCGGCTGGGCCCCGGCTCTCCCCGGTCAAGGGCACGGTTGGTCACACGTGCTGGGGACCCCGGCAGGGGAGAGGCCGGTCACCACCCAGCACCAGGGCTCCCGGCCTCACGGGGCCAGGGTTTAGGGCCAGGGTCAGGGTCAGAGTGAGGTTTGAGGTCACAGTCAAGGCTGTGGTCAAGGTCAGACTGAGGTTAGGACTGAAGGTCAGAGTCAGGGGCAGGGTCGGGTCAAGGTCAGGGTCACATCAGGGGCAGGAGTCAGGGGGAACTTGTAGGTGGGGCAGAGCCAGGGCTCAGTGGCTGCTTTCAGGCCAAGCAACACCTCCCCCCAGGAATGGTGTGGGCACTGGAGTGGCCACCAGGACAGCCCAGGCACCCACGGGAGAATGGCACCCACGGACCATGAGCGGGCGGGGACAACCATGCAGAGCAGGAGGGCAGGGCTGGGCTGGGCCACACGTGGGGAGCGAGAAACCCCCTTGTGGACCCGGACCCACACAGACCCCCATGGACCCTGGCCCACACAGACCCCCATGGACCCTGACCCACACAGACTACCCACGGACCCTGACCATACAGCATCTCCTCCAGCCCCTGCAGGTACCCGGCAGCTCCAGCCAAGCTGGTGGCCTGGGAAGAGACGGTTGTTCCTCTTAGCAGGCCCTCGGACCTCCTGCTCCCGCCCGCAGCCCCTCCTGGCCAGGGCCCAGGGCGCAGTGGCCGCCCACCCCTACCCTACATGCACCTGCACCTCTCACTTGGACCCTGACCAGCTTCACCGTGGGGGCAACCTCTTGGAGACCCACCCTTAGGGGAGCAGTGACCAGGAAGCCTGGGACAGTGGGCTGTCCTGGGCGAGTGGACAGCCTGCGGAGCCCCGGGTGGGGCGGAGGAAACTTCATTTTTTTTGTTTTGGTTTTCAGTCAGACTGACCCCATGGGGGGCTGGGCTGCAGCGAGGCCCGCACACCCTGCACACCCCGCCCGTCTCTGGCCCTGGGAGTGAGGCTGGAGCAGACCCGAGGCCCCTCTCCCTCCACCTCGCGAGAGCCTGGGGTCTGAGACGGAGGTCCGGCCAGGCGTGAAGGTTCAGACCACCCAAACCTCGTGTGGACTCAGGCCGGCACGGTGTTCCAGAGGACACAGCCGCCCCACACACTCCACTCGACGGTGACCGCTGACCGCCCAGGCCCTGGGGGGAGACCCCTGTGTGCCCGGGACTGGGAGGCCCCAGGACGTGCCCATGAGAAGAGGAGGCCCCTGCCTGGAGGGCGGCGTCAGGCACATTTCCATTCCGCTCACGAGCCCGCCGGATGCTTCCCAGGCCGGCACGTTGCCCGCGGAGCTTTGGGGAGACACAAGCATCAGAGGAGGAGTGTTCTGCCCCTCCAGGGCCCAAGGAAGAGTGCTCTGCGCCTCCGGGGCATGAACTCTGCCCCTGGAGGAGAAGGGGCCCGGATGGCGGAGCCGGAGGGACGGGCCCAGGGCGGGCCAGCTGTGGACACGTCAGCGGACACACGTGGAGGTCATGGAGGGCGCTTGGGCCGGAGCCGCCAGGAGAAAAAGCACAAGGACACGAGGTCCAGGACCGATTAAGGACTTGGAGACGCTCTAAGCCCCGAGGGGGAACCGGCAGGCCCCCAGCCAGAGCAGCACCAAGAAGAGGGAGACAGAGGCCGAGAGACGCCCCACGGCATGAGACCCTCAGCTTCCAGGCCCCAGAGACAGCCACGGCCGCTGCCGCCGCCCAGAGTGAGGGCAAGGCCTGAGGGCACCATCGACGGTTCCCGTGAGCGTGACCCAACACGGAGCCTGCTGTCACCCACAGGGCGGAAGAGCAACCACTTCCAGTTTAGAAGAGAAATAACCCCGAGGAAAGGCAGAGGAAAATGAGCTTCTGGGAGTGTCTTGGGCGGATGCGGCAACGGAGGGACGCTGAGAAGAGACGCGCGTTCACGGGCAGGGGGAGGCCGCAGCCGAGAGCTCAGCCAGGCTCGGACAGGCAGATTCTAAAGCTCTTTATGTAAAGGCGGCTGGAGCAGCACTGCAGCCGGGAGGGCGCCTGCCTTGCTTGCGCGGCCAACTGGGTCTAATCCCCGGCATCCCACAGGGTCCCTGAGCGCACCAGGGGTGATCCCTGAGCACAGAGCCAGGAGTCGGCCCTCAGCACTATTGGGAGTGGCCCCCACACAGAACAATACAACAAAAATGTAAAGACACGCCCGCAAGCGGTCACTTGCTGCTCAGCCACGGAGGAAGAGCCACGTATCCTACGTTCCAGCTTCCCCACGGGCCGGGCACGGCAAGCGTGGACACATTGCCACGGAAAACCCTATGGTGAATGTTGGCAAGCCAGAGCGGAACCACACAGAGCGACACCCCAAATCAGCAGCGCGAATCCAGGAGCAGGTCAACACACAGGAGGGTCGAGCAGGAGCCGTGGGTCGGAACCGATTCTGAGCTCGGGAAACAAAGGGGTCACCATTCCAGTCACAGCACAAGGCTTCCACAGGGCCCACAGATGTGTGTGTGTGTCTGTGTGTCTGTATGTCTGTGTCTGTGTGTGTCTGTGTATGTCTGTGTCTGTGTGTCTCTATGTCTGAGTGTGTCTCTGTATGTCTGAGTGTCTACGTCTGTCTGCGTGTCTGTGTGTCTGTGTCTGTGTATCTGTGTGTGTCTGTGTCTGAGTGTGTCTGTGTGTCTGTGTGTGTCTGTGTGTGTGTCTGTGTGTCTCTTTGTCTGTGTGTGTATGTCTCTGTGTGTCTGTCTTTGTGTGTCTGTGTGTCTGTCTGCGTGTCTGTGTGTCTGGTCTGTCTGCATGTATCTGTGTGTGTCTCTCTGTGTCTGTGTATATGTCAGTGTGTCTGTGTCTGTGTGTGTCTGTGTGTCTGTGCATCTGTGTATGTCTGTGTCTGTGTGTGTCTGTGTATGTCTGTGTCTGTGTGTCTCTATGTCTGAGTGTGTCTCTGTATGTCTGAGTGTCTACGTCTGTCTGCGTGTCTGTGTGTCTGTGTTTGTGTATCTGTGTGTGTCTGTGTCTGAGTGTGTCTGTGTGTCTGTGTCTGAGTGTGTCTGTGTGTCTGTGTGTGTCTGTGTGTGTGTCTGTGTGTCTCTTTGTCTGTGTGTGTATGTCTCTGTGTGTCTGTCTTTGTGTGTCTGTGTGTCTGTCTGCGTGTCTGTGTGTCTGGTCTGTCTGCATGTATCTGTGTGTGTCTCTCTGTGTCTGTGTATATGTCAGTGTGTCTGTGTCTGTGTGTGTCTGTGTGTCTGTGCATCTGTGTATGTCTGTGTCTGTGTGTCTGTGTGTGTCTGTGTCTGTGTGTATCTGTGTCTTTGTGTCTGTGTCTGTGTGTGTCTGTGTCTGTGTGTCTGAGTGTGTCTCTGTGTGTCTCTGCATATGTGTGTGTGTCTGTGTGGGGTGAGCCTTGCCCCCCTGCCAGGCTCCCGGGGCTCCCACCGTGGGTTTGCCTTGGCAGGATCTGTGGGTCTCTGCAGGGTGGGGTCCACACAGCGGGTGGGCACTCAGGCTTGGACAGGGCAGGGCCGTGTTGCTGGTGTATCCAGATTCCGGAGGTGGGGGGCTGGGGGGAGGCCCAGGGAGCAGCGGGGCGGGTGCAGGCTGGGTTCTGCCCTTCCACCTCTGGGGCCCCAAGTCCAGGCTGAGCTGCTCCTGGGAGCCCGGGTCAGCCTCCTCAGGAGCCGAGTTCACTGTCTCCCTGCTGGGAGTCCGGGACGCCCCGCGGCGCCTCTCGAGACGGGGCGGGGGCACCAGAGCGAGCCGAGCCACCTCCCGCAATGCCCGTGAGTGTCCGCGCTGAAAGCCGCTACCCGCGGCTCAAGAAGGACAGCTCCCTTGCGGCAGAAGGGCAGCCCCTCCGTGGGAGACAGGCCCCTGGACGGCCGCGCAGGCACAGCGCTGCCTTGGAAACAGCTTCCTCCCAGGGGCCCTGCCACCCCCAGGGGCCCTTGGGTGTCAGCGCAGGAGCAGCCTCTACAAGCAGTGCCGGTCGAGGGGCACGGAGAGGCAGAGAGAACGGCGGACCCTGAAACAAGCGTGATGCGCAGGGGGGTGGGGCAAACCGCAGAACGCACAATGCCGCCGAGACTTCCGGTCCCGGCAGCCCAGAGGGGATGCGCCCTCGGCCCGGGACACTCCAGGACACACACGGGCTCCACAACAACGAAGGCGCCAGGGCCCCCGAGGGCCGAGCGGACCGTGGCTAGGGGAGGCGGCCTTAGCCGGGCACCAGGACCCATCACGCTCCTTCAGAACCGCCCTTCAGAGAAGCTGCGGGGAGCCGAGACCCCAGAGTGCCCCGACACCTAGTGATACCCAGGACCCCCGGGGAGCCGCTGGGGATGAGCCCCACGGGGACACGGGCATGGAAGTGCGGGTGCAGGAGTGGGTGCAGGTGAGGGGGTGGGTGTGGGTGAGGGTATAGGTGTGGGTGTTGGTGACTGTACAGGTGTAAGTGGGTGCAG